AGCCTTCTCAACACCCCTGGTATCCATACCAGGTTCCTCTTCGACCCGGCAACTAGGCTCGGCGTTCTTGACCTAGCCTTTGCCAACAAGTTCCTGGCTCCCTTCCAACATTCCTGGTCGGCTGATCTCCCCTCTACCGGCTCAGACCACATCCCCATCCTCATCAAGCTCTCCTCTCTCCTAATGCACAAGGCCCCTCCAAGCCCGTACTGGGATAAGGTGGACTGGCCGCCGGTACTTGAGACCCTGCAAGGAGTCGACGTCCTGCCACCGCCTTCCCTCCCAACAGCTTCTGCCCTCAGCACTTGGTTCGATCGCCACCTTGGTGCCCTTTCAGCCCTACTCTTGGCCCCGGCCCCACTAAAACGCCCCTCACTTCGGTCCAAACCTTGGTAGTCCCCCCTGTTGACCTCACTGCACCGTGCTTTTAATGCAGCTGCCAGAAGGTCCCGCTCCTCCCCCTCATCCACACTAAGTGCCGAGGCCCACGAGGCCCGCTCCCTCTACTTTGAGACTATCAAGAAGGTGAAGGCAGAGCACTGGAAGAACTTCCTGTCCAAGGTTGACTCCCGCTCTGTCTGGACAGCCAGAAGGCTTGCTACTGGAAGAGCCCCTGACCGCTTCCCCTCCTTCCCAGGTCTCTCCTCCCCCGAACAGATTAACTCAGCTCTTCTGAGTCACTTCTTCCCCCACAAGACTTCTGCTTCCACCCTATCTATTCTCAGGCCTTTCCGCGACTCACCCCCTCTCACTCCTGAGGAGGTGCAAAGGGCCCTGTCCAAGTCCTCAAACTCCTCTGCCCCAGGCCTGGATCAGATCCCCTATGGGGTCTAGAAGAAGGTTCACGCAGCTAACCCCTCCCTCCTCGTCAATCTTCTCTCACCATTGCTATCTCTCGGCTTCCACCCTCCCTCCCTCAAAAAGGCCAACAGAGTTGTCCTCTCTAAGCCAGGAAAACCAGACTATTCCTCCCCCACCTCCTTTCACATTATTGTCCTCCTCCAGACTGTTTCGAAAATCCTAGAGAGGATAGTTGCCTCTTACCTGTCCCTGGTTGCCCGCTCACGCGGCCTAATCAACCCAAACCAATGCGGCTCACTCCCTGGGCTTAGCACCTACGATGCCTGCGCCGCCCTCACCCACGAGATCTGCTGCCTCCAGAGGCCCAGGCTCAAAGCCTTGTCACTCTTCCTTGATATCAAAGGGGGTTTCGACAACATCAATTCAACACTACTTACTACTTTCATGAAGTCCAGGGGGGTGCCTCCATACATCTGTGCCTGGGTCCAATCTTTCCTTTCTAATAGACATTGTCGTCTTCTCTTTCAAGGGTCTCCTAATGTGTTCTCTCTAGTGCAGGTGGGCGCGCCACAAAGGTCCCCTATTTCTCCTCTTTTGTTTGTCATCTATGTGTCTCCTCTTCATTTGGATATTCCCAAGGGAATTATATTTTCCTATGTTGATGATTTTACTGTTACGGTGGCTTCTTCCTCTTACAGGCGCAACGTGCAGCGCTTACAACACTACTTTTTGGTATTGAAGAGAAGGGCGGGTGCTATTGGCATGTCCTTCTCGGTGCCCAAGACTGAACTTTCCCACTAGAGGACCTCTAGGGACCACGGAGCGCGTTGCTTCACCCCTGTCACCCTGGACAGTACTCTCTTCCACCCTGCTGGGCTGGTTCGCTGGCTCGGCTACTGGTTTACCCCTAGCCTAGAGACCTCTTCCCACTTCGTAAAACGATTGGCGCTCGCCCAGGGGACTTTCGCTATCGTAAGACAACTCTCTCCTCTTGGTAAAGGCCTGCCTCCTTATCTCAATCGGAGGCTCGCCGTGGGACTCATCTTTCCCATCCTCTCCTACGGGGCCGATCTCCTGGTACCCAACTCCTCTGCACTCTATAAGATGGAGGTTTTTTAGAACCGAGTCCTCCGATGGGTGACCAACTGCTTCCACTCTACCCCTACCTCGATCCTCCCCTGTGAGGCCAGCATCCCCCTTCTGGTAGTCCTCCTTCCCCACAAGCGCCGGATGGCGGGCTTAAGGATGGTCTACTCTCCACCCGAGATCAACCCGGCCTCGGCCAGGCTCCCCCTGTCCTTTCCCTCTGCATCAGCTACAAGAGCCCTGGATTCCAACCGGGCCCTGTCTATTGGTCTGAAAGGCAACGCATACCCCCTCCTCTGGAAGACCCCCAGGCCCTCCCCCGCCGTACGATCCCACCTCCCCATTGATGGCATAGCTCATTCCCTTGCCCGTGTCGCTGCCAAGGGGTCTCTTCCAGGCCTCAACAGGCACCTGGTCCCCGGGACGACCAACAGTCTCCCCTCCTCACAGAAGTACTCCCTCCTGAAGGCCACCACTCGCTCCCTTCTCTTCCGGGACTGGGCACTACAGGCCCCCCCCCCGCTATACTACCCCTACCCCCCACCCGAAGCCCCGCACTCTTTTATGGGGCTGGACCGCTTTCTGGCTGGACGAATACATCAAATGAGAGCTGGAAAGAGCTATCTAGCAGCCCATACCTCCTGGAACGAGCCAGACAAACCCACCACTTGCTCTGCCTGTGGCCTTGAGCCGGAGACTATGCAACATGCTGTACTCTCCTGTCCCTCTAAGGTCCCCTCGAGGCTGCTCCATATCCCAGGAGTAGACTCCATAGGCCATGAGGCTCCCCTGTGGGCGGATAAGGACCTCTTATGGGGTCTCGCACGATACATTTCCGATACCAGAACCAACTTTCCCCCTGCGATTCGTGGGGGTCGGGCGTCGCCCAGTACCAACCTTGTTTCAGATTGAAGTGGTATTTCTTTTTGATGTCTTTACTGGTTTTTTTTTTTGACTTTCCTTGCTTTATGTTTTCTTCGTGCGGAAGGAGGCTTGTCTTTTCTTTTACGATTAGTCGCCCTGGCGGGCACAGTGGGTTGTATTACTCACAGGCGGGGATTGCTGGCAGAGAGATATTTCGTTACCGTTTGTTGTTTTTGACATTAAGGTTTTGTTTTTGCCATAGCTAGCGCTCCCTGCAGGTTCTTGTACCTTAACAAAGAATATATGAGTTAAAACAAAAAAAAAAAAAAAAAATCCTTAGCTTTCAGAATCATCAGCGAATGGAAAAGAGATCTTATCAATATATTCGTTATACTTCGATACCTACTTTTGTTACGAGCTTTCTTGACCACTCTCCGAGAAACCTTATTGGCCCCAGTTACAATTCGTTTGACTTAGAATTGGCTGCCACCTAACAACGTGGCACTTCCTAGCATAAGTGCTAGGATGTACTGGATGCAAGCAAATTTGGGGCTCAAGTACCAGATACAGAGGACGCACTGGATACAGAATCATTCTGCCTTGCGTTAGGATGCACTGCCTGAGCCTCTGACACAGAAATAATTTTTGCTGATGTATGGGTATAGACATAGCCTGAGGTTGCCATAGTTCTACAACATAGAGTCATTATACTAACACTGTAGTTGATTGAAAAGATTTTGGGCGAGAGTAGTTTTTTCTATCCTAGAGAGTGTTTTTAGCTCTGTCATTTAACCTGGGCTCGGCCGGGATGTTTTTTTAGGCATCATAGCTAGCGCTCCATATCCTTTTGTACTATTAAATAAAAATAAAAATAAGTTAAACAAAAAAAGAAGAAACCAAATTCCTAGCTTTAAGAATTCATTAGAGACTGGAGAAGAAATCTTATCAATATATTTATTCTACTTTACTTCTATCTTAATGAGCTCTCTTGACTATCTCTAAGACAGAAGATTATTAGATCTAGTATATACTTACTTGTTCTTATAGTTAGCTATCTCCTAATATTAATCAAATATGAATATATTTCTGAATAACTATTATTCATATAAGAAACTTATAAGGGGTTTTAGCACATGTTCTTCTAAATATATTATTAGTATACTAACTTATTAGAGTTGTAGCTTCTTAACTAATCAACTAAACAGAATCAAGTTTTATCTTAAAGAGTAGAGCTTCTTCTATGTTACTTAGTGAAAGCCTCTTGGTTGCATACCCTGTATCTCTGTATAAAGGGTTACATAGTTGCCTTATCATTTCATATACTAATTCATTAATGCTACAATAACTTCAGCAGGACCTGGAGTCAAGCCTATAACTTTATACAGTTCTATGACTTTATACATTTAGTTACATGCTGTACCAATTATACTTCTATGTATGATAGCAACTATAATATACATAACAACAAATGATTAGTAATAGTTTAAGTCCTTGAATTACAAAGAAACTAAAGTCTTTAAAAGTTATAAAAATTAGAGAACTTGAATTTATAAGAACTTCAACAATCCGAGTCTAATGTGATAGACAATAAATACCAAGTTCAATGAACTTGCAGTAGTTGAAGTGGACCAGGTGAGCAGAACCTATATAAGAACTCTGCTTTTCAAAATTCTTGGAAATAGCAGGTGAGTAGAAGGTAATACAGTGTGGTAAGATTTTCTTTAACTGGAATAGAACCAGTTATAACTGTTCTGTTTCAAAATCGTTGCTTCTGATAAAACTAACTACTTTTATTTTGTAAAAGTTGACTTGGTACATTTCAGATTGAAATCCTTGGTTTATTTTATTGTTACCAAACACTAGCTTAGCTCTTTCCACCAGGTAATAGTCATTTGTATAGGAGAACGGAACGAAATGGTCATATTCAAACAGGCCCTAAATGGTTTTCAATGATAGTGAAATGGCTTTTATATTCATCATTTGTTTATCATGTTTTCTCAGAAGAGGTTAAGGCTTCCTTTGTTATTTGGATTATTTGGACTATGCCTTAGTGTTTGTTGCCATGGATCTCCCGATACTTACAAGATATTGTATTTATAAATAAATCTATGGACTTGACCAAAAAAATACCAAAAAACCAAAACCAAAAACCAAAGAGAAATAGAAAGAAAAAAAATAGAAATCAGACAATATAAGAAAAGATACCTGGTTCAAAACCTCGTGTTAGATCAAGTTTGCTCGCTTGGGTTCTACCAATCGAGGACCTTCTTTGGAAAGAATTCGTCAATTAACTCAATGTAATACGACTGTGCGCAACCACCGCCCCCGGTTAGCGAGTGATCCGTCATGAATGACACGACCTACAAACCTTCAACTCCCCCACAACTGGCGGTGCATCGCTCTTCGAGTAAAGATCATAAGGATTGAACTCCTTGACGGCCTCCAACATCTGCCAGTCCTTCTGGTTCATGAAGCGCCTGTATGCGCCCTCTCTATGCCACGGGTAAAACGAGTGATACCTGATCATTGCCAGTGCCTCGTCCGGGAGCGAGGACTGGTCCTTGACGACGTGGTAGAGGTACTCGTCATGGCCCCAGGACAAAAGCAAGTTGTCGAGGCCACAGTGCGGAGCGTAGATACCCATTTCCGTGCTGTAGATGGGGTGCTTGGAGTCCGGGTTTTGGGAGAAGGATTCCGAGAGGATTATGCGTGGGTCGAAGGCGCAACCGACTGTTGATCAATTATATTAGCTACTTTTTTGGTTTCTTACGGAGTGGAGAGCAGGGCCCACCGGGGAAGGTGTCGCCGACGACGTCCCATTGACCTTGCGCTCCGAAAAAGAACAGGAGTTTCCCTAGGTCGTGGATTAGGCCGGTCACCTGCATCCACTTGGGCTTTCCATCCCGTCTCATAGCCTCGGCCGTCTGCAGGAGGTGCTGTATCTGGCTGAGAGAGGTGTCAGGATCGCTCTCGTCTATCAATGTATTCAGCTTCTCCATTGCCTCCCAGATTCCCATTCTTGCGCGCACGTTCGAGTGGAAAGCTTTGCGGGCCGCGAGGTTGTACTCGACGGTCTGCTTCTCGTGCTGTTCTCTGTAGAGGGCCTTGACTTGTGGAGAGGCGCTGACGTATTGGCGGAAGTTAGATTTCGGATTGGAGTCTTCCGTGGTGGCAGTGGTAGCGGTGGGGGTGGGGGATGAGAGGAGGACATTGATGGCGTCGATTTGGTCCGAGATATCTTCCAGCTCACGGCCGGAGGAGAGAGGTGGGGGAGTTGCGGAGGTTAGTCCTGGCGCCATTTAGATTGTAGGCTATAGTGCTGAGCACTGAGGATGGGACGAGGAGGAAGTTTGGCGAGATATAGATATATATATCTATATGTCGAGAGTGCAATATATATATATCCTCAAGCTCAGTACGGTAACGGTACTTCACTACCACCAGCAGAGGACGGAACTGCAAATCGAGAAGCAACCGGAGAAGTAGGTAAGGGTCCTAAAATTCCAACTGACAATCCTCCAAACGAGGAGGAAAGAAGGAGGGAACAGTGGGGGGAGAAAAATGGAAAGGAAAACAGGTCCCAAGTTCTCACTTATATCCCCCGACCCCCCCCCCCCTCCCCCTCCCCCTAGGGAAATACCTGTAGCACCAAGTTAGATCGAAGAAGGCCTAATCCCAGAACAGTAGGGATTAGAAGAAAAAAGTATGAGTATGACATTGTCCAACGATACGAGCTACCGTTCTCGAAGGACCCTCCCATAAATACTGGTAACGTATCGATTCCCAAATCATTACCCCCTGCTATACCCCACATCCTACCTACCTACGCATGACATCACTAACAACAGCGGCGGCAGTGGCAGCAGTAGTAGTAATATGGTAGAGTACCTATAATAATAATAATAGTAGCAGTAGTAGTAGTAGTAGTAGCAGTAGGGGGAGGAGGAGGAGTAAGACAAAATTCGCAGATATGATACCCAGGATTTGACATTTTTAGTTAGATCATAAGCTATCATATTAGAGGGCGGGGATAGGTAAATAATACTTGTAATGACAATAATAATAATCCCCCCCCCCTCTTCGTCGAGATCCTCACCCACACACGCTACAGATGCAGGAAGCAAGAAATCCAGAAAACCCCGGCTTCACACAGTAGGTATCATACGGTAGGGAGGGAAGCCAAAGTTGAATGCATGCAAGGCAAGTGAAGTGGAGCGGGCGATCCTCCCACAATAAGAAATTAATTCACAAAAGAAGTGAGGAAATAAGAAAGAAGCGCCGTAGAAGGGCGGCGCTCCTCCTACAACTCTTACTGACCATATCATACCCGCATTGGACACCCTATCATAGGTGATCCGCGAGACCAAGGGAACAGGCGGGCAGGATACGGTGAGGGGCAGTTATCGTGCTTGACTGGGCGGTCGTCGTGGATGGTAACTTAGTTTATCTTTTGGCATAGACCATAACTTCCCTTCGATGGACGGGCGGGGGCGGGGGGGATGCGAGTTAGAAGCTATAGCGGGGTGAATGTATGACAGCGGTATGAAGTTACAGCAGGGACGATATATAACTGTGCCATACTCGTACAAGTAGCATAAAAAAAAAGAAGAAAAACAGGCTTGACATCAGAGTTGGAATAGGGAGCACCGGCAGTGTGGTGGTGGCGATGGGGTCCCTATTTCGGTCCTCTACGGTAGTCCTGTCCAGTTTAGGACGGTACTGTACTCGTACTCGTGTAGTATAGTTTGGTCGCCATACCGGTACTATGATAGCTCCCGGGACTCAGATTACTGTACATTGCCGTAGATTAAGGGCCAGTTCGAGAACCTTATTTTCGTGGGGTCGATACCGATACTCCACAGGGCATGATGACGGTATACCCGCACAAGTGTAACACCGGCAGCTCTCTCTGCTCGAGCGTACTGACGGTACAGTACTCGAGTACGGTACCGGTACCGTAGAGTGACCGACCCAAGACATCATTCTGGTATCATGCCTTGCATGGGGTGAATGAAACACGGGCACGGTGCGGGGAGGTGGGGGGCCGCGGGGATCAAGTCTAACCAGCATCTGGCTTCCAACTTACAGTAATAGCGCTTGTACGAGTGCAGTACTGTACCGGTGCTCCAGACCCCGCGTTCTCCGCTCCCCGCCGGCACCGTAACTGTCCTGTCCGATGATCGATGTCAGAAATCCGGCAGGAGCCAAGCTATCAATTGCAAAACCACCGCTATCGTAGCCACAACCCGCTCGTCGCCCTCCAAACGCCACCGGCCTTCACAGTAGACATCACGACCCGGCCCTCCCTCAGAGCCGGTACGATACTCGTACGGTGCGAGTGCAGTGCAGTGCGCTCGGCCGCGGATCATAATCTTATAAAAATTCTCCCTAGCTATGATACATGCATGCTTTATTTGACCATCGTTGGGTTTTTTTTGCCGAGTGACCGTGTGGGATTCCCGGGTGTCTGCTCGTAAATAATAACGACCGTGTGCGACGCGAAGCGGCAACCAGCATATCTATCAATCCCACTCCGTGCGTGTACGATCGTGCGAACTCAGGCTGCCGTGTTTCCGGTATTCTTGTGAACGGTGTGGGGAAAGCGCCGATTTGTTGCTTCCACACATGGAAATGTGAAGCGTGGATGGATGGGTGAATGGATTGGCATCACCTGAATCGCAGATCCTTGTCGATAATGTGCTCTGCCCCGAGAGTGCTGCACGAGTGCCGGCATGATACCAGTACAAGCACTGCACTCGCACTGTACCCTACTCGTACGGTAGCTGGGATCTGCAAGGATAGAGAAAAAACAGAGCGGACCGCTCCCGCCCGGAGCTATGTCTGTGTGATGTGATGTCGAAATCATAGTCTACCCCTAGCATGACCGAGGTTTTGGTTACGATAAGCTAAGCCAGGACAATTCACGGGGAGGGGACCGGGCTGAATTGGGAGGGAAGGGGGTTGGAGATAAGTTAGGGTGGAGGGATGGAAGGATGGATGGGATGATGGGCTCACCGTACCATCGTACGAGTACGGTAATGCACGTGAGATCGACGGCGAGCGTTCTGTGCAAGATGCTCAGATCAGTTCCATCGCCGCGGAGACCGTGGGCATTCTCCACCTTCCTGACGGAGCTTTCGATACCGTACTCGAGCACATCACTAGATATCATGCTAGTAAATGTTATCATAGATGTGCTACCGTACTGCCCCCGCGCTCGAGTTCTTCGCAAGTGGTAAGTCAACCTGACTTGTCCAGGTTGAATCTATCGATTGATAAAACTTAATTCTCCGCGTCCCAAATCTGGTAGGTCCCCCCCCACAAAGGTTCGATATGAATTGCTTCTGCGAACCGAGCGATAGCTACGCTACTGTACTCGAGTAGAGTAACTGTAGTATCGATTTTCGTCTATCTATCTATCTAAAGATATTTCGCGACACAACATGATCAATACCCCACTTGACTCTCTACGCGGTAGCCGGCTTTCCAATCTGAATAATTTCACTGGAGACCTCGTCGCTACGGAGGGTAGGCCAGGATAATCCATCCGCTAGACTCATATTGTTAGTATATCAATTCACATATGCATGTATATATTTTCCCAAAGACGCCGCTGCCCCGGGGAAACGTAAAAGGTGGCATATTACCTTTTTTGAGTTTGAGCTCAATTTTCGTCGTGAGAACCTTATATTCACAGCCTGCCGGGTCGATGGCTCCATAAAGCGGAAAGTTAGCCTTATACCTCTTGTTACCCGGCATTGGCAAGTCCACGTCCAACTGTCTTTCTGAGAAGTGAACCTCCGCACTGGCCTTGTCGACCTTTTTCGCGAAAATCGAGACGATGACGTCTGTGTATGTTTGGTAGAAGTCGTTCCTGAAAAAGAGGGCCCGGAGGTGAGCTGTCAGCTCAACGTATGCCATACCGACTCTAGGTCGCACCCAACTCTCATGCTTCCATAGTCCGGGTTTTGTGGGGGTGGGATGTGTAGGGCTGGGATAGTGGGACGCGGGTAGATGGGGAGAAGGGAACTCACCGGCACGAGACCAGTTCCTCCTCATCACGAGGTTTAGGAACTCCAGCGAAAAGATGTCTATCCGTGGCACAGCCGGGGATTTTCAAGAATTGATCAAACTCGAGGACACGGCGCTTGCAGCAAGAGTAACCTTTAGATCCTATATCCGACGATACCTTATTAGCTCCGTACGTTCATCCATTCGCCCATCCCCAGCTTCCCCCTTCCCCTTTTTTCTGTTCCTCCCCTCATAGCAAACAAGAACAGCAAGAGGGTGAATAAAAAATCTCTCGCACCCTCGTGAAATATGGGAACCCCAGGATGAAACACGCACTTCTCATCCTCATCCTCCCTACTCCCACCATCGTACGTAGCCTCACACCCGAGCCTCTTGCACCTCGCCCCCGGCGGAACCGGTACACCGAGATCATCTTGCTCCAACGGCTTCTCCTTCTCCGGCGGAGGAGTGCGCGATGCTGTGTCCACCTTCGGGAGTGCCTTCTTCTGCTGTAATGGCTGCTGGCCGTATACTTCACTTCCGTCCGAGCTAATTTCCGGCGGAGGTGCGACTTCGGGGTGTTTTTGCTTCTGCGAGCCGGGTCCGGAGGTTTGCACAGGTGCTAATATAGGTGCATCGACGGAGTGCCTGCCGACCGAGCATGGCGGGATTGTGAGGAATTCGTCGAAGGTGAGAACCTGGGCGGGTGAGTAGGCGGCAGGTAGTCACGTTAGCCTCAATAAGTCTTCTCTCGTGTCCGGGGAAAGAAGGCCGGGGGCGGTACTCTTGTCTTGCAGCATTGCCAGCCTGGGGTAACGTTTAAGGTTAGCTTCGACGGTTTTCTTTGAAAAAGGAGCTGTTGTGTGCGAGTTTACGGAGATGAGTATATGAATTAACTTACCTTTCTGGCCTTCATGGAATATGGGTGCTCCGGGGTGGTAGTGGCATTCTTCTTCCGGATCTGTGAACGCCTTTCCACAGCCTTTGTGGGCACACTTCTGCGTCATTTTCAATATCTCTCAATTTAGGACAGTTTGAAAGTACAGCAAGAATAAAAGAATAAGAATAAAAGGTTATGCAGTGGCTGGTATCCGCTTCTCTTTTTTTGCTCTGCAACCCAGCAGGGGAGTCGGAAGATGGCAAGATGGATACCGGTATCTGGAGTGTGAATTGGTTTCAAGTAGCACAGGGCAGAGCCTAAGTTAAATACCGGTAAACAGACTAAAATATGGGAGGAAACAAAAGATTTGAGGCTGACGCTCACGCAGTGGAGAAGCTTCGAGAACTTCTAACTTACCGTACAGTAGAATGGCAAACTCTCCTATGGCCGGGTAACTAACTAGTGTGTACGAGTAAATTTGGTCCGGTTATGACCCAAACATCCCTGCGGCTGTTCCTTCCTGCCTTAGTTAATGAGTGAGGAAGCGTGATGCAGCTTCCGGACAAAAGTAAAATGTCGCTGGGACTGTCAACTGAGTAACGGGGCACTCTGTTTCTGCTATTGTCCTTTATAATGGCCCATTATACACATTTCATTATGCGCCCATCTACCCTTGCCAAATAGCACCCCATAACAAAAGCAAGAAACAAGGGTTAAATTTCCCACCAAACGCCAGGTTTCTCCACCTATAAATTCCACCAAGTTCTCATTACCCCCCTCTACTGATATATGAAAATCACACCGCTCCTGTCAGCGCTAACTATCATCCCGTACGGAACTTCCAGAAATGCAACCTGTAGTGGTAGTTCAGCACTCAGTATCCCCCCCCTTTTCTTGTTTTTTTGCCCGAGATGAATGATGACATTGTGTGAACTTACATCTAATATTGAATCAAGATGTGCTTTCAGCAACTGCTGTTGTTGCAAGCTGATAACTGTTGACCTCGGCGTTTTTACGGAAGCCTTATTCTTCTTTGATGAGGATCCAGACGCAGACGAAGGGCCACTTCTAACCCCAGTGGCGTCCGCCCCAGACGGAGGCTGGGGCGGCCTCTCAGTATTAAGAGTTAGAGTTGCGGTGGGATGAGATGATGTGAATGTGGGTTTGGACTCTTCTATGTCGAGCCCACTAACAACCATCGAAGTCTCTACCTTGCTGCAGTTCCAGAACCTGATTTTCCTGTCGGCGCCGGCGCTTACAATAAACCCGGGAGGCGCCCTCGTCTCATGCGTTTCCTCATATGCATCTAGGCCAACCGCAAAAGCACGAACTCCTCTATCAACGCCCCCGGATCCTCCGGGCTCAAGATGGTTAAGGGCGGTTGCAAAACGGCTCAACATCTGCTCTGGGTTCTCGTCATCAACATTCCAGGGCTCATACCCTTTCCCGCTGTCCTTACCACCTCCGGCACGATAGACCTCTCTGCACTGGGTTTTCTCGCAATCCCAAACGGAAAGCTCTCCATGGCCAGTGCCCCCAGCCACTACAATCCATTTTCCGCGGCCTTTCGAGGGGTGTATTGCTATTCTGTGAATTGGGGTTGACCCAGGTAGCCCCCATGCCTTCAAGCGAAGCTGAAACCTCAAGTCCCACATGTCAAGTATGCCGTGTGATGTCCCGAGCACCAACCAGTTGTGTCGCCTGTCGATACAGAAAGCAGTAGGAGTTCCATGGAACACTGGATTTTTCAAAGTATACAAGATGCGCATTGTCCTAAGGTCTAATGCATGTATATTTGATAAGTTGGTTGCGATGAGTAGGATCGAGTGATTCTCTGCGCACATATTAGCCGCAGACCCTCCCACAATTACGGCCACGCAGCCCACCTGCTTTGAAATGCTCCATCCAGACCGCAGACTCTCCTTTCTCCGGTAGTTGCCAATTCCTCATAAGCCGCAACTTGCCGTACTTAACTGCTGTCGCTGTGGTTTGGAAGTCGACCTTGATGACATGTATTGTACCATCGCTCGCGCCGCTAACAAAGCATCTCGTGTTCTCTACAAAACACAGCGCTTTTACCTGAACTGTTCCCGTAGCACCATGTTTATAGGTTTGCCGAGCCTTAAACGTCACATTCTTCTCCAATCTGCTGGAATCCCATATTTTGACAGTGCCGTCATCTGAAGCGGTCAAGAAGAAGTTATGGTCAGGTGCAACAATGACTCTGTTGATGGCAGCTGCATGTTCGCCGTACTGGGCCACCATAACCCCTTCCGGCTTCCATATTCCCCCTCCCACTTGGCGGCCGTTGCTCTTCTTGATCGGCTGTCTCCTCTGAACTGGAACTATTGTCGGGCCGAACTCGAGTATGTCGCTGGGGTAATTCTGGAGATACATAGAGTCTAACAGCTTCAAAATATGTGGGTCATTCCCCTCTATTTCTCTTGTCAGCCTCCCCAGATATAAAGCCCATACCTAGGATTTATCTTACCATAGGAATGGGCTGCTCTAAAAGCGAATTCTTCGGGCTCGGCGACAATCTCAGTGGCTTTGGGTAGGCTCAAGTCGCCGCCCTTCGCAAACGGATGCTCCACTCTACCGAACGCTGTCGCGGAAACAGTGCTAGTTTCCGGGGCAGCCTTAGATGCCTCTGCATTTCTTGCCAGAAGACTTAATGTGCTCGGCCTACGGCGAAGGGGGTTTCCATTTTCCACTGAGCTCGCTGTAGTGGAGGACTCACTGCCTCCTGCAATAGTCACAGGTGGCACGGCCAATGGTGTGGACAACCCTGATACTGGAGCACTATCCGTGTCAAAGCCAGCTGGGTTGGGAGTCGTTGGAGATCCGGAGCCCGAACGGTTGGTCCCGGCCTCCGAATTAAAACGGGATCGCATTATGTCCGTGATATCTACACCTGTAGGGCGCTTCAATAGCAATCGAGAGGGTGTTCTTCGAGCAGAATTATCGATAGTCCTGGAGGCATCCAGGAGAGCATCGGCTATGGTGGCTGGGCGGGAATTACCAGTGGCAGCGTCCGTTGTTTGCATATTCAGATTAAAGAATGATTGATTTTCATCGAAGAATACTGTGTGCGGTGTAATACCAAGATCTTGGAGTGAAATCGTGTTCTTCGCCAGCGGTGGGTTTTCATTAGAGAGTAATCGTGGCTTCGATAAAGCCATTCTCCATATGTACTCCCTCAGAGAAATGACCTTCCATTCATCATCAGGGCCCATGCCTAAATTTCTCAGCTTCTCAATCCAGTTGATATCTTCCTCATTCTTTGGGACCCTTGCAAAACCACCCGGTTGTAAATCATAGACAGGAGCCCTTGGCAGTGAACCCCCTATCGATCCAAAAGAAAAAGTTCTCTGCTCCTGTGCGCCTTGCCAGAATAGCCCCTTTTTTGACTGTGTAGCCCAGGTGACCGCCATATCAAATACATGCCTAGATACCTGCTCAAGTAAACAATCTGATATCAGGCAGTTAGTTTGGGACACAGCATACCGGTTTTTGAAGATGTTCAAGCATAGCCAATGTAGAGATGTTAACGACATCAGCCCTTAGAAATGGCCTCACAGTTGGGTTCACAATGCAATGTATGTCGGCCGGTGATAGCCATTTACTCGCAGTCGCGATAAACGCCACAGCACCTTGACTGAAGCGTCAGTACTAATAGAACTCTCCACCCCATACTAGGGTATATTTGGTTCGAAAACCTACCTTGGCGAATCCATATATTAGGGTGCATCATAAAGCGACCGACCACATTAATAAGTTCCCATATCTTACTCCTTTGGAACAGCCCAAGCTCCGCCATATTGGCAAGGGAACGAAGGACCTTCTCCACAACAAACTCCTCTGGGTCTGTGAGACTCTGCACCATTAGCGGCATGATGTACTCCTCCAAAGCAGTAACCCCAACATATGTCGCTACGCCGGTAATAGTCTCAAAAAATGCGCTCCTAAGTTGCCAATCTTTATCGTTCAGATAAGTGTTCAGGTGGCTCAGAATGACATCGTTAGCCTTGCTGGTTCCGAAGAAAACACAGAGCCTAGACACAGATCTGAGAAATGCCCTTCGGACTCCGGAATCAATGTCCGTGAGTAGTAGTTTTGAGTGCTCCTGGAAATAGACAACCAAGTCGTTCCTAGACAGGTCAAAGAGAGCCTGAAATGCTGATCCTACGGCGGATCCGTCCTCGGCTTCCGGGTCCGCTGTGGGCAAGGATCCATCAGCGCGGAGGGCCTGGGCCATGTCAAGGAATCTTGAAGCGCTATCGGCGAGAGAAGATAAACAAGAGGCGTAGGTTGCTCTTATGAGGGGATTGCTATGAGAAGCGAAATTTTGAAGCTTTGGCAAAATGTAGTCGGGAAATACGTGTGCATTAATAGGGGTAACGACTTCAACAAGCTCCATCTATATATATTCAAACGATTAATAAAGTAAGGTATGCGAGATTCCCGTAGAAAATCGAGAGGCATACCAACTGGGTAACTGTCCTTACAGCAGCCACTCGAACGATAATCGAATCGTCGTTTAGTAACACAACAAGGTAAGGCAAGCACCTATCCAGCTTTGCTTCATCGGTAATTCTTTCTGCAAATGCGAGAAATATATCACACGCTCGCACTCTTGCTGTTGCCCTTGAAGTGTTTCTTATCGACGACGCAATAAGACTTAGGAATATAAGGGTACCGTCATCAGTGCTCACCGGTCGCCTCCGCACAGCGGACGACTGGCGTTGGTAATTTGGGATATCTAAACGAACAGGTATTATGCCGTTTCTAGAGGTAGCTCTCTTTTCAAGAACTGTAGCCTCTTCTGATGTATCGAACCCAAGGAAAAATGAAATCTTGTCGAAATCGTGATAAATCCTATTGATCCTATCATCTGCCTGTGTTTTCATTCCCTGGTCTTCCGGAGTGGATACCCGTCCAGGGTTCGGATCTGTAATAAACCCAATATATTGATGAAGGAAGCTATAGAAATATTCTGGGAACGCTCTCCGGCGCCACAAATCCAGATACTGCTCTGCAGAGTACCTCTTAGCAGGATCAAGGTTGATCATGTGTTCAACTAGGCTGCGGATTTCCGGGTCTTCGATCTTTCCAAGGTAGGTTTGAGAGGGGTCATATTCATCCCTTCGATATTTGAAGAGCTGTGACAAATTAAATAAAGGAGTGCCCTCCAAGAATAGCTCCGCAATAACACATCCCAAGCTAAATATGTCCATCTCGTCCGTAACACTTGCATCCCCACTTATTTCCCCGGCGTCAAGAAAGCGTTCCGGGGCGACGTAACATATTCTCCGTCCAGAGGTGTCAAAAAAGTATGAGAAATCTGCAGGATTGTCCTGTGGTAGCTGCGTTGGTTTAAATTTAGCGAAATCGGAGAGATAGATCCAATTCCAAGACGTGACGAGAATATTCTCAGTTTTTATATCCCCATGATGAATACCCCTAGCGTGGCAATCACGAAGACCGCAAAGAAGTTGGAAGGCAATCCAGCGTTTCTCAATCTCTTCCAAAAACGGCCGAGTACTAATTCTATCATAGAGACTGCTGTACAAGTATTGACGGACCAGGTAACCCGCTCTGTCGGTTTCTATGATCCGTTGATGGGATAAGGCGTTCGGTACATCGGCTAGGGCCACTTGTTCACCTATATAACCTTGTCAGGACCCCCAAAGCGGGATGTTTGAGAGAGAGAATAATACGCTCAAGCTTCATGCGATACTCTTCCAGCGAGAAGCTGGGTGTTGGCTTCAGAAAAATCTTGATAACAACAAGGCCGCCATCTGCATGTTTCGCCTTGATTGTCTTTAAGAAACGGCTTGTCCCCAAAGATTTCTCGTAACTAATGTCGGATAGCTCAGCAATATCGATACCAGCACCGCCGACATTTCGATCCGGAAGGGCGGAATAATTTTGACCCATCTTATCCTCTCAAGGGCTCACCAGAATAAGGGCCGACCAAGAATACCGATATTCTAGGTGTGTGACGTTGGGTGCATAAAGGATGAAGCTCAGGACTGATTCCTTTGGGCGTCGGGAGCAAAGGCTGATATCCTGGTGGTATCGCAACCGGGATTAGTTATCCGTATGTTAGCTTGCCACAAACACTGCCTGTACCTTACTATGCTGCGCTTCGTATGATATGATAGGACCAGTATCATACCGGCAACATACTGGTACGATAGCTCTTAGAAACCCAAAAGCTTTGACCACCCTAAACCCTAACCCTTATCACACTGAATGCTGAGCCGCGAACCCAAGCGAAGGATATAACAGGTCTGAAGCCTCAAAAAATCCACTCTCCCAATAATGAGATGAATGAGCGGCAAGCTGATACATATGATACGGTATGCCTTTCTCGGATCAATTAGTATTATAGCGGAGGAAAGCTAGGACCCTAGGATAGGGAGTCTAAACCCTATGCCTATTCCTTATCTTATCAGATTCAGATCGCTATGTGTCAGGGGTGTCAAAATCGGCTGCACTTATTGCCCAAGCAAATCCGGCGGTAACGATGATCCGTTCCTGAAAACGGTTCCGGAGCGCACCGCTCTCTCTATCCCTATAAGCCGCTACCCCGTCTTCCACCGCGAAGAATACCCTTTGCTATGGCTCCTTCCAAAATAAAACCCTCCCAGTTAGCAGACGCGGTTCTTGGCTCAATCCTTGACGGTTCATATCCAGATTCTGATGACGTTGCGGGGGCTGTCCTCGAAGCCTCAGCACTCCCGGAAATAGTCGCCTCCCTACAAAAGGCGAAGGAAATCCTCTATGTATAATTTCCCCTCAACTTGCGCTCGCAAGAATCTATGCTAACCGTTACCAGGATGAAGTACGAACAGTCAGCCGAGAAAATGGGCCTGAAGTTGATTCGTGGATAGCACAAGCCCGAAGGCTCCACAATGATATCGAATCATCCAAAACGAAGGCAGACGAAATAATACAGCTAGCAGAACAAGAGAAGCAGCTCGACCTTGAACTTGAAGATTCCACTATGCAAGCTCGATTACTAGGATCCGAAATCGAATTCAACGAGGCCTTAACAGAGATATTATCAAAGTTACAGTTAATTGACCTCACCATATCCCAAATCGAGCATTTATTGAATACCGGGGAACTGTGCCAGGCTATTGAGACCCTCGATAATGTCGAAGTTGCCCTTGAAAAGCTACCAGTGTCTGGAGGAACGATCGTTATCAGCTTGATAGGAGAGAGAGCAAAGGGCTTGAGGTCGATATTAGCTAAGAAAATAGAGGATTGCTGGAAATATCTCTTAAAAATCGACTCCCGAAAGAGCGAGATTTCAATCTATAGAGATACGGCAGGTAAGAAAAATTATCCAGCCCTCTAATCCTAACAAACTAATACTAGATATAAGGCTCCAGTCCATCGGCCGAAAATGTCATTGAAGCTCTGAAGAAATTGGATCTCCTCAACGGAAAAATAGACTACTTGCATCACCAAATCGACTCATTACTTGTCGCACCTCGACTTGACTTGCTAAAAGGCCCAGCTCCCACATTCTCAATGAGAGGGAATACCTTGCGCATTAGTGGAAACACCAGCGACCTAAGCGCAGCACGTATGTTTAACGATTTGCGCCAAATTATTACCTTCTTCAACAGAAACCTTCCGTCGGGAATCGCCCCCGTGTTCTCCCGTATCTTTATACCCAACCTGACTACACGATTAATGTCTTCTCTATCATCCTCTGTGCCCTCATCGTTAGACGATTTACCAAAATTTGAAGCACTTCTTAAAGAAACGAGAGAATTTGAAAACTTTTTGCATCAGATATCTTGGACGAAGGAGACAGAGTTGCGAGAATGGACCGAACGAGCACCGAAAGTATGGCTGTCAAAGAGAAGAGAGGCCTCGTTAGACAAAGCTAGGCAAGTATTATCACATGGTACTAGTGCCGTTAAAGTTGTAGAAAGAACGGAGACACAAAAGGTGAAGGTGACTCCCCCCACAGAAAGAAGGTACCCATTAGGTGCCCAAATGGAAGATGTCTGGAACGACGATCCCGGTTGGGGAGATGAAGGCATGCCTGTAGATACTACTACAGCGGCGACACCGCTCCAAATTGACATGGATGACGATGATGCCAGCGGTTGGGGCTTAGATGAGGATATCGACATCGAAGACGAAGAACAAAAGGAAGATGAGAAACCTGGCAAGCCAGGAGATGCCTCAACTGAGGATGACGGTTTGGACAACCTTGATTGGGGGGAATGGGGAGAAGACGACCCAGGGATCGAAGCTCAAGAGCCTACGACAGCTTCCGGCACAGCTCCGGCGAAGAAGCCAGCAGAACCTCAGCCAGCGAAAAGCCCGTCGAGTTCTCACTCTAAGGACATCACGCTTAGGGAAAGCTATACAATTACCTCAATACCCGATGCAATCATGGAGATCATTGTCCAAGTGGTTGACGAAGCAAAGCGATTATCAACTGCGCCCCCCTCTTCCGTCACGCCGGCTGCTCCTGGCATGTTATCAATTCCTTCTCTCGTTCTCGCCGCTTACCGGGCACTAGCACCGATTTCCTATTCCACAAATATATCATCTAACATGTACATCTACAACGACAGCGTTCGGATAGCCGAGCAACTACAAGACTTAGGGGTCACGGCAGAACCAATTCACCCAAATAATAACTGGGATACCGATATCAATCTCATCCAATCCTTTGGCAAACGCTATTACGCCAAGGAGATAGGCCTTCAGCGAACGATACTCCGCGACTTTCTTGATGGTGCGCAAGGTTTCGTGGGCTGCACTAACTTCCCCCAATCGTCAGACTGCCAAACCGCGATCGCATCGGTAGTCGCTCGGATAAAGGAAATTCACACTAGCTGGTCTCAAGTGCTTTCACCATCAGTACTCTTCCAGTCTGTCGGCCTACTTCTGAATACGGTTGTTACAAAACTTATCAACGACATCGAGGACATTCCCGACATCCCAGCCACAGACTCCGAGAAAATATGCGCATTCTTTGAGGAAATTACGACGCTGGAAAGGTTATTCCCCGACGCTCCCGGTGGAGCAGGAGTTTCCATAGCCGGGTTCCATTGCAAGAACTGGCTCAAGTTCCGATTCCTGCAGCAAATCCTAGATAGCAGGATCGCGGATATCTTGTACATGTTTAGAGAGGGGCATTTGGAAGGCTTTGAAACGGGGGAGTTGGTGGATCTTGTCGAAGCGCTGTTTGCGGATAACGATAATCGGAGGAAGTGTGTAGATGAGATTCGGAGAGGGGGACACTAGCGCCTGGGAGCATTTACGGGGGATGTCATAATTGGTTTCTGGGCGTGTTATAGCTTCTACTCGGGCTGAATGAGGATAGATGTGCACGAATAATGAGAGGAGATACGAGTTTATTGGGTTTAAGTCACAATTGCTTGGTGTAAAATTGAGAGGCTGAGGGCAATACCGGTATGCCAAGTGAGGGGAAGTGGCTAGAAGTGGGGTTAGCGCAGGTTCAATGGGTCATCGGCGACTCGAACAGTTCGGCAGCTACAGCCACGTTCAGCAACAGACACACCGTACCCGTAGTGTTATAAGAATCCAAATAAACGGGACGAGCCAAGTTATCCAAAAAATCTCCTTTCCGTAAAAGGGGCGAATAACACCGAAAAACCTGCTTTCCGGGACAAACAATACAAGAAAAGACACTAGACCCTACTAAGAGAGGCAACTCGAACGGCATAGCATACGGTCCAATTATTTGAGATGCCCGACACTGCAATTGCCCAAACATCACGTCATCCCATATCACTCTCTTTTGGAGTGTCTGGTGACCTTCCCTAATCGCAATCCGTTACAACAACTATAATAAACCATCAAGGAAACAGACTGTGTGGGGCCAATCTCCCTGCGAAGCGACCAGTTACTCCCTATAAAAGAACCTCGGAAATATCCTCGACATGCCCCTAGTGAATGGCAGGAACAATAACCCACAGTTCCTATCATTGACCTTGGCAAACAAATAAGGAGCATGGGATTTTTTTTATCTTCTGCACTCACAGATACAACGAGCACAGGCAATAATTTAAGGCGCCCCTCGATTCCCTTCCCACATCTTTAGTAATACTCTCACCACCCACACCTTTTCCCCAAGGAAAGCGACACACATCCCATCCTTAATTAACCTCAAAATAACATAACACAACAAGCTCCAAAGATAAGCTATATAAGAACTCGCAGTGGCCAGTACCAAAACTCAATAAACCCCAATGTTACACTGCTACGCAGATCTCTGGGCCACAACCTAGCACCAATAACTCGAGGCCCGAGATTCCAAATCCGCATTATCTACCGACAATGTCAGCATCATTGAATAAAGCCCCCTCTGTAAGGAGGGCAACACACAATCAACTACCTACCGAGCCTGGTTTCCAACTCCTCAATTGCAACTTTAGACTTCACATTTGCAGCCTTGGCTTCATCCCTCTCCTTCTCTAGCTCTGCAATACGACGATTCAATCCTGTAATCATATCCATGGCCCTCCGATGCGCTGTTCTAGCAATCTCTCTCCTGAAAAACCCCTCACACACCCCAGTTAGTCGAAAAACTTCTGTGGCCGTAGATCAATCCATACCCTTTACACACACCCTCCTTCTGCTTGACCTCTCTCTCCAGTATATCCCAAAGTCTATCCCCGGTCCCTTTCAAGTCGATCCCCTCAGCGTGAACAAGCTCGAACACCGCCATTCGCACGTCGAGCTGGACCCCGCGAGCGGGACTGCTAAGGACACCACTGTAAAACGAACCGGTCCGGGACCCCGGCGTCCGTGAAGCGGCCCTCGTATTTGTAGTTCTCGGCGGGGTGGTTGGTCTGCAATTTGAGTTGAAGAGCCGCCGGCGGGGGCGCGGATGATTTGGTGAGAACGGAAGCGTGACTGTGGCATCATTATCACTGCTAGATTCGTCTGCGTCCGTCTCGCTGGGGGGCGGGACTATGGAGCGGCGGTCCCATGTTCCGGTGGTGACCGCTGCCGCCTTTCGGGAGGAAAGAGTGGAAGAAGGAGGGGGTTTGGGGGTGGAGGTCCTGGAGGGATGATTGGTGGAATAGGGGTTTTTCGTCACTCGGTTTGGCCTGCGTTGTTTGTGGGGGCTGGGCTTTTGTTCTGACACTTCACTGGAGGGCGACGACCCACGCCGGCGCTTACCGGTAGCCGGAGAGGGGGAATGTGGTGGGGCTAGGGCTTTGGGTGGAGACACGGAAGTGGCGGCTGTTGTGGCGTAGCAGGTGCTGGACCTGGTTCGACTGGAGACCGTATCTTTTGAGGGTGGGGTATGCCATGGCAGTAGTGATTGCTTCAGAGGTTTTGGAGTCGTTACGGCTGCAACTGCTGCAACCGCAATTTCTGTTCCACGGAGTACACGAGCCTTGCCCCCGTCAACGCTGTAACCTTTTGCGGCCTCCGCCATCTGAGCCTCTTCGACCCAGATGAAAAAGTCGCAAGACGACCTGCCCTTTCCTTTCTCGCAGGAGTAGACTGCCTCCTCGCTACAGTGATTAGAAATAAACAAATAGAAATCACCGCTTTCAAGCTCTCGAGAACACTCACATTTTTTGCCCCGATTTAGATCCGTGTTTGCCGTGCGTACCAGTGCCGGAATCCTTCACTCGCATAGATTAGTTCTTGAGATTGTGTTCGCTTAAATAATCATTATAAGAATAATGTTGGAGATTCATAGTTGTTTGCAAACCTAGGATTGCAGTTGCCTGGAGGTAATCCCAGTGTCAACAAACAAAGGCTCTCAGAACAGCTCGACTGGAGTTCGGTAGGACTTACAAATCCAGCCATTTTCCCGTAGGTTGTTGGAATCGGCGGTGCGGGGCCATGGCACTCGCGTCTTTCGAGGAGCCGGGGGTTTGAGCATGATGATTCTCGTAAATGGATAGGAACTTGAATTGTAGATAAGTTAGTTGGACAGTTCAGATAGCTGCAAATGCCTGAGTCTGAATAAACGAAGGATATTGTACTGTATTTGTGTCCGCACCCGTATTATTCTCTCCCCAGTGTACAGCTCACTGCTGCAGGAAACGAGACCACAAGCCACCCGGACGAACCCCCCCTCTCCCCCCACCTGGACAGATGCTGATTGGTTACAAGTATGATACCACAGGAAAGTATCTTGTTCGAGCATAACCATCCGAGTGAGGGGTGTCCAGGTGGCTTGTGGTTTCATCTGCCGGTACGGTGCAGGTACTGTATGAGTGGGTTTGTTTACTTTGGTCGCATTAGCTGTCTGCTTGTGGGTAGTTATGATAAAGTGCTAAGCAAAGGTCATGATGATTCGGCACATTTACCCCAAAATTTGTCATTTTTGAGGGATTTTTAAATATGATAAGCTCCTTTACCAAATCAGGGCAGAAATTTTCTAAGTGGTTATATACACATGTGAAGATTGACCTCCTACTCCATAGAGAGTCTTCTGACCCTTTCCTATCATGCTGTAGCTTATCAAAGCACAGGATCTTATGGTTAGATGTTGCCAGGACAACTGTGTTAGAAGTAAACCAATCACACAACTTTCAGTAATAGTGCTATACAACTTTACTGGTACACTGGCATGCTTGCAGCATCTGCAGTTGGTAGTGGTTAAGCTTCAAATTAGTCTTGGGGTATTATGGTGATAGTATGACTTTTAAATTATAAATCTGGGAAAAGAAGCATCCACTTCTGATGAACTACAAACAATTGAAAAGTGAGGCTTTTGTTTATTTTTACTACGAAGCGGGTTAGATCACCAAGAGACTTTTGCTTAGGCACCTTATAGTAAATAGGATGATACTGGTATGATACTACTGTACCGGTACTCGTACACTCGAACCCCGTCACCCTGGATCTCGATAATACGGATGACTCGCCGTCCCGTATGAAATGTTGTCAATCCAAATATTCTCCACAGCAAAACTTGACCCGTTACTCCGGATAACCCACAATGCTGGGCAGGTTCCTCAAATTTTGGTTGTCGGGGATGGCGGTGCATAAGTTCTATGCTCTCGGGTGCCCATAGAAGGGTGTGTTTTTGAGCACTCTATAGTACCGGTACCTTGACAACCACTACGAGTGCGGCCGATAAATACCGTATATTCGTCACGTGCCTTATCTAAGGACACATCACAGCCAAAAGGTGCACCGAAATTTTCTTATCAGACTCACGTGACGAATAAATCTATCGGCCACACTTGTAGAAGGGGCAAGAAGACAGGGATTATGAGGCTGATAGTCTAGAGGTTCCTTTTTCTCATTGAGTTCGGTTACGCGTTACCCGGCCTTATAAATTCCCTCTGCCTTCAACCTGCATAGTATATAAGCTCATCCTTTCCCGGATCCTTCTCCTATCCCTCTATCCACCCTTTGCTGTGCTCTCATCCTTTCCTCTTATTTGCAATTGCTCAGTCGCTAGCTCGCTTACCGACCGGTCGCAAAGCCCTGAGATTCCCGCCCCACAAAAAAGTTGCCAAAAAAAATCAAAACGCTCCCCGGACAACTAAGCAAATTCATGGATATGCGCGACAACTTTGTTGACCGCGGAGCGGAAATGGACGACGATGACGATGAGCTTGGTCAGGAAGAATTTGATGAGGACACCGGTGAAATACGTAGAAAAGTTGACAAGTCGAATAAGCCACCGAAAGACTTTGACGACAGCAGCGAGGAAGAGGATGATGATGATGACGAGGAGGCGGCAAAGGTTGTCCCGGCCACCCCGGTTGAGTCATAGGGAGTTCACTACTAACTAAAGATACAGATTCGTGAAGGCTTTATCGTTGATGATGAGGAAGAAGACGAAGAAGAAGAGCAGGAAGACGGGTCTATGGTTCTGGTCAAGAAGCGTAAGAAGAAGAGGAGAAGATCTAATCGCGAGGATGAGGAGGAGGAAGGTCTAGACGAAGATGATCTCGACTTGGTCTTGGAGAATACCGGCCATGAAATTGATAGATCTAGCCAGGTTTGCCCCGCCCAATTCATCGCTCCCCCTGCCACTATTGCTAGAATAGCACCCCAAGCTTACTTACATACCGGATTTCTCTCAAGAGCAAATTCAAACGATTGAAGCGTGGAAGAGAAGATGCCGAAAAGCGTCGTCGCCAGCACTCTCGTGATTTAGAAGAAATTTTTTCCGACGAAGAAGACGCACCCGGCGAGCCTGATGACGATGACGAAGGCCTCGACAATCGCCGCGGTGGTGAGAATGAGTTTGAAGACTTTATTGAAGAAGATGAGATGTCCGAAGACGAACGCGGCGGAGGTGGAAGCGACGATGACATGCAAATGGTCAGACGACGGAGAAGAGAGAGCAATCAGCACCAAGGAAGCTACGCACCTCAGCGCCTGGGGCTGCGTGAGGGTGCTATCTCTGATATGCATGATATCTTTGGGAGAGGTGATGAATACGATTTCGCTCTCGTGACAGAGGACGACCCACAAGAGGAGGAGGAGAGTAGGGAAAAGGAGTTGGAATTGAAGGATGTTTTCGAACCGAGCGAGTTGGTGGAGCGTATGCTTACGGACGAGGATAATGCGATCCGTCAAACTGACCAGCCGGAGCGATTTCAATTGGCCGGGAAGCCGTTCGCACATCTCAGGGTTGGTGGAGAGGAACTCGAAGAGGAAACTGAATGGATCTCCAAGTTTGTTCTGGCTAAAAAGAACTTGCCTCCACACCAAGAGGAGCCCTTGGTGAAAACAATTGGGAATGTATTGGAGTTCATTGTATTCGAGCAGATGGAAGTTCCATTCATCTACCAGCATAGGAAAGATTACCTGATCCATACGGAGAGGGTTCCTACGCGTCGTCATGGCGATGGGGAAACTGGATACGAGATCGAAGCTACCAAACTTCTCACACAAGACGATCTCTGGGAGATTCTTGAACTGGACCTTAAGTTCAGAGCTTTCCTTGATAAATGTCGGGCATATGAGAAAACTTATTCCAGTCTCAAAAATTTTACGGATACCTCGGATGATAGCGAGGCTGAAAATGGACTTCAGCGTACGGAGACAATTGAGCAAATACAGGATCTACACGATTACATTCATTTCCGCTATCACTCCCAGCTGAAAGATATTGCCGTCACTAGTGGCGAGGGTCGTGGAAACAGCTATAGGAGGCCAGGGAGTAGCAAGACTATCTATGAGCGTATCCGTAATGGAAAGGTTTATGGTATGGTCCGTGCCTTTGGTTTGTCCGCAGTACAGTTTGCGATGAACGTACGCTTTGACCAAAAGCGTGAATATGCCGAGGATCCTCACGACTATCCCCATGTAATCTCAGACCAGTATACCGATGAGCCCGAGTTCCCAAGTGGGGAGTCGGTATTGCAGGCGGCCAAACTCATGCTTGCTGAAGAGCTTTTCACAAATCCGACCTTAAGGAGGTCGATGAGAGATAAATGGTTCACGAGAGGCATCATCCACGTTAACGTGACGGAGAAGGGCGTCCGTCAGATTGATGAGCAGCATCAGTACTATGTAGACACTCTACCTGCAAATTTCTCTTGAGATGCTAATTTTCTATAGGAATTCAAATATCTCAGGAATCAGACTATCCGGTCGATTGCAGTACACCCTGCAATGTACTTGCGTATGATGAAAGCGGAGCAGGAAGGCTATGTCAACGTAGATGTCAATCTAGAGAATGAAGACAAGTTCACTCGGCGATTATACGAGTACATGACATCTGAAAACGTCAGCGATATAGCTGAGTCTTGGAACAAGGAACGAAAGGAAGTCGTTGATTTGGCGATAGGGAAGTTCAAGTTAATGTTTCAAAAAGCTATCAAGGACGAATTACGAACTGCCTGCGAGGACGCTATCGCAGCCGATTGCCGCAGATCGTACCTCAAGGTAATATTTCCCCTATTCAATATCTAAAAAACTATCAACTAATTATTCTTTCAGAAGCTCGACCAGGCGCCCTACAAGCCGAAGGCATTGAAGCTTGGTGAGATTCCGCGAGTCTTCGCCTTCTCGAATGGATACGGAGAGAGGGGCCGGGATGCTATTGTCGGTGTCTTCAGGGACGAAGATGGAAGGCTTCTCGAAACTGTCAAGTTTACTGATCTTAAGGATGACACGTCTCGAACCAACTTTATCGAAGTTCTCAACCGTCGTAAACCCGACGTTATCGCCGTGGCCGGTTTTAGTGTACAAACCCACAAACTTGTTGAGGAGATTCGTGGTATCGTCGAGGAGGAGGACATCAATGTTGTGGGTGACGACCCGGACGATAGATCCCTGACCGAGGTGATGTTAGTAAACGACGAGGTAGCCCGTCTATACCAGAACAGCGACCGCGCTGCCGTGGACCATCCGGAACTTCCACCGCTTTCGCGATATTGTGTGGCCCTTGCAAAATATGTCCAGAATCCACTCCTGGAATACGCTGCGTTGGGTAAGAATATTGTCTCCATCGCATTCCATCCGGCACAACAGCTTCTGCCCGAGAACAAGCTCCAGAAAGCTCTTGAAACCGCCATGGTGGATATGGTGAATCTGGTCGGCGTGGATCTCAACGAAGCTGCCAGCAAGCCATATGTTGCAAACCTGCTTCAGTACGTCTGTGGCTTCGGCCCCCGAAAGGCAGTTAGCGTCCTGAAGGTTGTTCAGGCAAACGTAAGTCACAATCGCAATACCCAGCCATTCAATCGCTAATTTACTCAATAGGGTGGACGAGTATCAAGTCGTCTTGAATTGCTCGGAGATCACGACCGGGGAATTCTGCCGGTTGTCGGTCCTACGGTCTTTATCAACTGTGCTAGTTTCCTCATTATACCCCATGATCCAGCGGACCGGAACTCTGACTACCTCGACAACACCAGAGTACATCCCGAAGACTACGACTTGGGGCGTAAAATGGCGGCAGATGCTCTTGATATCGACGAGGAAGATGTTGCCACTATGGTAACAGAAGGCGGCCCCGGCGCTGTTATCAATGAGCTCATCAACGGGCAGGATGAGAAGGTAAACGAGTTGAGTCTTGAGGATTATGCCGAGGAGCTCGAGCGCAACTTCAATCAGAAGAAGCGTGCTACTCTTGAGACCATCAGAGCAGAATTACAACATGCTTACGAGGAGCTTCGGAATAAGTATCAGAAGCTTAGCATCGACGAAATATTCACTATGCTCACTGGTGAGACAAAAGAGACATTGAGTGTTGGCATGGTTGTTCCAGTTGTTATTAGACGAGTTACAGATAGGTATTGTGCCGTCCGGCTCGCCTGCGGAATAGATGGAAATGTCTCGTTGGATGAGATGCATGATGGCTCACCACATTTCCTCCCAACCGATATCTACCATGCTGGACAGACAGTACAAGCAAGGATTGAAAAGCTCAATGAGGAAACTTTTTTTGCAGAGCTCTCCCTCCGTGAAGACAATATTAGGAATCCATTGGTCAAGCGAATTGAGTTCCTACCTGACGAATGGGATGACGTACGGGAGGAACGAGACAAGGCGAGATTGTCAGTGGTCAACCAGGAGCAGACCCGCACAGCCAGGGTTATAAAACATCCCCTCTTTAAGCCGTACAACAGCAGACAAGCGCAGGAATTCTTGGCCGGCCAATCCCGAGGCGATGCTATCATTCGACCTTCCTCCAATGGCCCGGACCATATTGCAGTTACCTGGAAAGTATCCGATGGTATTTACCAGCACATAGACGTGCTCGAACTGGATAAAGACAATGAGTTTACAGTCGGTAAAACTCTGAAGGTATCCGGCAAGTTCTCGTATAGCGACTTGGACGAGTTGATCGTTATGCACGTCAAGGCTATGGCCAAAAAGGTGGATGAACTGAGTCACCACTCGAAGTTTATTCAGGGGACAAAAGCGGAAGCTGGTAAGACTATCCCTTTATATGAACCCACTTTGCACATACTCATATCCCACAGAAAAATGGTTGGAAAAGTACTGTGAAGCCAACCCGAAGAGGTCAATGTATGGTTTTTGCTTTGACACCCAGCGCCCAGGCTACTTTCACTTGCTCTACAAGGCCGGTGCCAATGCCCGTATAGGAAGCTGGGTAAGATTTCCCCCAGCTGTAATAACCCCCCACACTCACTAATCCTTCTCATAGCCCGTCAAAATCATCCCCCAGGCCTTCCAACTCAGGGACACCCCATTCCCAGATGTCATGACACTCTGCAACGTGAGTTTGGCCTACCCTCCCCATATATCCTTCCAACCCTCTAACAAAAAAAAACCATCAGGGCTTCAAAACTATGTTCCAGCACAACTCTCAAAAATCTCGATCGCGCATTTAAAACCTTCATGGACAAGAAATGCATTTACTTGGTCACCTGTTGTTTCCCGATTTGCTTTGATTCCTTGTACACAGTTTCATTTTTCAGCTCTCAATGGATTTCGGAGTTTGTTTTTCTCTTTTTATCCTTTTACTCCCATTCTGTCTCCCTATCAATCCAGTTCTCACTGGAAAAAAAATAATATCAATCTCGCTCCCATAATCCAAAGACCGAGTAGCTTGGCTTCCTCCATCTGCTATTGAGCAAATAAGAAACAAACTCGCAGAGGGAAGGTGAGGAAAGCAGAAATCTACCCGTACTCTAGCATTCCCATCTCATACTTTTTTCGCGCTTACGTTGTTTCATTACTTGCTTACTTTCCACTCATCACCCCCATTCCTTTCACCCTTCTATCCGTCCGAATAACGTCTTTCGCGTGTACAGTATGCTAGCTAAAGAGCAAATGCTCATTAGAAAGGTATTAGTCTACTCGTACTCGCAGAGAAAATAGCTACTTCACCCGTAGGTCAACCTGTAAAAACATCCCCACCGCACACACTGCCACCGCACCGCACTCTGCTCGTATGATACCGGTACGGTACACTTCTCTGTCGAGAAGACGCTTGACCAACCATCGACTGCGGGGGGGCATCTGTCAACTAGCGTAGCGTATAACAATGATAACACCATTGTCAAGTAGGGTATAAATAGTAAACCACGATGGCTCTCCTACCATCACGGTAGATGCTGCATTCATCTAACCCTCTTCAAATTTTTCCGACATGGCACATTTTCAGTTACCTCACAGCTCAACTCAACTTGTAGCCGGCCATCCAATCACCAGATTTCTGTTTTCCGTTACGACTATCCATAAGTCTGCTATCATACCATTCGTACGCTCTTTGGCCAAGGCGATTTAAAATTTATTACAGCAACAAAAAAACGAGTCTGTGGGGGGAACGCCGCTCCTTTTTTGTTTTCCCCCACACACGCATCCACCGATAGAGGTTGTATGACGAACAGGGCTTTACTGTAGCTCTTTCTCCTCTTTTTCCTTTTTCCTTTCTTCTTTTTTTCTTTTCTTTTCTTTTTACTACCGTATTACGCTCCCACCGTTTTTCTAAAAATACTATCATTTCATACATGCACGGCGCTTTTGCTAGAAACACGTCCGTTGAATGACCGAACCCCTTTCGGTTCAAGAGATGTGCAAAAAAAAAAAAGCCCCCCACCTCTGAATACCGGTACGGTACTGTACGAGTACTGTGGGCGCTACCTTTGCAATACCGGTATCATATAAATACTTTGGTCCGCTAGAGCCATCAATGGCATCTAATATCTCATCATACCTAGATAATTAGGTTGAAATACAGAAAAAGAAAAAAAACCTCAATGGAGAGAGAGAGAGAGACTTGATTTTTCCCTCCCGTTAACTTCTCTCGATCCACTGATTCTCACGATCTTTGTCGACATTTTACCTACCGGTATCCAAGTGGTGTACAGCGAAGCTCCGGTACGGGATCATGCACCGATGCGGGAGAGGTCATACTATAGCATACTGACTACCGGTGTGACAGGAAGTAGGTTTTAGGAGTTTTCTGGTCATGATTTTGCGAATTTTTTACCCATAGAATTTTCCGTCGTTGTTTTCAAGCTGTTTTTCTACCTTTTTCATTTACGGTACCTTTATCTGCATTACTATGTTGTACTGTAAACTTTATCAGTAAAATTCCACCCTCTTATTCGATTGCATACCATGTCACTACAGTCAAACTCTTTTTTTTTGCACAGGTGCCAGCTCAGTCAATCACACCGTCCAATTACGGAAGTAAATAGAGACACTTCCACACCGGTATGGTACCGTACGGTATGGTTCGCTACAGTAGTCAAGAATTCACCCCTGCAACCGACAGTACTGTACTCGAGTACCGTACTTGTACGAGTGCAGGCACCACTGGCATGATATACCGGTAGTACCGTATTCCAGACGGTTCCCCCCCATCTGCTCCTGATCCTGAGAAAAATGTTTAAAAAAGACGGTATCATACGGTATGATAGCATTATAATATTATTATATCATAGCAGTAGCAGTACTGTACCAATACCAATACCAATACCAATACCAATACCAATACCAATACCAATACCAATACCAATACCAATACCAATACCAATACCAATACCAATACCAATACCAGACCAAGTACTGTACCATTCGAGTGGAAAGCACAGTACTGTACAGCGCCCAGTATACCGTATAATACCGGTACTCAAAACACCACAAGTTACATTACGCACGCGATAAAAGCATCTCTACAAGTGCAAAAGCTTTTAACAACATCATCATATCATTATACCGGTAGTAAGTTAACCGGTACCGTACCGTAATAGCGTATTACCTACACTGCCCCCCACCCCAACCCCACACACACAACCCAAACAAGCAAAATGGTAATTTCATTTCCTCCCTTCCTTCCTCCCCTCCCCATCCTTTTATCGAAAACAAACGGTAAGATTATCAGAATCCCGGTTTTTCTCTTATTTATTTTAAATTTTTTTTCTTCCCCTTCACATGCGAAAGTTGATACCGGTAGTGCTGTACTCGTACTTGCATGGTGAATTTAATTGTGCGAGTACCGTATCGGTACCATATTTACTGTGCTGTGCTGGTAGCGAGAGACGTGGGCGTTAGCGGTGTTCGGATGTGATATCACGTGGTGTTGACGCCGGTTGGGAGATGGGGATGGACGGGGGCTTGTCGGAACGGCTGCTTTCTTTTTCCAAGGGTTTGGGGTTTGTGGTGTGTGATGGTGATGATCATGATGGCTGGTGGCTTTTCAGTTCCGGGTTGTGCCGGGGGTCCGGGGTTCCATTTGCAGGGGGGAAAGTAGTGGATGGGAAGTGTACGATACTCAGTACCGGTTTTTTTTTTTTTGTTAAATCCGCGGTTTATTCGTAGCTAGCTACAGGAAAATCCATGGCAAGCACCCTAAGGCATGGCCTAAAAACCCCCTTATACAAATGAAACTTCACCCCCAAAAGAAAACCAATGTCCAATAGTAATCACCTCATTCCACGCATCAATGAAAACATTTCATAAGTCATGAAGCCAGATTGGCCAATCTCGTATAAGGAAAATCCTCCCCACCCGCCGGAAAATTAATCCTGTTCTTTATCACATAGGAAATAAAACTTCCCATCAAGCTCAACCCCTTCTTCCCGCCCTTCCACAACTCAGAGTCAGGCGAAATATCAAAGGTCTTTGGGTCTTCATGTAGGCGGGCCCCAGCCAGCGCGGGGCAAACCACTACATGTTGGAATGTCTCCTCTCCCATCTCACACCTCCTGCACATGGGGTCTCGGTCCTTCATGGACCAGCCCGTCTGCGCATTGAGATAGCTCTTATTCGTACGCATTTGGTGCACGCGCCCCGATTGGAACTTCGGGAATGTCATGAAAGCCCAACACTCCCGGTATGGTGGCCTATAGCCGTAGTAAGATGGGTAATCCCAATCTACCCACCTCTTGTGCATCGCCTTCCTAACCTGCTCCTTAACCCTGAAATGCCCTTCAGCATCCTCCGGTTTGACCATCAGTAGGCGAGTAGGCTTCATTGGAATGGGGCCATCTGGGAAAACCGTAGTGGCTATCGATACTCAGTACCGGTACCGGGACTGTACTGGTACTGGTAGGAAGTCTAGAGCGAGTGATAGTTTGTATGGTAAATGTACGAGTAAGAGTATTTATTTCTTAAAGATATATACAAAAGTGTTTAGGGACCCATAGTGGTATCAATTACTGCACAGGTATCCGGAATGACGCATTCGAACTCTGGGATCAAAAATTTGTATGGTACTGTAAATTGTCCCCGCGTATCCGGACGCCTATACCGTACTGTACCGTACTGAATTCAGGGTCAAATGTTGAGGTGTGGGCGGGGGCACACTACTAATATCAGTATCGTACCTATATAATAAATTTACCATGTACAAGTATCATACCCGCCAACCCCCCAAATCAAACCACACCTAAATCATGTACCAGGTAAAGTGAGAAGCCCCGACCACCGTACTCACTACTTCCTGCTCTTAGTCAATGTCTAGCCTTGGCCTACTCTTCCTTGCTGCCGAGATTTTATTCTCTCCCTGTGCTTGTAGCCGTACGGTAAAATTGCACCCCGACAAGACCGGAAAACATTCTAAGAGATGCTCATCTCATACAAGCGTTCACACCAGTCCCACTTCCCGCCATGCGGTGTCGCACCGCATCGCATCGCATATATCGTGTCCGTCGTAGATCAGGGGCTCATATGAAACCGTATTTCATGCTATTATCCGTCAGTTTACCTCGCACTGGCTAACTAACGCGAGCACAAGCACTAACCCAAAGTACTAGTACACTCCCGACCCGTGGAAAAGGCAGTTGAAAGGAAGAAGAATGTCGAAGAGGTTTGCACTACTGACTGACGATAATGCCTATCATACCGCTATCGAAACGGGATTTCCTCGCTGATCCCATGGGTGCTTGTCCTCGAGTACATGTACGAGCGGTCTGCTGCCCAAGGCGGAGAGGGTACGGTACAGTACAGTATAGTACGGGTAGGGGTAGTTCTTAAGAAGCGCCGTGCAGTTCCTCAAGACAACGTAATTCCTGTCCCGCTTCCCTGCAAACACCACCCACCTCAAACAATGCATCTGCACTCGTCCCCGTGTGTGTGTTTGCTCCGAAAATAGAAAAGAATACTATGGAGTTGTTCATTGGCTGATTCGTATCCGTGATGTCCCCCAGGATGGGGATTGGTGGTTGCCGTGCCGAACCATATCGTATCTCACACGTACAAGAGCTATTCGAGTACTGTACTAGTACTTGCAATTCCCCCCCTTCCCTACAAGTACAGCACGGTACCTGCCTGCACCTCCTAGTAAGGTAAGATAGGATACGGGGAGGAAGAGGTGTCCCCTTCTAGAAGGATGATCGGCTAGCCATTATTGCGTACGAGTACAGTACAGTAGCTCAGTTCTCATCGATCAGAAGCTCACGCGGAAAGTGCAGATGTTTGGACCTACAGAGCCAATGGGGTGCCCTCAACCACCGGAATGAATTGATAAACAAGGTGAAATCGAGAAGAAGAGGATAGGAGCAAGAGAATTAAAATTCATTCTCTCATTCTTTGGCTTTCATTCCGGGGTTTCGCGGCGGTATGCGCAGGCAAGTGAGAAATGTAACTCATCCCATGATACGGGCTTATTGTTGGTAAGAGGGAGGGGTTCGATTGCTGGTAGACTTCGGTGGTGGGTAGAGTACCGGAGAGAGCTCGTGCATGGAGCCAACCATCAGTGTCCATCACCATCTCCACCACCACCATGCCGCACTCGAGCACCAAGCAAGCAAGCGAGCAGTGGCTCGGCAAGTGTCGATCAATGTTTTTAACCCTGTTTGTACTCGTACAAGTATCATAGACGGGGGCTTCCGGAGCAGTTGACACGGCTTTATCTCGCGCAACAGGCAATTCTCTCATTTTGCCTCTTCGCCGGTGTGTGTGGCCACCTGGTGATAATTGGACTTGTATTGTGTGGCACTGTACTCGTGGAAGCGGTCCGGTTTGCGATTCTCTCGCTTTGTTTCCGTCAAGTTCAAGTCCGGGAAATATATGGGACCACTGGACGCGTGATATAAATATCTCGGCCAGCAGTCTTTATCACGGAACCAGCGGAATGAGGGTATCACGATGCTTTCAGCTTGTGACATTTGTTGTTATTTATTATTCTCGCGTCCTTTGGAGGGGCGGTTGGGAGGGCCTTGGGGAGTCTTTTCTCTCGGGGTGCAATGCCGTTTCCTTGCCGTAAAGTTTCATATCAGGCAGATAGCTATCATCCGCTTGTTATCTCGTCTCCCTCCCAGCATATCATCTTTGAATTTTGCTCTGCTCTGCACTTTGCCAGGAGATGTGGCCGGTCGCATGGCGAAGTACAGTAAACTCCATGTATGATACCGGTACCGGTATCATAGTTGCACGAGTACAATACAGTACGGATGACATCCTTGCTGCCGTTTCAAGGATCAGTCCGGCCCGAATTTCTGTGTGTCCCGTCCTCCATTACGAGCATGAGTGAGTGAGTGAAGCCAACTGACAAAACATCCGCTGGAAGCCCACCCCTCTCCAACCCTCTCTTCCAATTTCTCTCCTCCCTCGACCTCTTCACGAGGATTGTCGCGCGGAAAAATTGAGTTGGAGGAAAGCCATTCTCTTTCCCTCGCTGTGGGAAGTTTACAGTATCATACTCGAGTACCGTAATCCCTCCTCCATTCTTCTCCCCTTTTGACTGTAAAAGCATCTACGAGTACTGTACTCACTCGTACAGTACGAGTGCAGCTGTGCTCGATAGGGAAGGGACTTTTTCCACAGCCAGCGAGTGAGGGGAGAGGGTCTCGCTCCGCCCAGAGAAGGGGTTTTTCCGGGTCGCGAACACCAACAGAATCTCCTATCATAACGGTACGTGCCCTTCGTTAGCAACCGCCCTAACCGTGTTCGGAGACGGATTGGTTGCAAAGGCTGGGTAAGGAAACCATCCAATCACTACTCGAGTACGAGTACCGGTACTACTAGACCTTTTTCACTCTACTTGCTCTTCCTCCTTATCCCTCGAGAAGGTATAATAAGTGCACAGTGAACTTGCACCAGAAGCAACAGCAGGATCCCTCGGCGGGGAGGGGAGAAAAGAAAAAAAAGTAAACAAAGGTTCGTGAACCTCCTTTTATTCCCTTTCACATTTTTCTCAGATGGGGTCGGACGGACGGATTAGGGAAGGATGCTGGCAATTCATTGTGTTTCAACGTGCGCCTCCCGAAGCTACAAGGAAAGGAAGGTCGGGGGGGTTGCTTGGTCGATCAATGGCTAACCCAGCCGGGCTTTTTTGTACTTTTTTTCCCAAAATATTTACTAATCAACGGGCATCCCGTTTGTGCTGCTCTATGCGCAGGGTTTCGTTATACGAGCCAGACATCTGTCCTCCGTCCGGCTGCCGGTTTTACTTCCTAGGGTGGCTGACTTTTCGTCTGTTTACTCGTCAGTGAAAGCGTTCCACCCCTTCTCCCGTCCTTCTCCTCCCTCCCTCTCTTGCGTGGAAGGAAGGGGGTTGGAAGGTTGAAGGTTGAAAGGTTGAAAGGTTGAACGAGTGCAAGCCTCAATTGCTAGTCTACCGGTAAGCTAACCTTTCAATCCCCCGAAAGTCCAACCCTAAGACCTACCGCAAAGAGTCCCATCTCGGGGATATAATAATAGTTTTTTGTTTTTTTTCCCTTCTTCTTTTCTGATCGACCTCCTCCTGTCTCTCGTTTTGGCGTTGTCCGTTTGAAACCCTTTACGGTACTGGTTTGGCGGCATTCTATACAGTACACTCGTTTGCCTCTTTTGACATTGTCCTCCTCCCTTTTTCCCCCATATCACACTCTCTCACTCCTTCCTCGTCATCCGCGGCTACGTGGGCTGGGCAGCATCGTACATAGCTGGCGTGGTTAACAACTTGTATCCGGAGAATTTTGTCTCCGTCATTCTCTAACAGCAGCACACTACACTCACTTATCCTTCTCCCGACGCTCTATTCTCTGCCTCTGACCGTGATTGTTTCGCCAAACTCTCTACCGGACTCGGCGTCACCTGACAAGGTTAGCTTCGAATCCCCTTTCTCTATCCATATGCCACCTATTAGGAGACACTCTCCCTCAATGTCATGGCAAGAGTCTAAAGTATTTTACCCTGTGGATATTTAGTACATTCCTTTGGCCCTTCGATAATTGGTTCCGCGATTCCCGTTCCGATTTTTTTTTTTTCTTTTCCGTCGGGCTACCGGTGATTCTGTTGGCCCTGGGCAGGTCAACTTAATACCTTGCTCACTAGCACTGATATATCACCATGTTACCGAGTTCAACCCAGCACCGGGTCTGGGGCACCACATCATTGCCCGAGATGGGAGAAACATGCAAACATACCTGTGGGCAAAACCATGAGCGAAAACATCAATTTCGCCAGCGTGTGCATGGGAGGTACTTGTGGATACAGCTTTGTGTTCTCCTCATCTTCATGGTCTGTGGGGGGGGCCGAGCTTTGGAAGTCGAATATTGTTCGAACGTCAATACTGGATCCTCCTACTCGGCAGGCATGTCACCCCTTTTGCCAGCCCTCGTGGAAGAACCCTTCTAATGGTCGGGGGATATAGCGACTGAGATGTTCCAGAGCCATGGTCTTTGTTATGACACCTGTAAAGCCAAATATGCATTTGCCGTTGTCCAGGGATTGAGATGCTGGTGCTCCGACTATGTTCCAGCTTCGACCACTACTGGGTGCGATGAAATTTGCCCTGGCTATGGCTCGGAGAGTTGTGGGAATACTAAAAAAGGTCTATATGGGTATATTTCTCTTCCAAATGCTCCTAAGGGAACAGCAGGCGGCTCATCAACGGTGAGGGCATCCGATTCTCCAGTTCCTAATCTTTTGAATTTTTCTCTTTCTCCATCTCCTTTCATCTCCACGGCTATTGGGGGAAACCCCGGACCCACTACTACTGTTATTGTATGATTTTGAGGATGTGGTTGCGGTTGTAGTTCCCGTCGCGGAACGTGCCGCGGTTAAGAAACTGGTCAAGGAGCATCTGCATTTTTGATATAATCTATATATTTGGTTTCGTTTTCGTCTGCTTTTTCTTTTTTTTCTTTTCCAAGCCCTCCTTTTTCCTCTCTCTCTGTTTTCCCCCGTTTGATTGGTTTGCTGATACCCGGTCTTCAGACCACTTCCCAGTCCACCTCTTCGTCCAGCATGACGAGTTCTCCCACTTCAACTTCAGCTCAGTCTACCTCAACCGGAGCTACTTCTACACCGTCTGTAAGCATTGTGACTTCAGTCGGCGGCTACAAAACTGTAACACTCGCTCCCACCGAGCAAACACCGGCACCAACACAACGGGTGCCAACCTCGGATTCCTCTAATGGGAACTTTTTTTCAAAGCCTGGGCGAGTTGCGGGATTGTTTGTTGGTCTTGCTCTGGGAATCATTCTCATCGTCGCTGCACTCTTGTTCTTGTGTTACCGACGGAACAGGCAGAGAGCTACTTTCAATAGCGTCGGCTCTGGCAGTGCAACGATGGCGGCTGTTGCTGGAGGGGGCGTATTTAGCGGACGGAGGAGATCTCGCTCCCTGAGCACTTTGGGGCTCATAGGGGAGAAGGGAGGAACAGCTATGAATACCACCCCAACTTCGACTGCGAACAACTTCTCTGGGCTGCCTACGGTCGAGGCAGGCAAATCGGCAACCACCGCCCAGACGCCTGGCCGCTTAATAGACCAACGACTTGACCCTAACCAAATATATCTGCGCTATGACCCGGACACCGGCAGCTCGCGGATGAGTGTAAGGAGCTTAAGAGATGATACTGATTACTCGAGGAGGGTGTTGCGGGTGAGTGTCAATAGGTCTCAGTTAAATATATATTATAGGACTTGGCGCTGACATCCGTATCTAGCTTGCAAATCCCGACGACTAATCAGCCACAGGCGTTCATTGAGAAAAAGAGGTTTTGCATTCATGTAATGAATTTGGGTACTTTCTGTTCTAAGCTTGGATCCAGGTGGCTAAAACGGGGTGCATAGGCGGTTTGGGGACGGTTTTGTCGGACTTTGTTGGTTCTTGGGAGTTTCTACCATACCCGGAATTCCATTTCTCACTCTTCGCTTCAGAAGCCGATTTTTTGCATTTTCATTTTTCAGCATAAGTTACACAACAAGGCGTACCCCACAAAATATCAGTCCTTTCCGAGACCATACTTTCTTTGATTTCTTGGTTGATAACGGAATCGCTGGGAAGGAATTGCCGGATATCCTGTCCGACGTCTGCTATTTCCCTCCCATATATTTTTGTCCGTATGTTGGGAGTTTTTTGCTATCTATCCTGTGCCAGAGATGTTCAAACCGTCCTCCGGTCGCAATCGCTAATCAGGAGGGTGGAATGTTTGTTCTGGTTTGTAAAAAGAAAACATAAATATAAGCGGCGTTATCGTGGTGGTGTTTTTCTTTCTTCCCTTTTCTTTTTTTTCTTCCCATCTTGGTTTCATTCTCCATTCCTTTGAGCGTCTACTATTCTGTGGGTTGGTGCCATTTACGGTAACCTAATACGGTACTGTATCCTACGCACGACTGACTAGCGAATAATAAATAAGTTAATATTAATACTTATCCTTGTTTTTCGGTACCGGTTCTTCGTGTGCGGTAATGCAGGCTGAATTAGTTGCATACCGGTAATTGATTCGGGGTTTCTCAAAGCGGGCACCGGTTCCATCTCAGCCCATAGGCCGGGTCCAAATCCAGCGTGCGTGTGGAAGCACAAAGGGTTCGGTGGAGACATGTACGGTAGCGAAGAGGGTACCGGTTATAAATAATGCTGTCAATTGTTGTACCGTGAAATAGGCTTTTCTCGGCACTGTTATCGCCAGAGAGGGAGAGAGGATCCATGAGGTCTCTCACTTTTAAAGGAGCTTGTTGCAGGTCACAATCGAATGGTCAGTCCATCATATAAATTACGGTAATACCTTACTACGGAGTGTCATCAAAGGTATCTTGGGGCTCAACTCGATAGCGTGATATGTAGGGGCGATGGTGTCACTCGGCCCCCCTGTCCTTGGCATTGATCACTAGCGATCATATACCGGTATGCTACCGGTTAGGGCCCCAACTTTTCTTTCTTTGGACTCATTAATCTGGCTTTCTCAAAAGCTTAATTTCAAGCAGGGAAACATATATATCTCTTATATTATAATATTATACACAAACCTGGTTCCTCCCCGTTTCTCACCTTAACCCGAATCAAGGGAAGAAGAAGGAAAAAGGAAAAGAGCAAAATGCCCGCCGCGAATTTGAGTATTCCCGATAGCCCTCCTCATCACGGAGATACGGCGGGGACCATCACAAGCGAGTCGGAGAGCCCCTTCGCGGAACTGATCTGGAACCAAAAGATAATCGTGGTCCCCAGCTTCACCCTCGAATCCGGTGTGACAATCCGCGAGGTCCCCGTGGCATACAAGACCACTGGCCGCCTGAACGAGAATTCCGACAACGCAATGCTAATCTGTCACGCACTCACTGGCAGCGCGGACGTGGAGGACTGGTGGGGACCTCTGGTAGGCCCTGGGAGAGCCTTCGATTGGGGACGGTTCTTCGTCGTCTGCTGCAACAGTCTGGGGAGCCCTTACGGGAGCGCTTCGCCCTGCACTATGAACCCCGAGACCAGCAGGATTTATGGGCCAGAGTTCCCACTAACCACGGTTAGGGATGATGTCAATATCCACAAGATCGTGCTCGATTATTTGGGGGTTCGGAGTATTGCTGTGGCGATTGGAGGCTCAATGGGGGGCATGTTGGTGCTCGAGTGGGCGTATTTTGGAAGGGAGTATGTTAGGTCTATCGTGGCGCTTGCTACTAGCTCACGCCATTCTGCCTGGTGCATTTCTTGGGGGGAGGCGCAGAGGCAGAGCATCTATTCCGATCCAAAATATGGTAGGCAGCCAATCCCAGGCGTGTTTAACGTTAAGTTTACCGTGTCATAGCGGAGGGGTACTACCCATTCGATGATCCTCCTACTACAGGACTGGGTGCTGCACGGATGAGTGCCTTGTTGACGTACAGAAGGTCTCCTTCACCCAGTCTACATCTATAGCATGAGCAGTACCAACATTGACCAAACGAACAGTCGCAACTCCTTCGAGTGCCGCTTCGGCAGGAACACCCCAGACCCCGTCCGCCACCCATACATAAACTCCCAAGTCAGCCGCCCCCCCATAACCCCAAGCGAGGAGCACTGGGCCGTGCACAACGAGGGATTCCGAAACGCCCGCCGCCTCGCATCATCCCCATCAAGTCCAACCACCGAAACCTTCCCGCGGTCACAAGAAACAAGCACCGCCGGCACCAGCAGCAGCAGCAGCAGCAGCAGCAGCAGCGGCAGCACCCCCCCTTCTTCGCCAGCTAGCCTACCAGTGAAGAAACATGTCCCAACATACTTCTCGGCGCAGAGCTACCTCCGCTACCAAGGCGACAAATTCGTCAAACGCTTCGACGCTAACTGCTATATCGCCATAACTCGGAAACTAGACACGCACGACGTCTCCCGCGGCCGCACAAACGGGGACGTTCACGCTGCGTTGCGGATGATACAGCAACCTGCGCTGATAATCGGCATAGAGAGCGATGGGTTATTCACTTACGCCGAGCAGCAGGAACTCGCAGATTTTATACCTAATGCTAGATTAGCTACTATTGATTCGCCGGAGGGACACGATGCATTCCTATTGCAGTTCGAGGAGGTCAACACCCATATCGTGAGCTTCTTGAGGGAGGTTATGCCAGAGGCCATGGCCCGGGAACCGATTTATGCTGTGGATAAAATTGGAAACGGGGATATTGGGGCTGCAAGGGGTGGGACTGTTGGGGAGGTGGATGATATTACTGCCTGGTAGGATGGTTCGTTGGTTCGACAGAAGGGGGAATATCTCTAAATATCTCTTTTTTCTTTCTTTCTCTTTCTTGGCAACGCAGGTTTCCGCTTTTACTTTTTTTATTACCCCATCTTACCTTTGGCGATGAGGATAAGTACGGTAGATGGTCAGGCGTTGTATGCTGTCTGTTGATACCGGAAACTAGTTTGTGTTTGGTTATGGTGCGTCTACCGCCCCCAAATTTGAATATGAATTGAGGGAAAAATTCCCTCTTCCTTTTCGTTCATGATATCATATCAATGATACTCGTACATCCCCCGTTTAACCCTACCTAACGTCGCTAATCAACTATCTTCCCGCCCCCCCTACCAATGTCTTATCATGCTTGCTTTTTTCAAGTACCCTGAAACCCATTCCCGAGATTGAAACTGTATCGCATCATATCATACTCGGGCATCAATACCGCACAAATTCCGGTATCGTACATAGCACAATCTGTGCGCCGTGAGCATTTTAAAGTGACCTATTGCAGCCATGATTGCTTCGTTCATTTGTTCATTCGCAATACATGAACTGTACTTTTCTCTCTCTCTCTCTTTCTCTCTCTCTCTCTCTATGATGCCGGCACAGTGCCCGGATGCGGGGGAGCAAATATTTGTACCGGTGTCATATTATCCGAGCGGATATCCGGGTGCACGCATTAGATTTGGATTCGGGGTGTTGTTGTATGACTCTTTCCTGCTGGGTACTTGCATGTCCCGTATTGCCCTGGGTTGTGGCGGTTGGTGAAGGTCAGGTTGTCATCACAAGATAGCACTCGGAAAGCTGCCAAGAGTGCACGGTTTAAGTTTTTCTTGGCGCTAGAGGAAAAAAATTCAGAAAATTCAAGCCTTCGGACTTTTTGTCATCCGTTCACCCTCCCATCATCACCAACCGTCACGACCAACGAAACAACGACGGATAAATCATGGGCAATTTCAAGAAGGAAGCCAGTCGGCGGTATGCCCCCCCCCCCTTCCCACTTCCGTCCTATCAAACGATCCGATTGAGTACTAACCCAACCTCACCGTAGAAAGCGAGAGAAGCCCATCGGTGATGGCATGTCCAACGTCAAACTCAAAGGCGAGAACTTCTACCGCGATGCAAAGAAGGTGACCCGCCTAAACACCCTAAACGAAGGAAAACCAATCCGCAACCGCAATGGCGACATAATCAAGGCTGCTTCCTTCCAATCTCGCGAGATCCCGTCCGCGCGGGTCGAGCCGAACCGGAAATGGTTCGGCAATACTAGGGTAATTTCGCAGTCGGCACTGACCAGCTTCCGGGAGGCGATGGCGGTGAAGGCGGCGGATCCGTATCAGGTGTTGCTTAAGAGCAATAAGTTGCCCATGTCGTTGTTGAGGGATGGAATGGAGGAGCCAGGGAGGAAGGTGCATAAGGCCAAAGTGCATGTTGAGTCTCAGCCGTTCGCTGAGACTTTCGGGCCTAAAGCTCAGAGAAAGAGGGTTAAGTTGCAGGTTGCGGGGTTGGAGGAATTGGTTGGGGAGAGTGAGTTGTTGGAGGTCAGGTATAAGGAGAAGTTGGAGACTGAACTGTTGCTTTCTGGGAAGAGTGCTGAGGAGAAGGAGGAGGAGGGGTGGATTCAGGAGGCGAGGGAGCCGATTTTCTCGAAGGGGCAGAGTAAGAGGATTTGGAATGAGTTGTATAAAGTGTGTTTTCTACTAGGTTGACGGAGTGGGTTGCTAATGGTGGGCAGGTCATTGATTCTTCCGATGTCGTGATACATGTTCTTGACGCCAGAGATCCCTTAGGAACCCGCTGTCGCAGCGTGGAAAAGTACATCAGAGAAGAGGCACCTCACAAACATTTAATATTCGTCTTGAATAAATGTGATCTAATCCCTACCAGTGTTGCGGTATGCTTAATTTTTGCTTTCCTTTTTCTCCTTTCATCACCTGTCCCTTTTTCGTCTCCCCCTCTCTCCCTCCTCTTCTCCTTCCCCTTTTCATCTTTCTTAGTGGTCTCTACCGCCCCATCGTTCAAGTCAGGGCGCCTTCATGTCGATCCCCTACTATAGGGGATTGGCGTATCTTCTATTGGAGGTGCGCGTTACGACCTTGGGAGATCAAGCCCCTTCCCGTTCTCATCCTGCCAACGTTTTGTTGGCGGGTTGTTTCGATTTCTCCCGTTTTGGGTAGAGTCACTTGGGGTTGGTGCAGGTTTCGTATTGAGTTGAGGATCGATTTTTTTTTTCGATTTTTAATGGAAAAATTTTCGTTTTGATTCTCTTAGTTATGATTCAGACATTTTTTCGCCCTTTTTTTTTTGCTGCATGTTGCTGGGTCGCGATTCTCGCGAGTGTGGCGAGGCTAATTTAGGTGATGTACAGGCTTCATGGGTTCGCCGGCTGTCAAAAGACTATCCGACTCTTGCCTTCCATGCCTCTATCAATAACTCGTTTGGGAAGGGTTCTTTAATTCAACTTCTTCGCCAGTTTTCGGCTCTACATTCGGATAGGAAGCAAATCTCTGTTGGTCTCATTGGTTATCCTAACACTGGGAAATCCTCTGTGATAAACACATTGCGCAAGAAGAAGGTCTGCACAGTAGCACCTATTCCCGGGGAGACAAAAGTATGGCAGTACATTACTCTTATGCGCCGTATCTTCCTGATCGATTGTCCTGGCATCGTCCCCCCTTCAGCTGCAGACACCGAGACAGACATTCTTCTCAGAGGAGTAGTAAGAGTAGAGAATGTATCCAATCCGGAACAATACATCCCTGCCGTCTTGGAGAAGTGCAAGCGACAACACGTCGAGAGGACTTATGAGATTAAGAGTTGGACCGACTCTGTCTCGTTCTTGGAATTGCTTGCTCGTAAGGGTGGAAGACTCCTTAAGGGCGGTGAGGCGGACATGGACGGTGTGGCCAAGATGGTCTTGAACGACTTTATGAGGGGCAAATTACCTTGGTTCACTGCCCCGCCGAAGGACGAAGAGGACGGGGATAGCAATGTTGGTGCCGATATTGCTGGTAGAGGGGGTAGGCTTGGTGAGATGAGGAAGAAACGCACTGCCTCGGACATGGAGGGCACTCCGGATGGAGGTGAGAAGCAAGAAGACGGCGAGGAGGAAGCAGAATGGGGCGGGATTCAGGATTCTGAAGACGAAGATGGCGGGGATGAAGAAAGTGAAGATGATGGTGGTGATGAGACAGGCTCTGATGGTGGTGCCACTCTTGTTGCTGAACAAGATGCTGAAGAGGAGAGTGAGCTGGAGGAAGAGGTAGAGGAACCAAAAGCGGAGATCAAGCCTCAACCAAGTTCACAGAAGCGCAGAAGGCGAAGGTAACTGTGAGGAAAGGCGTAATATCTGGCTAGGTCTAGCTTTTGTATTGTACTGTAAATAGATTGCTAGCTGTGCAAAAGTGAAATACCGGTACTGTACTGGTGGTAATGTCCATAGCATCACTTGTGTGATGTCACTGTTCCTATCTGAACGCTATTGTTAACATGTGAATTCCGCTCGGGCCACTCCTACAGATGGTATCATACCGGTACTTGCGTAGGGTTGGTGTTGCTACTGTATCAGAGATAAGCTCCCCTATTTTTAGAATTGTAATCTATGATTGCCAAGACAGAACAGAGCCTCGAAGGCCCCGCGTCACGTTAAACGCGTCGCTCCATGAAAGTGGATGGAATGCACTTTGGTGCGCGGCAAAACAGACGACCTCCTCCAGGATTTGCGATCTCACACTTTCTGCAATTGCCCTCGAACAAACATGTCACGATACCTCAGTAAGCTACCCACCTTCCAACAGTTCCTCGCAACAGCTGGAGATACTAATTACCAACCCCCCTCCGCCCAGCCTCTGGCAAAATAGCCCTCCTCGCCCTCGTAGAACTCTACGCAGAGTCGCGCTTCCCTAACCAATCCGTGGTCCCGGTCCTCTCCTTCGTGATCCGGCATCTGGTGAGTCCGAAGGAAAACACCGCATTCATCCTAACCCTCGAGCACATAAAGTCCGCAACACTGCACCAGCCCAGCGCAGTTGTGGGCCGCACGATCTTCGACCTGCTGCTGAAGAAGTTGTGGGAGATCAACTCCTTCGACGCCCTCCACACGTTTTTTGCGAACATACAGACTTACCTGATCGAGCCCGAGCATGCGGACAAGTCCCCCGTGAGGGTGCATGGGGAGAAGTCCATGCTGAGCAGGACTTCTGTCTTGGGGTGCTTTGTCCGGAGGGCGGCGTTAGAGTATGTCCGGTTGCAGTTTCATGATGCTGTGTCACTGTGGAGGAGCTTTATTGCGTATCGTGAGCCGACACTGGCAATGTGGAAGAAGAGGAACTTGGGCGCTGGGCCGATGAGCTTTGATGTTAATCTGAAGGGATTGGGGTTTGGTGATGGCGTGGTTGGCGTGGTTTATGGGAGGGGGAAGGAGAGTCGGGATTGTGTGATTTTCCTCTCCACCAGTTCCTTTGGGGAGGTGCTGACTGGGGGTTATAGGCACCGTTTCTACAGATGATGTGGAGAGGCTATTGGAATTCCAAGTGGAGTCTATGCAAAGAATGGGCACGAGAATACCGGATGACATGCAGGTTCAATTGAGGCAGATGCTTAGTACTAATGTTACTATTCCTGCGTTGACGCATTATGTTGAGTGAGCAGTATGCCTGTTTTGAGGTTTACCATTGTTGGGACGGTCGGTTGATTGATCCGTTCCGGTAGGTTTTTGAATTCCTGGCGGTCAGGGGATTATCCCGGGTCGTTTGATAATTTGCATCGGTACTTTGATTACACGATGCATAATCGGGATAGGTGAGTTTATACTTTACTGGTTCGTGTACGCGCTCTTGCGGGTTTATGGCTGATTTTTGTTTTGCTTGCAGAACCTTCTACCAGTATGCTCTGCTGAATCTTGCGATTTTGCAGGCGGATTTCGGGTGTTACCGGGAGTCTATACTGGTTTGTTTACCCTGATCTGTGTGGCGAGTGGAAGATGAGTTAATATGTTGCAGGCGATGCAAGAAACTATAAATACAGCCCGAGAAAATAAAGATATGGCTTGCCTGAATTTCTCGCTGTCGTGGTTATATCATTTTCACAAGGCCCACCCACAAGACTGTCCAGATGTTATATCTTCAAGGATGGAGCGAGAATCGTTGCAGTTCCTCAAAGCAAAGGCCAAGGAGGGAGGGATGCACCATCTACAGTCTATGGCGCATCTCTCGGAAGCTAAGCAGATACTTGTTGGGGTATGATCATTTTCACTAGTTTTCGAGATTTGGCTTGTTTCTGATTTTTTTTCTTTCCAGGGTGAATCTATACCGGCTGCCTTTGAGAGTATACTGCGTAGTTCTCATTTGAATGTGACTAAGAATATACATAATGCGATGGGTTCACAGATTTTACTGCAGTCTTCGTTGTGGAGTCGCATGGGTATGAGAGCTCTGATACTTCTGGATGCTGTGTCTTGCTAATGGGTTAGGCATTTCGTATCTGTCCTGGATGAATTGCGAGCTATTTCTCTCGAAGTATAGGGTTAATTCTCCTATTGAAGATGTTGTTAAGGCACTTTGTCGTAGTGCTTATATTGTAAGCGTCCATGGCTATTTTCGGCATTTAGGGTGCTAACGGTTTGTGAAAGATGTCTCTACGAGGTAAGACGGACGAAGCATTAGAAAGGCTGGATCAGGTAGACCAGGAATGCCTGCGCACACTCAAGGTATATCAGTATTGGGCGACATATGTTGGTCTTTTAAAGCTTAGGCAAGCTATGTACAAGTTCGGTCCCTCCCACCACACGTGTTCCTGATATATGCTTACATTTTGTGGTTCTAGGGGCGATACAGCAGCGGCAGAGCTACTGCTTCAACAGCTTTCGGCTTCGCCTTACGTCGAACCTGACTGTGCATTGGAAATTGCGATCTGCAGGCTTGACCTCCTCTCTCGTCGGGGGAATTATTCGGCTGTAGGTTTTGTTCTAAGATGGATGGATGCGTGCATCTACTAAGGAACCCTAGGCATTAACTGCCATAACCCAACTCTCGGAAGAGCTAGTGCGAGACCGAGCAGACATCTACCATCGCATACGGGTGATGATTATTAAGGCTGACCTTCTCTCGGTATATCCCCTTGGACTACCCTCCCCAGCGTTAGATAGTATTAATACGTCCTAGAAATGTGGCCGCACGGTAAAAGGCCTCTCTGTAGCTATTAGCGCCGCAACAATAGCCTGGCGCTCCCGCCTGCTACCAGCCCTCTTCCAAGCCTTCCGCACAATCGCCAACATCCTGATCCACATGGGCGAGTTTTCAGCGGCGTACTCAATGATGGACAACATCATGCCCCAGGTCCTCGAATGTGAGGACGCATACCTTAACGCTCAGTGCTTTTCATGCCTGGCGGATGCACAAATGGGACTTGCGGGGGCTAGGAAGGGGGCTGGAAGGAATGAGTGCCTGCATCGCGCGTTGGAGTTTATTGATAGAGGGTTTGCTGGTTCGTTTATTGGAATTTCCTAGGTTTATTGCAGGGGGGGGGTTTTTTTTAACTAATGAGTGGATGAATAGAATACTCCCGCATTAGAGATGCAAGATCGCAAATGACGCTCATGAGCCAGAAGGCTAGGATTCAGGACTTCACCGGTGAGAAGTCGTTAAGGGATGATGCAGTCAAATGGTATAAGCAATTGAAAAAGGGTAGCTAGAGAGAGAGAGAGATCCCCCCCTTTCGTTTTGACAGACGGAATGTAATTTTATAATACAAGTGAAATTATGATAATATCATACAGTAGTAGATTCAGTTCGGCCTATCCTTCCTTTTATTCTACCCTCTTTCTTTTTTCTGGCTTTATACACAAGTCGCCGGATTGGACCCCTACCACCAAGACAAACGCAACTCCAGTTCAATCCGGCGGCTTGAGTATCATACGGCCTATGCGTAACTGGTGAAAAAGTGGGGTGATTTTATTTGTCCTAAACCGTCGTCTTCTTTTTCCTCTTTCCCGAAAGAAAAACATGATTATGGTGACGGTGGTGATGCCAGAACTCCTATGTGCCGTTGAAAGAAAAAAACTATACCGCAGCTAGGTTTTATATACAGATTGGTGTCTTTTTTTTCCCCTTCGAGAGAGATTTTGTTTTACTTGTATAAGGAATTCCCCCACTCCCGAAGCCTTTTTTTTTTAACATACCGCCAGGGGTTGGGCGCCAATTGGTGTGTTTGATCGGCTGTGGTTATTGAAAAGGCAGGAAATGGGATCTATGTAGCAGTAGAGGTAGCAGAGCAGCGGCAGCGGTGGTGGTGGTGGTAATGATGATGATAATGACAATGATGGTGAGACGGTGGCCTGGATAGAGGTTTGTAGTCGTAGCAGTAGCAGTAGCAGTAGCAGTAGCAGTAGCAGTAGCAGTAGCAGTAGTGGTACGTGGCAAGTTATTGATTAGTTGGTAGGTAGTTGGACAGGGTTGGGCTGAGTTTGGTTGAGAGTGGGGCGAGGATAGTAAGGTTTAAGCTAATTCGCCGAATATTCTAAGCATCGTTTCGTACATTCCAAACGTGATGGCAGCGGAGGGTACGACTCGGAGCTATAGATTCGCCACCAGTCAGTAAAAAGTCTGGCAATCAGAAAGCTAATTGAATATAGGGAAACCCCCACCAAATGCGGACTCAACCCCCCGTACATCGACACAAATCCCTCCTCCTTCCACATAAGCCTGAAACACTGCACAAGTCCCGTATATTTTGGTTTCCCCCCATCAACAGGCCTCTGCCTCAACCTGGTCCTCACAACTTCATGCGGATACGTCAAAATCGCCGCAAGCAACTTCGCCGACCCAGCAGCCCCCAGCTTCCCGCTCCAATCCACAAAGTTATCCCAAGACGTTTCTGGCCGCCCGCTGATCACAATCTTCTCCTTCCTAGCGGCAAGGTAGGCCTTCATTTTCTCGTATAACACCCACTGCAGCGTACTCTCCGTCACGCCGAGGTAGCTCGCTGATAATCCCTTATATAAGCCACGGAAGCCTTCCCCGCGGAGGACTTGTCGGACGCAGTCGAGAGAGTTTTTATATTGCCTTGCGCGCCCGTCCACGCCCGCGTTTTCTTTGTCGAGCTGGAGCCGGGTCTTAACGAGCCAGATGGGGTTTGTTGCGGTGCCTGTTACGATGCCGGCGCAGGCTGCTGCGCAGAGATGGACCCACGTGGATTCTTGGCCATTGTTAAAGCTGTTTGCTATTATGCGTTTGCCATTTCCATAGGTTGCAAAGTTTATTGCTCTGGAGGTGGATATTGTTAACTTAGGGAGCCATTCTGAACGGGGAGGCATAGTACCTTGCAGGGACAACGCCGCTCAGGTTTGGCCCCAAGCCTTTAAAAAGCGCGCGCCACCCTTCAACTTTATGTACGTCGCTATTGAACGGGTAGATATATTAGGAATTGAGTCAAATCGAGCACTTCTGGACGAGCGGTATGACGTACAAGAGTATCTGAAAGGTCTCCTGGAAATGTCTAGCACCCTGTCTGAGTACTCCCCCTCGGTGTATATTGGGACCCGCAGCTGCTCTGGCATTCGCTAACTGCTGCTTGTAAAAGTCGCTCTGAAGTCTCGTTTTGACTACATCTAACGGTGATGTTAAAAACGTGGACGTCATTCCTCCCACCCTATCTCCGGAAAATCCTGAGCATTAGCGATCCTGCTTTTTTGGGGGGTACGGCATGGCGGGGTCGTAGTGGGGCAAATAGGGAAATGTAAACGAAGAAGAAAAAAAAAGGGAAAAACTTACGCCCCGGCAACAAAATGCGCCCATGGTTTCCGCTCAGCTTTTCGAATTGCTTCTCTGGATCCCGGTGCCGGGACTACTACTCCGAGTTCTCTGCTCGTGGGAAGGTTATCCGCCGCCGTAGTCTTCAATTCCGAGTGTAATCGGGTGTCTGGGGGGGTCGGTCGTAGGATACTCATGTTTGCTTTTTCCTTTGTTTGCTGTGTCCTCAATTGGGTTGTGGATGAGGATCAGTGAATTCCACCAGGGGGAAGAGAGGGAGAGAAGGGAAGTATGGAAAGGAAAAAGGATTAGTTAGGGTTTGTTAGCGAGTGGGTGGTGGGAAGGATTTCAATGGATGTGAAGGGTTTTATTCGATTAATGATAACTTAGTGTAGGTGGGATGGTTAGGTTTTTCTCTCTTCTGCGGCTCGGGGGATTTTGGGTTAGTACTGGTATTGAGGGCAGGGTTGGCTTGGTGGGCTTTTTGGGAGGGAAGATGAACCTTCGTTTGTTTGCCCTGCCGTTGGTTTAGAGCATGATACTGCAAGATGCCGGCACGTTGCTGCTATATAGTAGCCATTGCTCGGGGCTCTGCAGATTCGGTACAGATGCTAGCCTACAGTACATTGGTTACAAGGTAGTCGTTGGTTTGTTTATTTCTGCGTTTCAATAACTGCTCCTTCCGGTAATTCTGCTCGGTGAGGTGAGCGACTCTTGAACGAGAAAGGCGACAGGTGGAGATGAGATGCCCATGGATGATTATCCGGCTTTGGTCCAAGCATTGTTGGTTAAGCTTGTGTCATCATAATACAGGTGGCTCTCAAAAAGTTGCCGTTTGCCGGGGGGAATGACCATAACATGGAACCTCACTCGTTGTCAAGGTCGCCACTAGCCTAGGTGTGCACGATGTGGGTATGGACTATGTCTTAACATCCGTGGATACTACGGGTGAGTGCTAACGAGGAATCAAGTCAACTTTCCCTTTGGGTTGGGTTATGGGGTGTCGGCACGCAGCTTGCGTGCATTATTCTACCGTCGCTGCTTGAATCGGCAAAAGTTGGAGGTATAATCATTGATAGATTGTAATACTACAATCCCCCATAACTGAACAGTCCATAAAAGAAATGCCCCCAAATATTGGACAATTAAAACTGCTGGGAGCCATTGCTCATGAACTTTTATTTTATTTTAACACCCGAAGAAAAACCGAGAAAAGAAACCGTAAACAATCCAAACAAAGCCTCCATTTAAATAGTTGTCTCGTAAGGGATGGGAGTAACAGTTTCTGGGAGGTTGTCCTGGGTGGAGACGGTACGAGACTCGCGGGGCTGAACTGGCTGTCTCTTGAGATAAGCATGGGTTCCGTCCTCCTTAGCTTGTTTCTGTTTGGCAGCGTTCCCCTTGACACGGTTCAAGAACTCTTGTCGACACTTGGAGTGGTTGACGTGCTCGATGCGGACGTTTACACGCTTCTCCAAGTAACGGTTTCCGACCTTCTTGTAGATAATAACACCTAGGGCGGACTTGGTGACGTTGTAGACGACACCGGTCTTTCCGTGGTAGACCTTGTGGGGCATACTATATCGCAGGTCAGCATAGCCGGCCAAACCCCGTGAGCCCCCCGTCGATAGAGATAGATTCGAATCGGGACCCCTCGCATCCATAGAGTTCTGGCTTAATCTGGGCAGTGAACTAACCCCTTCTGAACAGCTCCATTGGCTTTGATGTCGACGATATCTCCGACCCTATTTTGGAAATTATAAGTTGCTAGCCCTCAAGATCTCAAACAGATGGAGATAGCGTACTTGTATTGCTTAAGATATGTGGAAAGGCGAATCATACCCTTCTCACGGAACTTCCGTGAGAAGGCATATCTAGTACCAGAACGAATACCGCCTGAGTGACCCCTGAAACGACCGTTAGATTTTGTTGATTTCGATTGGGGAAAGGACTAATGCCACTCACATTGCGTCAAAGTGTTAGAATTGTCGAAGGTTGCTGCTGAGGAACTTTCGTGGTGCTAGCGAATGTGTTTGTGATTATCGGTAGGAGAGTGGTGATGTGGGGAGAGAAACTTGTGTGCGAAAATTGAGGGTTTACCCTAAATTCTTGCAATCAAGACTGCTAAGAGGAACTCTTGGCACCCACAGACGGTAGGGGCGACTTTTCCAGACCTCGAACATTCAACAAACAGCGACAACAACCAGCGCCTCAACCGAACCATACTAACCTTCTCTCCGCCATCAGAGCCATAAACACACAATGGCCCCTCGCAGCTACTCTAAGACTTACAATAAGTCCCCTTGTGTTAATCATTTCATGTCCAGTGCTCTCTGGCTAACCTGAATTTTACAGGTCCCTCGTCGTCCATTTGAGTCAGCCCGTCTGTGAGTACCACTGAGTTTGAGCGTGCTCATTCTTATGTCTCCTTATCAAACACGATACAATCTGCGGGAATACTGATGCGTTGGTTTTGCGGGATTGTAGTGATGCTGAATTGAAGATTGTTGGCGAATATGGTCTTCGCAACAAGAGAGAAGTTTGGAGGGTTCAGTTGACACTCTCCAAAATTCGGTATATATGCCCGCCCTTTAATGGAGGGGGCTATGCTAACTAAGTGTGGGTAGTCGTGCTGCCCGCCAACTTTTGACTTTGGATGAGAAGGACCCTAAGCGTCTCTTCGAGGGTAATGCTCTTATTCGCCGTCTGGTCCGTGTTGGTGTCCTGGACGACTCCCGCATGAAATTGGATTACGTGTTGGCTCTCCGTACTGAGGATTTCTTGGAGCGTCGTCTTCAGGTATTCTACTTGCTTTCCTATATCTTGAATATCGTGTCTAAGAGTTTTATCTATAGACTCAAGTTTACAAGCTCGGCCTCGCCAAGTCTATCCACCACGCCCGTGTCCTTATTCGTCAGCGCCACATTCGTGTTGGAAAGCAGATCGTGAATGTTCCTTCTTTCATTGTTCGTCTTGACTCTCAGAAGCATATCGACTTTGCTTTGAGTTCGCCATTTGGCGGTGGGCGTCCTGGACGAAACAGGAGAAAGAAGGCCAAGGCTGCCGAGTCTAAGGGTGATGGTGAAGAAGAGGAGGAGGAGGAGTAAATTCCTAGTTCCTTAGTCACAAAAAATAATAATGGTCAAATCTTCAATGGAGCGGGGGCTATGATTCACTTTCGGCGGAAAGGTATTTGGTTTATACGAGATTTCCTTTTGTCATGCCCGGGAATTGTAAATTTGTGGCTGATGTGATCACAATGAGATTTATGATACGGTGCTTCTTGGGTAATTTCACATAATTGATTCCATCCTAGTAGTATACGCATGATGCGTTCTGAAGTGTGATATAGTCTAGGCTTTGCTAATGATGCCTTACGCTTTTCCAATCCTCAATCACAGCACTATTGATGGTAGGGCACTATACTCGAGTATCGGCATCAGCGCAGTACCGTGCGGTGTGCCTCCAGATTCTGTATGCAACCTACCAAGCTCCTTCTCCTGCATTTTCCTAACCCCGCTTTCACCTTCCTATTTGGGTAGATTGTTGCGGGGGAAACCACCAAGAGGCGCACTCTCACGATTCCTCTTTGCTAAACTTTATAGCTTCATAGGCGTAGAGTGCCACCTTGAACTTCATTGATACCATAGGTTTTAACTACACCGTAGCTGACACCCTACTGCTACCCATCTTGTCCTCTTCTATAGTGGCACCCTCGCCTATATAGCTATGTGGAGCAAAGAGTCATCCCCCTGGTTAGCCTCCTCCTCCTTCCCAACTGCCTAAAACCCCTAGAACATCCTGCTGAGCTTTCTGGCGTTTCTCCTCCCTAATGATAGTTCCTTGACGGCAAACATTTCCCCCCCCAGGAGCCAGCACATTTGGGTTATGATTTTGTTACTATTATCAAGGTTCCTTGGCCCTTCAATTAAGGATGATAGTTGCCTAGTATACTGCCACTGGTCTGTGTTGAGATTGTGTCTGTAAAGAAAATGGGATGTTTGGTTTTTACTGTTGTTTTTTTCTTTTGCCATTGGAATCCATTGGTAATATTTCCTTGGCTACCGGCTATTTCTATTTTCAGGGGAGGATATGTAGTTGGCTATAGACTAGAGGGACTATAGGATTGAAGTCATTGGATGGGGTTGGGAAGTGTTTCTTTTGTTAATGTTTAGGGCCATTGTGCCATAGCTTAGATTGAATAGGATGAAAAAGTTCTGGTCATGTATCATAATTATGATGCCTATATGAATATACAGACTTGACGAAAAACCAAGAATCTGTATGCAACCTGCTTGTGGGTTATACCGAGATTTCTCTTGCACAAATACTGGTATCAGATTATCATGGTGCAGCGGAAATCACTTAGAAAGGACTCCCTGGAATTCGAGCCCAAAATCTGATATCTGTGCCCTCGAACTTTGGATTTTGCAAATATGGAACCGCTATAAGGCATGGGATCAAACCCTACCGTAGGTGCCGGCAGTTTTATTTGCATTAGGTGAAAATTCAGGGTGCCCATTGAAGACACCCAAAAATCTTGAATGGGCATGAAACAAATTCCTAAATATTCATAGTGTAGGATACAAGTACTACCAGTAGTGGTATGAATACAATACTCAAGTAACTCAATGGCTAGACGGGGCTGGTTCTGGATACATGTCGTATGATAGGGGTTGTGGCACCCGTGCCATAACCTTGCCATGAGTACCGTATACTAGTAGTCCTCGCCACAACACTCCCAAGGCCTTCACCAGCTATATCATACTTCCTGTTTCCTACTGCTCAATCATTTCAACACTTCTCACCAAACCTTTTTCCTAACGTGAATGCTGGGAGGTGGGAGAGAGAGAGGGGGGGGGGCTATTAGTGCATAACCAACCTTTCCACTTTATGTTTCTCAATTTGCACTACTAACTTACTGCCACCACCACTGCCATAACTAATTATTCATCGGCATTTCCATTCCCTCCTTCCACCATATCCCCTATTCGGTACTGGTATTTGCCCGAATAGGTTGCTGTCGCTCGAACGGCTATGATCGCTATATATATAGTAGTTCGGATGGTTGCTTTACACAGCGTATGTTTATGATACCATGAAGTAACTCGCCACAAACCTGCATATCATACAAGGTGGCGTTAGTTGCCCACTGAAAACTCTCGAAAAATATAAAAGCCTGGCGACATGGGGCCGGGACGGGCAGGAACTCTGCAGTCCGGAGTTGTCTTTATTCTTCTCCTATCACGGCACGAATAAGTCTGGCTCGCTTAGTTTTTGAGAGACAACAGCAATATTAAACATGTAAGATGCATGTGTAGGAAGACCTCATCAAAGAATAATATAATAAATTCTTGAACTATCAAAGGGGAAGCTTCATCTGCAATTTAATTATGATAATTATCATCTCGATTTCTCTTCCTCGGGGGTTCCCCTTTTTATTCCCCCCCTCACCTACATAATATGATAACGGAAACCAAAACTCAGCGTTTCTCAATACCACAGCATACAAGTATTTTGATGGGAATTACTCCGTTGAAACCTGCATTCCGATCATTACCTCTCCTCCAGCACACATTTTTCGACAAATGTGTTAGAACTATCAGTAGTGATGGATAGGAGCAAAGGAAGTGTAGAATAGTGAAATTGATAGCGAAGATGGTGGACGGGAGCGTGCTTACATTATGGCAAGAGTTAGCCTCGTTTGACCCCAACAGTAAAAGAACCTAGTCTTTTTTTGTGGCTTTTGCTCTCATGTTTGTCGTGATGGTTGTGTATGAGGGTCGGGAGGAGTGGCCGATGCTTATAGCCGAGAGGGTAAACAGTGCCAGAACACACTGTAGTCTCATGGAAAGCCTTCCACCACTCCATCACATTAGAGTGTGTTCATTTGTAGCTTTGCCTTGTGATTTTGGCTGTCGAAAGGGTCCAACCCAAGAGACCGAGAACCATCAAACTATATGAGTGAAGAAAAGAGTGGGACGAGGCCGGTTTTCACACACACCAAAATAGTGAGAATAATTTCATACACTGATCCTATTGCTTCCCCAATCCGGCTCTCACGGCATTGGGAATATAGTTTGTAGAGTATGATAGTAGCAATGGGAAACAAACCATTCCTCAAATTTCGCCAAGACTGCCGTTTCTGGTGGAAAAGCTGTGTACAAAGTACTAAACAGTTCCCTTCAAGTCACGCATATACTCTCTTATCAAGTATTTCTTTTTGAAGCGATTATGTTTCATTCTAGGGTCCCACTATTACCCCGCTGGGCTCTTGGGTGTTCGTGTTGGTTTGTTTTTATTTCACAGACTGTGGGCAATAGCGTCTGGGAGAAACGGATTAAGGGTGAGCTCGAAGCCTGGACACTGTGTGCTCGAGTACAAGTATTGTGCCTGTACTCGTACTGGTATGATAGCGTACCTGCACTTGGTAAATACTGGGTAAACATGTTTGGTGGACCGTCGTGCTGTAGGGTGTGGTTGACTAAGCAGCAGCAGCAGCAGCAACACTAATTTTGGATGGGTTGGTGTTTACTTTTAATCCTGTTTCGTTGGAGCTCTGCTTTGGAGCGATTTGCGCTGTGAGCGGCTTAAGTTAGTACCCGTATGTAACGTACCGGTATTCAGGTTTGGTTATTGAAGTAAACCCTGACCCTAGCAAAAAACGCGTCTCCCAGAGTCCGGACGCGTCTGACGCTTTGTTCGACATTTCACACAACCTTAGGATGGTTGATTCTCACCGGCACCCCACCACTCCACCCTCTACGGTCAACAGCATCTCCATTTATCGACGGCAGTGGCCCTTTGCCGTCTCATCATGGCTTTTCGTATACGTTTGAATAATATTGATTCTTATCAAGCCTACCCAACCACTCTCGACCCTTCATTCCCTCATATCCCTGATGATGAACGTCCACCGAAGATTCCGATAGTCCGGGTCTTTGGTGCCACTGAGACTGGTCAGAAAGTGTGTGCGCATATCCATGGGGCTTTCCCATATCTCTATGTTGAATATCCCGGGAAAAGTTTGATGCCGGAAGACGGTAAGGATTTATATTGCGACCAACCTAGCTGCCGAAGGGCTTGTTTAAACTAACCTTGCTATCCTAGTCCACAACTTCCTTACTCGTTTTCGGCGGGGCGTAGATCGGGCCATGGGGCTATCTGCTGGGCGCTCCATTCGGTCACAAGAGAGGCCTCCTCGCTTTGTCGCTCATATATCATTGGTCAAGGGTGTCCCGTTCTACGGCTTTCATGTTGGGTGGAGGTTTTATTGCAAGATATACCTGTTCAACCCGCATATGAGGGGCCGGCTTGCAAGAATTTTGCAGAGTGGAGGTGTTTTGAGTAGGGTTTTCCAGCCACATGAGGCTCACATCCAGTACATACCACAGTTTATGATTGATTTCAATCTAAATGGATGTGGGTTCATCGAGTGCGACAAGGTCCTCTTTAGAGGTGATATACCAGATGCAGATGAGATAGGGGAGCAGCATCTCTGGCACAACAAGTCAATACCAGGGGCATCTATCCTGCCCGAGAGTCAGTTTCAGCGGCAATCTTATTGCAATTTGGAGGTCGATATTCATGTTCGGGATATATTCAATAGGAAGCAAGTCTCAGCGCGGCCACTTCACTACGACTTTGTCGAACGCACAAATCCTATGTCGCCTGACGTAAAACTTGTTCATAGCATGGCAGAGCTATGGAAAGATGAGAACCGACGGAGGGGTAAAGGTGGTAAGCCTGCAGAGGGTCTGGTGTCTTCATCTTCTGATCAGCGGGCGCCTCCTGGTGCTTGGATTCACGAGGAAGAGTATCGAGAGAGGATAAAAGACCTAATCAAGACTGAGAGGCAGGCTAGTGACGGCCGCACCGTCAGATTTGAAACTTATGTATCTCGTACACAATTCGAAAACCTTTGGCCAACCGCCTTCGAGAGTGTGGCGGAATCATTTGGGGGAGGAGGCCTTCCTCCGGACAAGAAGGTCGAGCTTGAAGTAGAAGCTGAAATCGCTGAAGTCGACGAGAGTCTGCTTTACAATATCGGTGAGGGAGAGTTCAGCGATAGTGATTTCGAGGGCCTCTTTGATGTAATAGATGATTCAGAGGTCGGGAAGAATGCTCAAGCTAAAGCTGAGAAGAGTCACAAACCAGCAGAAAATGGGTTGGTAGGAGAACAGCAGGGACACGGGCTAAAGATATCATCGTCACCGCCAATGCGGGAAACCTCAAATGGGGAGGGTCGGGTTGAAAAGTGCTTGCCTAGCAACAGTCCGCGATTAACTGTCACGGATGGTTCATATAAGAGACTAGTTGAGGAATTCATGGAAGAGGAAGACGATATAGTCATTACTGATAGCAGGGTCTGGTTTCCGACGGGTGCTGTTGATCCAGATGTACCTACCTCATATCAAGTTCCCTCAAAGCGAATGAAGATGGAGTTTACTTCCTCGAATGTTGAGAGTCAAATCCCGCGGACTTCTGATCGCTCTGACGTCCTTGAAAAAACCTGTTCGACTCCTGACTCAGTTGGGAAGGGTGTATCTAATGCGAAATCTTCTATACTCTTCAGCGGCCACGCTTCTTCCGCAGAGCCTGGGGGCCGCTTCATGGACTCCGGATCTGAAAACTCGAAAACTGGAGTTTCGGAACCAGAACCTTCGCAAACTAGCCGCAAAAGAGCCCACACTCCTTCCAGTAGTGCTAATGACACGCCTAGGCCAAGGAAGATTAGTCGTCGAAGTAAAGTGGCCGTCGATTTATCTGATCTTCGTAAGTACAATTGAAATTCTCATCTCGTCACGGCCTATTGTGCTAAATTATCGCCAGCTACCCGACTAGACCCAGTCACTTCGCTGTGCAATGCCTTTGACATCCCTTCGAGCGGTTCAATAAGGTGTTACAGTCAACGTGCTCCATCTTCGTCCGAACTCTTAACCCCTGAAGACAAGGAAGAAATCACTAGGGTAACCTACCAAGAGCCATATTACAGCGATGAGAAAGACGTCCCGGCGAAGCCCTGGGAATATGCGGGGCGTGAATTCAAGTTCAGATCAAGCAAGCTGTCGGATCTTCCTATCTTCAACCCCAATAACGAAAATAGAATTATCTGGGAATACAACAGACTAAATCAGCGGGATCCTAGATTCAAAGTGTGGAATATAGCAGAGGTGCCGCCGAGTAGGAAGGAGGCGGTGAAGTTACTGGAAGAGGGGAGGTCAGCGAAGGAGGTGAAGGGTATGAGACAGAATGTCGCATATGAGTGCAACAGCTTTTTGGCGTCTCAGGTTTGTGCGCAACTTGCTCGTGTTCTTGAGAGGACGATGCTGAGAGGCTTTCGTTTTGGTGTCAATTATAGATTCAGGGGCCCACACAGAAGAATAAATATGGTTTTAAGTTTTCACAGAATGCAAAGTCGGATAGTGTGCAGCACGAGTTACAGCATATGAGTATTATGAGTTTAGAGCTTCATAGTGGGTGCTTTGGTATCCACAATCCAAAGAGTCAGGTCTAATACTTGCGGTATAGCGAACACTGTGGAGGACTTTGTTCCAAACGCGGAGCGGGACCAGATCGAGTGTATCTTCTGGTCTTTCAAGGAAATGGAAGAGGGTGAGGATGGTGAGGTTAAGGAAGTGTCCGTATCGCCATCTAGTCTTTTTATCCCCAGTATTTGTACAGCCACTAATCTGCTTAGTACTCGTATCGGAATTATTACCTTAGTAGATGAACGTAATGATGATTCCGACCCTGGCCTGAAATTTCGCCGCCAGTGCAGAGCCGACGTTCGAACCGAGTCTTCAGAGCTTGGCATGATAAATACACTAATCGATACTGTGCGGGCCCTCGACCCGGATATTCTCACAGGATGGGAGGTCAACTCCAGCTCCTGGGGCCACCTTATCAAGCGCGCCAGGCACCTCTTCGGTATGTCCCGACATTAGCTCCCCGAAATAGAAATGGTTCTGAATCAAGTCAGACATGAACCTCTGTGACGACCTCTCCCGAGTTAAGACAGAAACTCATAGTAGATTTGGCAAAGAATCCAATCTCTGGGGGTTTAATACCGGCTCTGCCATCAAGATTACCGGAAGACACATGGTAAACATATGGCGAGCTATGACCGCGGAACTTAACCTCCTGGGCTATTCCATGGAAAATGTTGTATTTCACTTATTACACCAGAGGTCAGTGATATCCTGTGAAGCTGACGCTGCATCTCATGGCAGCTAATAAAATAGTAGGATTCCCCACTATTCATTCAAAGTCTTGACTGGGTGGTATACCAGTGGGTCGCTGCTATTGTTTGGGAAGGCCATTAAGCATTTATTGAGGAAGGTACAGTTAGATTTAGAGATTTTAGATCGGCAGGAGCTTATTACGCGGACGAGGTGAGTTACGGGATGGGATGGATCATTTATTGGGTTGTGGCAGGTAGCTGACCCGCAACTAGTGAGCAAGCGCGCCTTCTGGGAATCGACTTTGCGTCTGTCTCTGGGCGCGGTTCGCAGTTTAAGGTTGAATCTATGATGTTCCGAATAGCGAAACCGGAGTCGTTCATACTGGTTTCGCCGAGCAAGGCACAAGTAATCATGTCCGGGCATTTGAAACTATAAAGTATACTGAGGCGGTTTTTAGGTTGGGCAGCAAAATGCACTTGAATGCCTGCCTCTGGTTATGGAGCCTTTCTCAAGGTTCTATACCAGCCCAGTAGTTGTTTTGGATTTCCAATCTTTATATCCGTCCGTGATGATTGCACACAACTATTGCTACTCCACATTCCTGGGTAGAATGACGCCGTGGCGTAGCGAGAATAAGATGGGCTTCACACACCTCCATCGCCCTCCCCGGCTTCTGGAACTCTGTGAGAAGGATATCAATAGCAAGACTTTCCTCCCCTCCCCTCTCTAGCTCTATTTTAACATTTAACGATGTACTAGTCGCACCGAACGGAATGATGTACATCAAACAAACTATCCGCAAATCCCTCCTGGCAAAAATGTTGACGGAAATCCTCGACACGCGCGTTATGGTGAAGAACGGCATGAAGCGTGACAAGCACGACAAAGCCCTCCAAAAGCTACTGAACAGCCGCCAACTCGCGCTGAAGCTCATCGCGAATGTTACGTACGGGTACACCTCGGCCTCCCACTCTGGACGCATGCCATGCACAGAGATCGCTGACAGCATCGTCCAAACGGGGCGCGAGATCTTGGAAAAAGCCATCCGTCTAATCCAAGAAGACCCAAATTGGGACGCGGAAGTAGTCTACGGCGACACGGACAGTCTCTTCATCCACCTGGAAGGCCGAACGAAGGAGGAAGCCTTCCGCATTGGTGAAGAAATCGCTGCGAGGGTGACGGAGGCGAACCCTCAGCCCATCAAGCTAAAGTTTGAAAAGGTCTACCTCCCATGCGTTCTGTTGGCCAAGAAGCGCTATGTAGGGTTTAAGTACGAATACCGCGAACAAGCGGAGCCCAACTTCGACGCAAAGGGAATTGAAACAGTCAGGAGGGATGGGACGCCCGCCGAGCAGATGATCGAAGAGGCTGCACTCAAGATTTTGTTCAGAACAAAGGATTTGTCACAGGTTAAGGCTTATTGTCAAAGGGAGTGGACGAAGATTATGAGGGAGAAGGTGTCCATTCAGCATTTTTGCTTCGCGAAGGCTGTCAGGCTGGGGACTTATGCGTACGTTCACCCATATAAAATACTAACAAAATCCGGAAATCTAACAATCGCAAACAGCGAAGGAGCATCACTCCCCCCCGGCGCACAACTCGCCGCCAAGCGAATGGAAAAAGATGCCGAAAACGCTCCTCAATACGCTGAACGTATACCGTGAGCCCCCCCTCCCCTCTCACCCCCCTCTTCCCCGATTCTAAAGTTAACACGCCAAAAAGCTACGTAGTAATAGCCGGCTCCCCCGGCCAAACCCTAGCAGACCGCACAATCGAAGTCAACGACCTCCTAGCATCCCCGGAACTGAGGCTAGACTCAGAGTACTACATCTGCAAAAACATAATTCCACCACTGGAGCGCATCTTCAACCTTGTTGGGGCAAACGTGAGGCAATGGTATGACGAGATGCCAAAGTACAAGCACTTGCGAAAGTTGATAAAATCCAACGACCCCACTGCCACTGCCGGGGGCGCCGGCGGCGGTGCGCAGAAGGAGAAGTCCAGAGCGATAATAGAATCATACATGACCAAGTCCTCGAACATTTGCGCTGTATGCGGTTGTAAGGCTGCTAGGACCAAGAACAGTTCGTGCTCACCTCCTTCTACCTTCCTATTGTTAACCGGATTTAACTTAACTTAATCTAATTTGGTTATTCTTTCTCTATAAAAAAAAGCTATATGCAAAGACTGCACCCAAAACCGCGATGCCTCCATCATTCACGTGCGCACAAAACTCGCGCGCGCTGAGAAGCGGGTGCTGGACTTGCAGGCTGTGTGTAGGTCGTGCGAGGGTAGCTCTCCGGGAGAGGAGGTAGCATGCATGTCGCAGGACTGTGCGGTCTATTATTCGCGCAGGAGGCAGGGTGCTGCGTTCACTTGGGAGAGGGAGAATGTTGGGGGTGTGTTGGGTGCATTGGAAGGGGCGGGGGAGTTGGAGTGGTGAGATGGGGGAGGTGGTGGTAGTAGGCCTGAATTCTGCACGTAGGCTTCTGTCTCCATATTTTTTGATTGGGTTCGGTATGATAATGTCGTGTGTGATTGAACGATGGTGTGCATGTTTCATGGGTTATCACTCGGTGGGGGGCACTGGGGGCGAGTATGGGGTAGTGGATCTTGATACTTGGGGGGTGGGATTGGGGTCTCAACTACTGTATTTGGAAGCATTAGTGTTACCGGGCTTATATATATTTGTACAGCACTACCGATAGTGGGTATATATATGGGATATGCGAGCTTATGTGATGTTGGGTATGATATAGGTTGGAGATATTCTGACACCTGGGCTCGTCGCGCGCTGCTAGGGATAGCGCTTCCGAGAGGTGTGTGCAGTGCGCAACTAATCGTTGATACCCCGAGCGGAGTAGGGTGGCTTGCTATCATTTAAGGCCGTGATTGTAGATGCTGACCCCGGGTCCGGTGTTCCACGTTTGGGCCTAACAGAGCGATCAACTTGCTCGTCTGTCGATTCTCCCTCTCCATTCTCGGCATGCTCCATCCCCTCCCCACTCTCGACTTCCCCTTCACTATCACTGGCTAGCCTATCGGCCTCTAACTTGGCATACCTAACAGGCTCATCAATAACCACTCTACCGCAATCGATCATCGCCCGAGACCGCCTTAAGGCTAAGCAAACACAAAAAAGCAGAGAGAGGAACGTACTTCCTCTTGGCCTTCTTAGTCTTGCTGGCCTTCCTTTTCCGATCCCTCTCCACCAACGCACCGAGCCGGCTCTCCACCCCATGCTCCATAAACTCCAGCTTCTCGGCCAATATTTTGCGCGCGATCTTGCGGTTCTGAGAACGCGAGCGGGTGGCTTGGGATTTTACCACTATTCCGGTTGGGAGGTGCTTTAGCTGGACGGCGGAGGAAGTCTTGTTCTGTTTTGGTTTCTTGTTGGTATCTTTCGTGTAATGTAGTGTGTATGCGGCGCACACTAAGATCGAATGGGGGGCAGGAATGCTTACAACTGCCGATACGTTAGCGGGCGTTGCACCCTCATCTGCGTGAGTGGATTGTCCGTGCGAGTTTCGGATAATATGGTACAGTACGGCGGCGAAGGGGCTATCGTGACTCACTTTTCTGACCTCCTGGACCGCTATTGTTGGATGGTGGTGGCAGTACACATTTTAAGTTAAGGCTCTCACACAACGATTTCATGGAAAGGGGAGGGGGGCGCGACACCTTCCCTTCAGGAATGACTCCTCAATCTCCTCCTCCTTCACGGATGGTCTTGGTGGCATCGGTTTGCCAAAGTTGGGGGTGGTGAGAGCTATTGCTCGGATTGGGCATGTTCGGAGGAGACGTAGGAGTGGGGGAGGAAGGAGGGCTCGAGATGGAAGCTTTTGGAGGATCATTGTTTGTCGGGATGAGTTTTGGGTTTGATAAAGGGAGGGGTTGGTTGGTTGGTTGGTTGGGTGTTCGGTTGTGGTTGAGGCTCGAAAAAGCTTGGCTGTGCAAGGCCGTTGCAGGAGGCGCCCCAAGCATGCACAGGACATCAGTGTGGGATAGCGGCATAGCGGGGTTTGGGTGGCACGATACTTGTATTATGACGGGACATTGATGGAGGCACTTGGAATACGGGACCGACCATTATGTGACTGTTGATGATAGTGGATTGCTGTATCATGCTTGTACGAGTAGAATCCCCTTTTTCCCCCAGGCTTGTGCGGTGACTCGAGAATGTCAGATGTGCAACTCCCTGTGCATGCCGGTGCAAGTACCCTTACCACTGTCGGTAGAGGGTACCGGTGGTGCGGGTTTATAGCATTTGCACTTTTGCCTTCCTGTCATATCATAGCACTCGTGATGGACTCTCCACGACGCCCATATCCTGTCCGCCACGAGATTTTGTGCTTGTGCGGGTGCCGCATCGCACTGTATGACGCCGGCGCCCGCAATCTTCTAGGGTTGTGACAGTCAGGGCCGGGCCGGTGCACTGTGTGTGCGGTCTTTGAGCTGTGACAGGCGAAATCTTCCACCCGGGTCACCGGCCAAGATACAGCTGAACCCCCAAAATCCATTGATTCCCAGAGGCCATCCCGCAATTCATTAAGGCCTGTCCTTAATACAGTCACAATATGCTGAGTCGGAGAATTGTGCCGACGGGCTCTCAACCTCCCTTATCAAAGAATGTTAAGTGGGGTGCATCCCGACCTATTATTCCCGCCGGTCACATCCAAAGAGTCAATTTTCAACGAAAAGTCTCTTCATTCTCCTCACGCCCCCATCCCCCCCTCTCAAGCTTCTACCCCAAACATTCCCGTTGCAAACACCCTCGCCCCTCTGCCAGATTGGCCGCCGGGGGCACATTGTATACCCCACCATTCATTCTTTTCCCTTCAGACCCAGTCCTCCTCAACCCAGCCACCCACCACCACCACCACCATCACCGGTTCTCGACATTTACGAAGATCATGGCCGACTACTCTACCCCCTTCAAACCGCAAGATCCGGACGAGGTTAATAAACTAATGGAGCTCCTCAATCATACGCAAGCAGGGAAGAGGAAGAGCGATACAGGATTTTTCTGCAAAAAGAAAACCTACAAAGTCGAAGGCTCCCCTATACCTGTCGACTCCTGGAAGTTTCTGGACCACGAGTACAAGAAGAAGGCTCTGCCCACCTTTGCCAGAGGCCTGTTCACCTGTAAGAACCCCACCACGGGGGATTGGGAAATTGTCAGCAGGGGCTACGACAAGTTCTTCAACATCGATGAGGTTCAAAAGACAAAGTGGGGCTGGATTGAAGATAATACCAAGGCCCCATACGAATTGACCCTCAAGGAGAACGGTTGCATTATTTTCATATCGGGATTGCCAGACGATACCCTGCTAGTTTGTAGCAAGCATTCACTGGGGCCCGGGTCTGAACCGGACAAGTCTCATGCTGTTTTTGGGGAGAAGTGGGTGGACCGGCAGCTGGAGAAGCTCGGAAAGTCCAGGGCCGAGTTTGCTAGGGCTTTAAGGGAGGCGAATGTTACTGCTGTGGCTGAGCTTTGTGATGACGCCTTCGAGGAACATATTCTCCCTTACGAAGGAGACCGGGCGGGGTTGTATCTCCACGGTGTGAATCTTAGACTGCCAAAGTTTGCAACTTACTCTACGCTAGAGGTGAAGAAATTCGCACAAGAATGGGGGTTCAAGGTGATAGACTCATTTGATAAGCCGGATGTCCGGAGCCTTCGGGACTTTCTCGAGGAGGCAGCCGAGACCGGATCGTGGGATGGCAAGGATGTTGAGGGATTTGTTATTCGGTGTAAGGCCCGTGATAGGCCCGGTGGGGAATGGCACGATTGGTTCTTCAAATACAAGTTTGAGGAGCCATACCTTATGTACCGTCTCTGGCGCGAATGCACCAAGTCCATGATTAGTGGCGGGGAACCGAAAATTAGAAAACACAAGGCTATAACCACCCGATACTTGAAGTTTGCTGAAGAGTACTTCGAGGGGCACCCCGAAGAAAAAAAAGATACATGGAAAATCACGGCATCATCAAACTGAGGAATGCCTTTTTGGAACATATGGGGCAGAAGGGCAGTGATATAATTAAGGAGGAGGCAGAAGAAGACACAGAGAGTGAGGGTGCAGGCGGAAGGACCTCCCAGATAAAGGATAATGTGGTTCTGGCCTCCATCGCCACTCTGGGTTGTGGTAAAACCACTGTCGCACACGCGCTTCATGAGCTATTCGGCTGGGGTCATGTCCAAAACGACAACATTCAGGGGAAACGTGGCAAGCCGCGGGCCTTTGCAGACGCCATCTCTCACGCCCTGAGAAAACACCCAGTCGTCTTTGCTGACCGGAATAACCATCAGTTCCGCGAGCGGGAGCAACTCATCAAGGATGTGTCGAATCTGAACCGCAAAACCACCTTTGTGGCGATCCATTACGTGCACCCGGAGGATCTGATGCACGAGATTGAGAATGCTACCGTGGCCCGGGTATTTAGTCGAGGCGATAATCATCAGACCATCCAGGCAGCGAGCCAATCCAAGCAGTCGGTCGAAGGTATCATGAAGGGCTTCCTCCACAGATTCCAGGGCCTTGATCATGAACGCGCACCTGACTCCGGTTTCAGCACTGCCATAAACTTGAACCCGCAAGCAGACTCGAGGGAAAACTTGGAGATAGTAGTCTCCGAGCTCAAGAGACATTATCCCAATCTAATTCCTGAACTTCCAACGCCAGAAGACTATGATAGAGCCATCACAGCAGCACTCAACTACGCACCTTCACGTCGCACCGCTTCCCACGACGCTCCTCAGTCCTCCCAGCCCAAGGACAAAGTGGAATATGCGGTTTCCTCAATGGAGACCCCCTCCGCCGTAGGACCGAGCGAGGCTCCAAAGCGGCAGCCGAAACAGTCTGTGCAAAATCACAAACGCAAGCAGGTCGACTACTTTGGCATCTTTCTCCCTGCCCAAGAAGTATATGACGCAGTCAACTCGGCATTTGAAGCGCAACCCGAACGCATCCGCGAATTCTGGAAAGAGCTCAACGAGAACGATAGAGTCCAAAAAACCTTCCATGTCACCCTTTGCCACAATTCAAACAAGCCGAAACACCCAGGAATCTGGAAGAAGTACGCAGACCTCCTCGGCTCCAAGGATGGGGATCCATCTACTATTCTCGGGAGGGGCGAGGTAGAGCTCCACTCAATGGCCTGGGACAAGCGTGTGATGGCAGTGAAAGTCCTGCTGTCAGATGAGTGGGAGTGCGCTAATGAGGCCCCGCACGTTACCATCGGCACTGCAAATCCCTCTATTAAGCCTTTTGAGTCCAATAAAATGTTGGAGGAGTGGAGTGGGGGGAGCAGTGAGATCTTTTCGTTGGAGCTGCAGGGGGTTAAGGTTGAGGGAGAGGTTAAGTCTGTCCCTAGGGGTGGTTAATTGGGTAATTCGGAGGCACACTATTATGTTCTATTTGGTTTTCCTTTGCCCAACCCAAGTTGGCCGGTTGCGTGGTCCGGATGGTTCAGTTCTGGAGTGTGCACATAAATGCGGGATTCGTTACTTTTCCTTTCTTTTATGCCATCTTATTTCTTGTCTGGTTTCCTCTCCTCTGCAAGTAGCTAGATGGCAAAAAGCGGTTGTTATCTATTTCGTTTCTCTCAGGTTTCAGGATACCGCAACGCTTTTTTGTCCATTTTCCACTTTGCAATATCGTATCGGTCTACTTCCGTTGCATAGGTCATCACTCGGCGCCTCTTATCCACCTTGAAACACCTGTATCTTTTTTTTTTTCTTTCCCCGTGCTGGAGGTTTCGCTTTGCAATTTGGAGAATTGTTGTGTACGATACCAAGTTTAACCTCATTAGATCGAATACCATAATACTCGAGTTTGTATGTAATCGAGGGGAACATCACATTGTCGGGAACAAGTGCCGGCGATTGGGATTACTGTAGGTAGCTTAAATGAGGGCCATGAAATATCTAACTAAGCCCACCGCCAACCGACTGCCCGGGCATGCCATGAAGGGAATCACCCACAGGCTCAAGCCTGTAACATTAACCATGCAACTAAACTAAATTTTATAATAGGGAAAAAAGTGAAGAGTGGAAAAGAAGAAAAGGGCCAGATATAGGAGTCCCCCAACCAGGCGTAAACCCTACCCTTTAGCAACGGGCCTCTGCTCCCTCCCCCCATACCCCCCCCTCCCAGGATCGTAATCATCCCTGTAATAATCCCTAACCTGCCCGCCGGTGGGTCCCCTCCCATACTGCCTCCCCTCCTTAAACCCGGGATCCAAATCCGTGCGGATAATCCTCTCATCCAACTTTGTGCCGCCAATGTACTTCATAGCGTCCAGCGTGTCCTTGTGCGTGTAGTACTCGACGAAGCAGAAGCCGCATGGGGTCTTGGTGAAGCGGTCCAGGCCCATCACCAATCGCTTGATCTCACCGCACTTACTGAAGAGTTCATGGATCTGCTCCTCCGTCGTGTAGAAGGAGAGGTTACCGACGTATAGGGTTGAAGCGTCCTTCAGGGGGTCGGGTTTTGGGGAGGTGCTGCGACGGCGCTGGAGCGAGGTGAGGTGTTAATGGGGGAGGGAAGGAAGGGGGAGGCGAGGGGAGGAGAGGGGTGGAGCTTACTTCACGCTTTTCGAAGTAGCTGGAGGGAGCGTCTAGACGTTGAACTGTGGTTATTGGCATTTTGGGGGGAAAAAAAGAAGGAAAGGGTTGGCTACGCTTAGTGTGGTGGTGGGTGGTTGTGAGGTGTTGGGGGGGGGGGGGGGAATACTCGCGTGGGCTTGGTTCTGGGGATGGGGATGGGTTGACGCGTAGGGATAGAGTTACCCGGGCAGTTGTGTTGAGGTGGCACGTGATCGGGAGATTCTCGTGACCTCGGGTTCGGTGGTTGGCTGAGCACTGTGTGGTAACTTACCCGAAAATGGGGGGGTCTGCCTTGCATTAGCGTTCAGATGGGTATGATTATTATTTTTCCTATCATCTGCCGGTATTTGTTTAATTCATGCTTTCAGGGACTTCTTTCCTGGGACAGGCGGGCTGTGGTTAAGTGAGAAAAGAGAGGGGGAAACATGTTGGCTTTCGAGCCTGCTGGGTGACATATTTGTGCAAGACCTGATTCGATGATGGAAGATGTGCTCCATACATGGCGGGTTTAAACTAGGATCCTCACCGGAATTTGGTTTTCTTTGTATCAATTCGCGAGCATTACAGCTTAGATACCGGTAGCCACTGGGGTGCAAACTTGAATTAATGTTATTGTATGAACAATACGGAGGTACAGCTCCTAAGTTTTGTATTCTCCGTAGGGGCTAAATACAGCAAGCCTCACTTGTGGAACCTACAAAACTTGGGCGCTGTACTCGTACCTCCGTAAGAAAGTGGTCTAGACTACCTGTAGAATGCTAATGGAGCAAGAGGGGAAGAGTGACCCCTTCGCACTTAGGTGGGATGAGCCCTTGCGATACCCTCCTCACGAGCAGTGCCGGTTACTATAATACAAAAGATGCTCTGAGAAAACGGCTCCCATAGTGGAGCACTCTCCAAATTATAAATAAAGCAAAGATTGTCACGAATGCGTCAACTAAATGTTTAATTCGATCTATCAACAACAGTATCCCAGCGAAAAGCCCAAACAGATTCCCACAATTCCACCCAACTCAGATACAACTTTTCCCGGAAACCACTCGCACATCCAGATCAAGGATGAAAGCTTCCCGGGGTGGTGATAGATCCAGTAGCCACTGCCTTACAGATGGTTGTGGCACCATCTCTAGCCGTTTCATGAAAAGACTAGAGAAGGGAGGGGAGGAACGAGGTTGAGGTAGGTAGGTAGGGATTTTGATGGTGACAATAGTCTTCGGTAGACCTTTTTTAGACTTGAAAGAACCCAACGGGCAGTTCTTCCAAAACGCGACGGTTCCACTATTCTCGGAGTTATTTTTCCTTCGACCACCCACGCCTTTTGTGGGAGCGTTTGAGGGTCTCAATCGTAGCTGGTCATCCCGGCCTGACTCGCAAAGGCCGTAGAGACGCTTCTAACATCGTCGTCTAGATCCCCCCGCCTCCCTAGGCCAACACCGACCCCTCCAACACTGCTACCTCCATAAACACTCCCTTCCACCCCAGTTTTATATCCTCCACTCAAATCCATCCCCATACCCATTCCAGACCCTGCCCTACCGCTCTCAACATATCTCTTCAGTCTATCACTCTGACTCAGGCTTGTCGACTTTCCCCCGATTACGCTACCACCGGCAACCGAATTTGCGGAGGAGCCTAACGGAACACCCCCACCACCAGTGACAGAGCTAGAGCCTGCGATCGATGATACATCTGCCTCACTAGGCGCAATTGTAGACGGCGCTGCGCCGCGGGGAAGAGCGGGCCAATTATCCATGGCGAACCCTCTAAACATTGGTGGAAAAGCACTAGTAACCGCGACGGAATGGACCGAGCTAACATCGTCGGGTATATAGCCTATCACACTTCCCGAGTCGTTATACTCAGGCTGTCTGGTTGGAGGCTTGATGGGATTCGGAACATTTGTAGCGGCTGGACCGATACCGCCGGGAAGCCTTGAGCCTGTAAGGACGCCTCCGTTAGGAGCGGCCTGGTATGCCATCTGGTAGCGTTGGGGGCTACGGTAGGACTGTCTCGGTTTCGAGAATTGAATCAGGGAAACCTGGAGATTGCTCAATGGTCCTTCAACCAAACAGTTTTTGTCCTTGTAATGGAGCAAAAGATAATGCCACAAGGGATGCTTTGACAACACTTTCGGGTTTCCAAGGATGACTACCCCAAATTTAGCTCTTGTCAAAGCCACGTTAAGACGTCTGGGGTCGTTCAAGAATCCAATCCCTTGATGGTCGTTAGATCTAACGCAAGAGAGAACAATGTAATCCTTTTCTCTGCCCTGGAATGCATCGACGGAGGCAACTTCGATTTCTTTGTAAAGTTCTTTACGTAAGGCCCCGTTGGTTTGCATGGACGAGACAATGTATGAACGCTGGCCTTCGTAAGGTGTGATGATACCAATCTGGGATGGTGATACACCGGCCTTGAAAAAGCGAGTGATGATCTTCTCGCAAGCGGACGCCTCGGTACGATTGAGATAGCTGGTTCCACTAGCGGAAATTTCTTCATTACCCAAGTTGCTCCAGAACATCATTGGCGTGTCTGCTACTGGCCACGGAAAGTCAACATTTCTCCTCAGTCTCTCCTGAGTGGTAACACCATTTTGCAAGCTCCCTTCGTAGAACATGTTGCTGGGAAATTCCGATAGACAGGGGTGCATCCTGTATTGGACATTCAATCTGATAGGAGCGCATCCCAAGATGACCAGGCGTTCAAAGAGAGACTGGTGTAGGCCAGCGCGGGCTGCTTTCTTGTTCATAATAACCGGACCAAGCTGCTGATGGTCACCGACCAGAACGACTTGCTTACATCCGAGAACCAGAGGTATCATGCATTCTGGCTCAGCGGCCTGGGTGCTCTCGTCGATAAGTACGGTTCGGAATTTTAACTTCGCAAGTCTAGGGTCACCCGCACCAACACAGGTGCAACAGATCACATCGGCATTTGTTAATATCTCTCGCTCGGCATTGCGGGTAAGATGTTTGAACTTCTTTTCATCTTGCGAAGAAAGTTCGCCTAGCTCGTTCTTCAGTTGTCCAAGCTTGACGAGTTCCACGTTAGTATCGTTCAAGCGGACCTGCTCATGTAGAGAAAGAAAGGAAACAGGTGAATCGACATCTTCGCGGGACTTTGCTGTAAGACGAACAACCTTTAATCCGGTGCGATGTATCTTCTCAGTCAATTGATCCACAGCGACATTCGAGGGTGCACAAACAAGGACTTGTCCAACGTTTGTCTTAGCAAGATGGTATACAATTGTTGCTGAGGTGACTGTTTTTCCTGTTCCCGGAGGTCCTTGAATAAGGGAAAGTGGTTTGGATAACACACTCTTGACGGCATGAACCTGGCTCACGTTCAATTCGGGGAGACCGGGCACGGAAAACCGCCTCGGCATACTTGTTTTAAGAGGAGCAGCCGCAACAGCATGACCAAGTAAGCGGTGATAAATATACCCACTAACACTCATCTCGTCCACTGCAAAGCTCTTCATTGCCAGCTGCATCCTGTCAAAGCTAGTAGCTTTCCAAACATAATCAGCACAGAATGCATGAGTGCACTCCGTGGGCACAGATTTATCCCCTCCATTGCGCCGAAGTTCGAGGGTGACCTCGTCGCTCTGGTTATTCGGAATCTTGATAACATAGCCGACGCCCTCCCAGTGAGGCCTAAGTTCGCCTATGTAACGTAGACGCATCTCGTCCCCGACAGCGAGCTTAACGTCGCCAAGTTCGAGTTTGGGGAGAACAAAAGATGCCAAATGCTTGTTATTCAGACCCAGGTCCCAGCGCACAATCAAGTTGTCCTGGCTCTGAGACTCTTTTAGTTTACGATCATAGTCCGCCTCTATCTTGACGAGAGGACCGAAAACATTCTGATACTGGTATGCATCGTCATAGCGGAGCAAAACCGGTGCAGGTTCGTCATCGACACCAGCACCTTTCTCCAAATCAGCAACTGTGGCACTAGCGTTATCTTTCCAGAGCTCCTCCAATTTGCCAATCATTTGAGGAGAAAGGTGACGGGCCCGCAATTGTTCGGCATCAGTGGGAGTCGATACGAGCCACGGGAGGAACGAGCGGTCCTCGATCAAGGGCTGCCAGCGAGAGGTGTCCCAATTCATGTCTTTATTAGATGACATGGCCGCACATGGCTGCCGACATAGGAGAACAACCACAGTATCTGACTTTGCAGGTATGAATCCGAGCAGGAAAACATTTTTAGTCCCACAGTTGTAGCACTCAAGAGTTGTGTCACCAAGAGACGATTGGGGGTGAAGTGATACTTCCTGAGGGGGGGGGATCAGCATATAGGAGAACGGGTGCGAGCGGAGCAGTGATTTTACCTTATGGCGAGCACGAACAAGGTGATTGATAATGTGAGACGACGAGGTGTTACCCCTGGCACTGCAGAACCATTTGTTGCAAGCAAGGCATTTCACCACGCAGGAGGGGGAATGGATCCCGCAGTATCTATAAATCATATCAGTATGCGCTGGGATATAAAAAGCAGATGAGGGGGAGAGGTGACAAACGCGCAGGCATGTGCGGGGAGCTCGGTCTCAACATCTCTTGAATCGTTAATTCCAAGCCCGTCCGTTTCTTCTCCGTAATTTCTATCGCCGACAGCGGAACGGCCGACGGGAACACTGGCTAGACTCAGCGTCTCATCGACAGTTTCCTCATCGTCATCGTGGCGTCGGGCCTTAAGATCATAGACAGAAGCAGTGTCAATAGTTGATGCGGTATCATCGAAATGATTCCCTACAATAAAACTCGGTGAGTTATCCTTTGCTCCGTCACACATGCACCAAAGCCCTTTGGATGGGAGGGGGAGGGCGGTGTAATACCTAAATGTGTGTAGACACCGTCCATATCGAAATGTTGGCAAGATTTCTCAAATCAAAGTGGGGCTGCCTAGCGTCCAGGTTTCGCCCCACGTTGGGCGAAAGTGAGGTTCGGAGCGAGAGAGTCTTAACGAATGGCTTGAGTTCCAGCAGGGAGCTGTAAGGTATATGGAGCGCTGGTTATTAGATTTTCCGGGTGTTTTATTCTTTATGGAGAAATGTGGTAGGTAGGAGCTGAAGATAAAATTGTTGTTAGAACTGCGACAGACTGCCCGACGAAGGCAACCCTTATTGTCTTGGTGGCCTCACCCCGTAGCTGCTAGGACAAACGAGGGGGGTATGGTTACCCGGCTCTGTGGCACAAAAAAATTTATTGGTCAAAAACCTGTCTTTATGACACCTCAATCTCTCACGGAAAACTGAAGGGAAAGCCGGAAAAGGGGTGAGGGATCGCAGCCATTAATCATGGTAAGTCTAATTCCTCTGCGCCCCTTATAGCAATAGTGTTCCCTAATTAGAATTGCCTCTAGATTAGAAGAAACGCTCGGGGGAGGTTCGTCTAGCGCTCAATTCCCTCTAGTCCTTCGGTCCCAACATACTAAGTTCGTTTTTTAAATGTATCACAGGCGTGATTTTATCTATCGCAAGCAACTTGAACTCCAAAATGCTCAAGTCGCTGAGAAAAGATCAAGACTTAAAGCTGCTCTTGCTAGTGGAAAGGTTCGCTTCCAATATTCAAACGAAAGGCAAACTCTCTAATTGCAAGGCAACCCTCTAGCCACTCCCGAAAGGAATAGCAGACGACGTCCAACTCCGAAGAGACTTTAAATACGATGAATCTCGAGAAGTAGATGGTGACGAGGCAGCCCAAATCGACGACGAATACGCAACGCTCTCGGGAATTGTAGATCCCAAGATCCTGATCACTACCTCCCGCGACCCCTCTTCCCGCCTCCTCCAATTCTCTAAGGAAATCCGGCTTCTCCTACCTAACAGTATTCGATTGAACCGTGGTAATGCCGTTCTACCCATCCTCTGCGCTTCCTGTTTATCAACCAGCACCTCCGACATGATCCTCCTGCACGAACATAGAGGCACTCCCACTTCTCTCACGATATCCCACTTCCCGCATGGCCCTACCGCGCTCTTCTCGCTACACAATGTTGTCTTGCGTCACGATATCCCTAATTCTAGCAGGGGGACCGTCAGCGAGAGTTACCCGCATTTGATCTTCGAGGGGTTCTCTACGCCGCTGGGAAAGCGGGTCGTTACAATACTTAAGCACCTTTTCCCGCCGAGGGAAGCGGGGAGGGCGAAGGAGGGGAGTAGGGCCATTACCTTTGCTCTTACTGAGGGGGATTACATATCCGTTCGCCATCATGTCTATGTCAAAACGGGGTATAAGTCGGTTGAGTTAGCGGAGGTAGGGCCTAGGATGGAAATGAAGGTTCGTTGTTTGTGTCGTGTCCCTGGCTTATGGCATGTCGGTAGTTACTGACGACATCTTTAGCTCTTTGAACTACGCTTAGGCACAGTGGATAACAAAGACGCTGATTACGAATGGAGATTGTCTAATTACACGAGGTATATCGCATCACCGCTTCCGGTGTCTAGACTTATCACTGACCTGATTACTTCTTGCCAAATAGGACTGCGAGGAAGAGGGATGTTCTATGAAACTCCCTTTCTATGGGTTTGGCTCTGGAGTTTGTTTCCGCACAAAAATTCCTCAACTGTAATATATTTTCAATTTTAACAACGATAGGAAAAGGGATTACCGACCGACCGATAGATGAATGAGTCAGGTTTTCGTATTGCATCATGGGCAAGAGTATCATACGTCCAAAATCCTTATATAATTTGGGCCTGTTCTGCATTGTGCCCCCCGTTAGCTGCTGGGGCTCTAGCTCTTCTGGACGGGGACAGGTACCGGTGTCTTTAATACCGCCACTCCCAGAATTTCACAATGCACTGAAGTGCTATAAGATTCGGTGCACACGTTAACCGCGTATAATACTAACCCTGAGATGTATGAGCACAAGAACACCCGTAGAGTACCAACCCCATAAGGTATAAAAATCACAGCCGAGCCCTACCCAAGCATAATCCCAACTGATCCCCTCGGACTGTATGACAATGTTAGACAAATTGCAGCGGGAAGAAAAGCGAAAAACAGGGCAAGTAACTACCGCAGTTATTCGGGTTTGATAGGTAATGCGCTCGAGCAAGATAGAAGAAAGTGAAATAGTACCAGCGGAGGTGCCCCCGCAAAGGGTGATCGCTAGGGCCATCGATGAGAGCTCCGCCTTAACCGCCTAACAGCAGGCAGCGTAACACGAGTGAGCAGCCATGATTCTCTACGAAACTTCAATTCAGATGGATGCTATCGGCCTTAACTCGATATAACATCGTATAGCTTCGCGAGAAACTTTCTCTGCCCGCTGCAGTGAATGCTCTAACTGCAGGCCAGGCCAGGCCATGAATACTTATCGCCTTGTTAAGACCAGACCGTGTTGATTCTGGAGTGGGAACTGGATAAAGGATGAAGCCTCTCATACCTGGCAAATTGTAGGAGTAATTATGTGGGAGGACCCTGTTCATACCTTCCAGAGCATGGCGATGGAGCTCCTCGGCCTAGCCGCGCCTTTCCTGGGATATCTCGGTATTGAAGCCAAGTCGTTGGTACTCGCAAGCGTATGTGGATGATTTGCCCCTTGTACTTTCTCCAGAAATCCCCGCTCATGTCAAGTCATCTCCTCCTTCTGTTTGAATTTTTCACTGGTGCTGCTAGGATAGGCCCAGATTATTTATGCTTGCCAGGGTATCGGGGTGATCCATTCCTAATTCCCTTTCTTTGCCTTCCAGTGCACGCTAGGGTATTTTTTTTTTCCGATTTATTGGACCTTCCTAAGCGCTCTAGTACTGACCCTAACCTACCTAGGCCCCTAGAGTGCCCAGACAACCCGGCCCGAGGGCCTCTTCGCTGACTTTGGCCGTATGCTGGCCCATCACTGGTGTTTCCCCGTACTTCACTTGGCTCTTAAATGCCAGAGCCCGATTCTTGACGCTCACTAGAACATTAGGGTGATCCGCCACTAATCGCATTTTCCTATGATACCCCCAAACACAGGGAGAGGCCTTCGGTCTGCGTCAGAGTTCTTTATTCGGCATCCTAAGACAGAACCAGGGAGTTCGTTCTCTGCCGGTGTTGAGAGCCATATTGGCAACGCCCTTTCGGGACCTAGGAGACACATGTAGTTGTTGTTCTATGACCTTATAATGTCCCGTTTCCCCAAGATACTGTGCTACCCAACAATTGTGTACTCGAGTAGGTCGGCTAGAGCTCCCGGAGTTTTAGTGACAGAATGTGCAGGTATCATAGAAGGTGAGCGCCAAAAAATATGCGGTCGGCCTACAGCAAATTCGGGAATAGCTCTGGAATTGTATGTGGTGCCGGGTTCCTCGAATCCTCTGATCCCTTCGACGACAGTGTGCTTGAATAGAAAGCTGTATCATACGAACAGGTGAAGCTCATGGACTGGCCATTCCATGGTATGCTTCATCTCGGCCCCTTGGGGAGGTCCCAAAGGCATACCGATTTCCTTTGAACATGGGTTCGGCCCTCTATGTATTCCAAGCCACAAAGAGTTGCCCCGGCATATTTCGACTATCAGAGAAAGAAGTCAATCGAAATAAATCAGCAGCAGCTGACGCTCTCAAACCCTACTTGCTCTAGTTTTATAGAATACATCTCCGTGGTGCTTTCTGTTACCCCTATCTCTTTGTAAACGTCCCGGAAGGTTGAAGAGATAATTTCTTTCTGCCACCTTGCGCAGTCCTTTTCGACGATAATCCAGTACTTGGAGGATCTCTTTTTCTCATTGATAAAAACCCCGGAACCCTCAATAGCTAAGGGTAGACAGCCAAGTAATTCTAGCAACAGTTTTGCAGCCCCTTCGCCCTCAACCTTGGTGGTGCCAGATTTATTGAGGCATTGAAAGAGAAACCTACGCGCTTGTTTGTTTGGAACTTTTGTGACCCGAATAGCCGGATGGTATTCTGAAATAAAATTATGCACAGACCTAGTTGATGGCAAAATACCCCTTTCAATTCCATGCATCCATAGATTTGTCATATTGATATGGTACAATATTAGTGACTAAAAGTTTGAACCAAAACTGCTTGATATATAGAGAGAACCTTGCCCAAGGCAAGCTTCTATCCCAAAACTAAATAGTACGTGTGCAAAAAAAAAAAATCGGTGAAGTAGTCTAAGATGCTTCTTTTTGTGCTAGCTCAGCCAGCGGCGTTTTGTAGGTTACGACGAGTTACCGTACTGCATAGTGTTGCGGCGAGTGCGCTGTGTAGATTTACCGTTCGAATCCAAGGCTGGTGCGAGTGACACAATGTGAAGACACACGACAATCGTGCTCGAACCGTTCCGCCCGCCTTTTGCGGGTGATGATTAGAGGGGGGTGGCATTTTATGACCTAGGAAACGTTTTAATACATTGAGAGTTATACCCTATTGGCAGGGATACCTCACTGAACTAACATTCCTATGGCTTCCGGTTTTCTATTATTGTTCCAGCCCTGCACAATACGGAACCGTATACTATGGGTTTGATTCACGAATCTTTTGTCTCAGGGGGAAACTGCTCTCTCTCGTGCTCTACAATCATCCAAGGCGTGATCTTAGGCGTACTTTGGCAGAGCAACAGTTGCAGCATTATGGTAATTTGGGGAGGGCTAGGCACTGCCTGAGGGGTCTGGTATGGTATGATGCCGCAAATGTTATAGAGGTACGGTACAGGTGCTAGGCAAGATGTTCTCGCACAAGACAGGGATTATTTTTCGGGTTAACTTAAACTAACTGTTCAACTTTTTTCCTAGTACTTTTACAATGAAAGCTTTTGGGATCCAATGGGTTATCAAGGGTATTAGCGCCTCACCCCAGGATGGGCCTAGCTTGATAGGTTAACCGAATCACGAAAACGGGTTAGTGAGATTCAACACGGCTACCGGTATTCTGCTGGTCTTATAGTAGGGACTTTGCGAAAAGACTCTGGATGCGGGTCAAACAGGGTTCTGGGCCAATGAGATCGCTAGAATTTGACTCTGGATGCGAAATCGCAAAGTCTCTAGTGTCGGGAAAACTCTACTCGAGTAATACCTCTCAGGAGCTTCTGGCTCTGGATCTGGGGGTTATAGACCTCCCGGAGCTAGTGGATTTCAAGAATTTTAATGGCATAGCTGTTCAGGTCTGACACGCAAGAGGCATGCCAGTGGATATTGCAGTAAGAATTCCTTGGTTGGTGTGGTCCCCTGTCACCTTAAGGTATCCAGAAAGGATACGTTATTGATTTTGTGACTTGTCTGGTTACATCTGCTGTACAAGTACTGTGCTGTACTCGAGTACAGTGCTAGCACGCAAGGCGTAGCACCTTTTAGAGCCCAGTACCCGGCTTGAGGAAGTACCGTGCGATACCAAACAAGTTGTTACTGTGGGCCCATCAACGACGAGAGCCCGTAGCTTCGGCTCGGTTGCACGCCTGATTATGTGTGGTACTGTTTCATTTGTCCAGGGGTACATTTGCTTCTCCCCTCTCTACCTTCTTACAACTTACGGTGAGTTTCTATCATGACTTTCCTTCGGGACAACATGATATGATACTATGAAGCGGTTAGGGCTTAACGTGTATAAATTTTGGCCTGGAAGGCGCCAGTCGGGTGACAAGACTATGACATTCGATAATTTAATGGAACGTTGTTGAGGCTCTTAAGGAAAGCGTGATGCTAGCCTTAAACCTAATGTTGCCCCATCATTCTATTATTCAGCCAATGACGGGCTCTTTACCGCCCCGCCTCTCCCTTCTTCCCCCTCGCCTCGTAGATACCGAACCACAATTGCAATCCTCTCTCCACCTTTACTCCTTTGTCTCGCTTGCCCTCTCCAACCAAAAATAACCGCCTTGTCACCTTCAAACAATCAACGTTCCTAAACTCCACACCTTCTGAAGAGCCACCCTCGCGTGTTTCTGCTGAAGCGCTAGAGTGATTGTTGATATTCTACCCCGCCATCCAAACGGTGACCTGCAAGCCATCAACTCCTCTCCGATATACTTCAGAACGCCGCCACTTCACGAGAGCTTACCTGGGGAAGCTTTGCACCACCGTCCCGTACGCTACAATGGCCGCTTTGACAATAGATGAGCTGGATCTACATGTCCGCATGTTTTATGAAGGGACAGGCGCTGATGTTGGCTCTTCCTGCAACTTTTAATATCTTGCTTTGCTGACTTTCCCGCTAGAGAAAAAATGCTCAACTTGTTCTCAATCAGGTACGTATCTCTGGAAACTGGTAAGCGTTTACCGTCAGCTTCTCGAATACTGAATACGGCTTCTAGTTCAGCGAGAGTCCGGATTCATGGACCATGGTTGATAAGATGTTGGAATCGGCAAATTACCCTGAAACGAAATGTATTTTTGATCCCGAGTTTATGCTCGATTGCTGTAACTTGGCTGATTTTTTTAGTTCTCGGGCTACGAGTGCTGGATCAAGTCATCCAGACACGATGGAAAGTGTTGCCAAAGGAACAGAGACAGGGTACGGATTACCCGAACAAAGGATTTATCCTCACAAAATCGAGACTCACAGCAAGCCCTAGGTATCCGAAACTTTGTCGTCGGGTTCATCATCCAGGAGTCGTCTACTCCCGAGAATCTGCACCAGAAGAGAATATTGATCAACAAATTGAATCTGGTTCTGGTGTCAATACTGAAGCAGGATTGGCCTCACGACTGGCCCGATTTTATCAATGAAATTATTAGCTCCTGTCGGAGCAACCTTTCTATCTGCGAAAATAATATGGCTATTCTGAGACTTCTTTCGGAGGAGGTGTTTGATTTTTCAGCGGAGCAAATGACACAATCTAAGACTAAGAACCTTAAAACGACTATGTGCCAGGAGTTTTCCTCGATTTTCCAGCTCTGTTCGGAGGTTTTACAAATGGCAGAACAACCGAGCCTCGTAAAAGCGACGTTGGAAACGCTGCTTCGTTTTCTTAACTGGATTCCCCTAGGCTATATCTTTGAGACACCTATTATCGAGACCCTACGCACTCGCTTCTTGGAACAGCCCGACTTCCGCAATGTGACAATGAAGTGTTTAACTGAGATCGGTGGTCTTCAGGTTAATCAATTTCAGTATGACGAGAAACTGGTTGAGATGTTTACAAACGTCATGACGACCGTTTCTAAGATTGTTCCTTTATCAACCGATCTCCGTTTTGTTTACCCATCCAGCAATACCAGAGATCAGGAATTCATTCAGAATTTGGCCCTTTTCATTTGCAATTTTTTCACTCCTCACCTCAAGGTATTTATATCACCAATCTGAAGACTATAGCGTGGAATATCGCTCACTCGGTTCCGGTTTCCCAGCTTATTGAGAATCTATCAAATAAAGATTATCTTACTCATTCGCATTTCTACCTCATCCGGATATCCCAAATTGAGGACCGCGAGATCTTTAAGATCTGTCTCGAGTATTGGAATAAGCTTGTCCAAGAGCTCTATGAAGAGATGCAGTCGTTGCCCATTACGGACATCACTCCCCTTATTAGCATGGCTCAGATTGGGGTTACCGGGCTTGCTAGCGGGGGGGGTGCTGTTCACCCTAATCATCATGCTAATTTCCCACTCAGGAAGCATATGTACGCCGAAGTCTTGTCAAACTTAAGGCAGGTGATGATCGAGGGAGTGGTTAGGCCTGAAGAGGTAAGTTGATATATACACTTTGCGATGAAGTAGATCTTCACGAATTGCCGCTCACCCCTCATAGGTTTTAATTGTAGAGAACGATGAGGGGGAGATCGTTCGTGAATTTGTCAAGGAGGGTGACACTATACAGCTCTACAAGGCCACTAGGGAGTGCTTGGTCTACCTTACGCATTTAGATGTTGTTGACACAGAAAACATCATGTCGGAGAAACTTGCTAAACAGGTTGATGGCTCTGAATGGTCATGGGCTAATTGCAATACCCTCTGTTGGGCTATTGGGTCAATATCTGGGGCCATGAACGAAGAAACGGAGAAGAGGTTTCTGGTTACGGTGATTAAGGATTTGCTCGGCCTCACCGAAATGAAGAGGGGGAAGGATAACAAGGCGGTTGTTGCTTCCAATATTATGTATATCGTGGGCCAGTACCCCCGATTCTTGAAAGCTCATTGGAAATTCCTAAAAACCGTTGTCAATAAACTTTTTGAGTTTATGCATGAGACGCACGAAGGTAAGCTCTTGTTTCCACTTGATTTAATCTGTCTAATCCTGCTTAGGTGTCCAGGACATGGCATGTGATACCTTTATCAAAATTGCTCAAAAATGCAGGCGCCACTTTGTTGCCTTGCAACCAGGAGAGTCGGAGCCATTTATCGATGAAATAGTACGGACAATGCAGACCATTACTCGGGACCTGTCACCGCAACAGGTTCATACCTTCTATGAGGCATGTGGCTACATGATTAGTGCACAGGGTCAGACGGGAATACAGGAGCGTTTGATTCAAGATTTGATGGCACTTCCCAATCAGGCCGTAAGTTCAAGCGTTTTTAATTCCAGTTTTAAGCTTTTCACTGAGTAGCTATCTAGTGGGACGCTATTATCCAAGAGGCCACCTCAAATCTTAGTATCCTGGATAACAATGAGACAGTCAAGGTTATTGGCAACATCATGAAGACTAATGTGTCGGCTTGTACCTCAATTGGAAGTTACTTCTATCCCCAAATTGCCCGCATTTTTATGGATATGCTCTCGATGTATCGACTTGTTAGCGGGATGGTCTCCGCGGGTGTAGAACGAGAGGGTATGTGTTCGGATCAATCTCCTGGGACTTGGTTAACGGAATTCAGGTCCTGTGGCGCCAAAGATGCCTCGTATCCGCGGCCTACGTACGGTGAAGAAGGAGATTCTAAAACTTATCGATACCTATGTCCAGAAGGCGGATAATTTGGAAGCAGTGAACAACAACATGGTTCCACCTCTATTGGATGCCGTGCTTGTTGACTATAACCGCAATGTTCCAGATGCCCGTGATGCCGAGGTTTTGAATGTTATGTCCACGATCATCAGCAAGCTACATGGTCTAATGGAGGACAAAATCCCAATCATCATGGAGAATGTTTTCGAATGTACCCTGGAAATGATCAACAAGGACTTTTCGGAATATCCAGAGCACAGAGTGGAGTTTTTTAAATTGCTCCGCGCAATCAATCTGAACTGCTTTAATGGTGAGCTATGCTAGATGGATTCTCATTGAGATATGTTAGCTAATTGGGCTTGTAGCCTTGCTCAAACTTGATAATCGCCAATTCAAGTTTGTCATTGACGCGTGTCTCTGGGCTAGCAAGCACGACAACCGTGAGGTCGAGGCTGCTGGCTTAAATATGTGCATCGAATTGATCAACAATATCGCCGATACAAATCCAGAGACCTCCAGCGCATTTTTCCAGCAATTCTTCATTCCAATACTACAAGACATTTTCTTCGTCCTTACGGATACCGACCATAAAGCCGGTTTGTATACCGTTTGCCGCTATTTGGATTGGAAGTAGGAGCTGACTCTCTTTTAGGATTCAAGCTTCAGGCGCTGCTTTTGTCCAGGATGTTCTACTTTGTGGACTCTGGCAAAGTTCATGCACCTCTTTACACACCTGACCAAGCCCCGGCTGGCACGTCCAACTCGGAGTTCCTTAGAGAATATGTTGCTGGACTTCTTCGCACGGCCTTTTCACATCTTCAGCCGTAAGTCCTATATACATATCTTTAATTGATTATTTCCTAATTCAGCAAAAAAAATTTAGGGTTCAGATCAAGACGTTCGTGGATGGCTTGTTTGCTTTGAACAACGATCTCCCTAAGTTCAAACTTAATCTTCGTGATTTCTTGATTCAACTGAAGGAGTTTTCTACGAGCGATAATACCTACCTTTTTGCAGAGGACCGAGAAATCGCAGCTGAGGAAGCCAGGAAGGCCGAGAGAGAGAAAGCAGCGAAGGTTGGTGGGTTATTAAAACCAAGTGAAATGGATGATCATGATGTTGAGCTGTGACTCACCGAAGAGAAAAATGATCTTCCACTGTCTGATCCCGGTCGGGTTGTCTTTAATCCTGCTAGTACCGGTAATTGGGCTGAGGGTTGGTGGTGGGAGTGAGTACAATTAGACAGTGCAATTGCTCGCCGTTCCTACATCTGGTTTTCAATGTTGTTCTGCCGTTTGTTCGCTATCCAATTTCCGCTCTGTTGTTAGGCCCTTTAAGGGCGCAAGTGTTTGCAAAGTTGGTAACATGTTTCATTCATGCGTTTTTTTGTCAATAGTTGAGGGGGGCGCTCGGTGTAAGCGAGAGCAGTAAAGGTGGAACATGATATCATTAAATTATGGTTTACAACTAATTCTCTCTATCTTCCGCCAATCCATGCTTGATCACTCGGAGAGATACCGTGAGAAGTGTACCCCGAGGTGAGCTAGACCGCATGCACATCTCTTGTGCGAAGGCTAAACAAGAACTTATTGGTGCATAGAAGAGGGATGGTTGTCGGGGGATTTGCCGCGAGCTTGTGACGGAATAGTTCATTCGCGTTAATTAAGAGTAGCCCCCGCTGAATTCCATAGATGCGGACCAACTTAGCCTGTGCCACTGGGGGTGAGCACCCTGAATATATGTGAAGGGTAGTTATCACTTTCCCTGGGGGAGCAAATACACCCCGGATCATCTCACCCGATAACCAAGATCCCCTGTTATGCCGGCGAAAATGTAGAGAGGGAGCTCTCCGGAGAGGAGTTTTTTTTTTTTCGTTTTACGATCTCTTTTGTCCTTGGTATGTTGTCGGATTTACGGTATGATGACACCCATCCACAGCATCAACCGTGCTAGCACGTGCAACGTCCTAACCCCCGTTCTGGGTGGGGTTTGGTGACTACTGGCCTCACTTTACCTCCCCTGTTTCGACGGAAGAGATGGCTATAGCAAGAGATATCGTGCGTGAAAAATACTCGGCTCAAGGTTGGGTGCTGTGCTCAGGGAGGAGCCGGGTCTGTTGATTATAGATACTAGGCTGTTGTGCGGTCCCAGGGAGGTTGAAGTATGTGGATATGGGAGTTTAATCCCCATGTTCCTTCCCTGGGTATCATAGCTTGTATACGGTAGCGCCCTCAAATGCGTTAAAGTGTTAGATAAGATCTGGCGAGCGGGGCGGGACTGAAAGTCCCACGGGAGCCGATACATCTTCAAGAAAGTAGTGTAGATATGTTGTTCGTAACTATCGACCAACGTCAAACTTCCCTCGTGCTTGGAAGGATAATTAATCCGGCAATAAAAACGCTTGGGGAGGGGGGAGTCGTTTATTTCCAGTTTGAGGAGCACGGGGGCCATGGCCATTTCAGATAACACCCATATACCAACAAGTGCATGACGGAGGAGTAAATGCGAATACCGTATCAGGTTATTTCTGTCTATGTACCACAACCCCGCTCGGGGTACTGTGTCCTCTCGGCCGGGATCATTGACACGAGTGATGTGTGGTGATGAGATATTACAGTACTGTACAGCACAAGCCCATAGAGTAGCTGTGTTTTGTATCATATCATAAAAAATTGGCGCGCAGGTTACTAATTTTTTTTTATACGAATTTGAGCAATGCCGTGTGAGAAGAGTCCAAGAGGTTGGTTGGTAGTCAGAAAGGGTTGTCTCAGAGCCACTCTCCCTCTGCGGCCCCGTTTATAACGATGAGAGCGTCTAGAACTACTATAGCGGAGACTTGAACTTGGCTATGCTATAGTAACTATTAGAGTAGTTGATCGGATCTTATACCTGACTTCTTTTTTCGAGAGGGGAATACTCGGGCGCCTGGTTTACAAGGCGACTAGATCGGTGGTAGTGAAGAGATAGTTTAGAGGTAGGTGGCTACCGTCATGATTTAATTCGCTCAGTTTAGCGCTAGAGTCTGTATTTAAATCGCCTTTACGGGTCAAAAGATGCAAATAATTCCTGCTATCATACCCTGCAGATGGCGGATCTCGCCCGTATGCTAGGTGTATAGCTCGGGTGGGGATTTTATGATAATACGATATCATACCACATCATGGCCGGACTGATTTGCCCTACCGCCCTACTGAGGAAGACTAAGGTTTGGCTTACCAGTGCTCATAGGGAGGGCTCGTCGTTTCCCCTAAACTACGGGATGGGTTGTTCAAATATGATAGTAAATTATCGTAGGGGGAGATTGGGCTCCTGGGCTTCTGCTAATCATACAGCGCTGATTGGCTCTTGTATTTCACGTGATGTCAGAGCGGGAAAGGATATCATACTTAAGAGTTTTTAGAACTCCATTTTTACCACAAATGACATCTTAGAAATAGCAATTGTGTTCGGTCGTTAATTGTTTGATTTCTAAAAAATGCTACTTTAACGTTAAAAATGCTATATTATGAAAAAAAAGAGGTCTGAGCAGAATTTTTGTACCCTCTTCTAATTATACACCTCATATCATCAACAACCACAATGAGAAGAAAAAAACCAGCTCTTACGGAACACCTGAGGATACAGAAATCTGGCTTGTGGTAATTCCTCGGAAAATGTGATTTTCTGCTTCTCACTAAGAATGCCATCTCAAATATGAGTCGCAACCGAACAGGCCCTTATCCTATATACGGGTGGGGTCGGGGTTTCCCGTCTGGGGCTAGGCATGGCGGCGTTGCATCACTGGGCATTGGGTGCGTTATGGGAGTAGATGCAACTTCGGGAGAAGATAAGTTATAGGTATTGATCGCTGATAGCTGGGGGTGGATTCCTTTGGTGTACGAAGGAGCAGTCATAGCCGGAATACCGGTGGTGAAAAGGGAGCAAGTTTGGCTGGGAGTAAGCCAGGATTTGGAGAGGGTTGGGTATAGCTGAAGGCGGAAGCCCGTCAGGCACCCTCAAATTGATAATGACCGACTTAGGGGCCGGACGCAATGCCCTGAATGAGATTATCATAGGTCAGGAACATGTAATCATATTACTCTTTTGTTATACATTTACCAGTCAGCACAGCGTCTGAAGCGGGAGCAGGGAGTTGCGATTCTTGAGAACAAGGGACAGAGGATGACGCAGATACAGGCTGGGTAGTGTTTTATTGAGAGCTTTTCTGTACATGGCTAAGCCTAATAATTACGCTGCTGCTACAGCGGACTCGCCGGGAGCTGCAGTCGCCTCAGGAATAGCTGGTGGAGGCCCGAGAATAGTATCCTGGATGGCGACAGTACAGCCCTTTGGACCAGGTACAGGACCTATGGGGATCGGTAAGCACTTGCTAGGGGACTTATTCCAGGCTGTTTACTTACCAAAGAGAAGAATAGTCCCTAATTCCTTATCTATCTTCATGACCTGAACATGCGGTCTCGTGACTCGGTGACCTCCCATCCTCCCAGGCATCCGCTTCCCGGGGAGGACACGGGAACCACCGCCCTGAGATTGACCAGCGGAACCCATGATTCTATGGCTCAAGGAATTACCGTGGGAAGCAGGTTGACCGGCGAAGCCGTGCCGTTTCATACCCTATCGACAAATTAGCCAATGTTTTCTCAAGGTTCAGCATTCGGTGAGGCGTACTCCTGCGAATCCATGACCTTTGCAATTGGCTCTAACATCAACATACTGGCCCTCTATGAAGAAGTCGGCAGAAAAAGTAGTCCCCGGTTCCATCAACCCATTTTCGTCCTTAACTCGGAATTCTCGTAGGTGCTCTTTGGGAGCTACACCGCCCGCTTCAAAGTGGCCCAACATTGGCCTGGTCACATTCTGCGAGTTTCTCCAGCCAGAGCCAACCTGCACTGCCCAATACCCATGTTTTTGACGAGTTTTAACTGCCGTGACTTGAACTCGCTCGAGCTGCAGGACGGTGCAGGAGATCCGCCTACCATTTGGTCTGTAGATGGCCGTCATTCCCTTTTTAATGGCTAGGACTCCGGGTCGAGTGGCCAGTCGCTTGCGCTCGAGAGCGGCTGCCTTGGAGCCCTCAAGAAGTTCGGGGGAACCTGAGGAGGAGATTCTTTTTGGACGATTACCAAATGCATTTGGAACGGTAGTGGTGAATGACCGGCAGCGATTCGCAAGGTCTGGGGGTTGGGTCGGTTGGAAGGGGCATGGATTTCTCCATAGATGCCGCAAGTAATGTGCTAAAGATATCCTTGGTGGCATTGCTGGGGAGTTTAAGGGAGTTGAATGCTGAGAAAATATTCAGGAAGATCGATGTGGCTAGGAAATATGATAAAACACGTGCTGTGGCGTTTAGTGGGGTGTGGCGAGAAAAGTTGGCGGGGAAACGTAAGCCTCAGACATCCTGACATTCCTTGTCTCGCTTCTCTAGTCTTTCTCGGTACATCACACCCTCCCTTCCCCCTTCCTGAAGAGATTTCCTCAGCATTCTCGTTCTACGATATTCCGACAAACGCTTATTCTAAACTATCGTTCAAATTCTCATGATGAGTTCCGAACAACCGGAAAAGGTTCAAACGGCAGAGCTTGTAAGAGTCACCCGTGCTGTACTTGTTAACCCTAAATCAGTGAGCTTCTGCTGATGCTCCGCAGACTGGGGATACTCCTGTTTCGGCGCCCGGGGGCGTCGGGGAAAACACAGCTGCTGAGCCAACACCAACTACTATTTCTTCCGCCAACCCAATACCAGAAGCCAACACTTCCTCAGTCCCCGAATCCAACGTCGAAAACCCGCCGCCTAAACCGCCGCGCCCAATGTCTCCTCAACAACAGGCTCAAGCTACCCTTCAAGAGGCCTTCCCCTCTATCGACGCTGCCGTAGTCAAAGCAGTTCTTGTCGCCTCAGGCGGCCAGGTTGAGCCGGCATTTACCGCTTTGCTGAGTAAGTTGGGTTACTTTAATCAAGTAGATGACATTTGTACTAAACTCTCAATAGCTATGAGCGACCCCACTTTTGCAGAAGAGACTCCTCCTCCGCAACCTCCTCGACCTGCACAGCATGCTCAGATACAACAGGTTTGATCACTCTCTCGTGGCGCTATAGAGATTCTAACGTGTACTAGCCGTATGCGGATCGCCCAGAGCGCCATCAGGGCCCTGGTGGCTCCCTACCGTCACCATATGTAACTTCTACTCCACAAACTCAACTTGAAGCGGACGAAATTTATGCTAGACAATTGGCAGGCCAGTTCAGTGCGCCCAGGAGAGTTGCAACCGGCAGGCCTCGCCCAGGCGCCAGCACAGCTTTAGACCCAGAATATGAGACAGGGGGAAGAAGAGGAAGATTGCATGACCCAGATTCTGACTACGATTCTGACAAGGAGCACTCGTTCCTTGATGGTTTGTACTACCGGGTTCCTCATCTATGACTTTCTCCTGCTGACAGACTCAGACGATCTTCCGGTTATCAAGGAAAACCTTCGCAAAGGCTTTCTTGACACACAAACTAAATTTAATTCTTGGATTTCTGATTTTAAGAAGAAACTGGATGGTGACTCTCCCGAGACATCTCCTCCGAGCTCCGCAAGGCCTAGCAACCAGTATGCAAGGAGCGGTAACCGAACCGCTACCGGATTCGAAAACCCTAGAAGGAGTTCGAGAGACGGGGGATACGACGCTGACCCCCGGGTTCTAAGTGACGATTTTACGCACCTTGAGCTTAGGGACAATTCTGTTCAAAGTATGCGATATTCCTTAGCAATTTAAGGGACGATGTGGCGTTGTTGTGTTCCATTGCTAAATAGCATGTAGATCCGCAACCTCGCCGCCCCAAGGCCAATCCTGGATTGTTTCAACCTTCAAACAAGCCCACTGGCCGCAAAGTATCTTTTGATGAGCGCCCAGTTACTATTTCTGATGACGATATGTATCGTCCACCGCAGCCCCCTCGCTCTACATCAGCTGGTGCACCAGCTCGACAAACATCTCCATCATCCAGTAAATGGGAGCCTCTGAAGAGTGTGGAGCCGGCGCCAATGGACAGGGATCCTTTCTCACTTGGTGATAGTGACGACGAACGGGATGGCTTATTAAAGGAGAGCGATGCAAAGCCAGTTTCTGTTTCGTCGGCGCAGGAGACTGGTATCATATCCAAGGACGTCACAAAATGAAGCATAGGGCCGGGGTATTGAAAAGTTTGATAGTTTCGTAAACGATTGTTAGCTTTGGGGGTTGTATTTTTCGTTCCTAAGCTCTAGGTTGGGGTTGTAATGTTTTAAGTGAGCTTGTATTCTGTGTTCGCTGGAGGCTCGAGTGGATTTTGCTTTTTTTTTCTTTGTATCTAGTACTATCGAACCTATATTCCGCCTGATAACGTGACTTAATGCGCCACTACAGTACGGTACGGCGCTCGAGTACTAACAAATTTCAAAAGTATTCGGACACCTTGGCGCCAAGGCCAAGGGTACTTAGTGCAATCCAAAATCCGGTATATCCAACAAAATAACTAGCTATAGAATTTGCTTCTGTCCGGCTTTTCATCCATTTAGCCATGGAACTTGTTTCCACCCTGCTGTTCAATACATTTAGCCATGACTCTAGGAAGCTACTCGGACTCATCATTAGATAAGAATGTTTGTTGTCATACATGTGTTTGTCAACTCGTGATGAATTCAGCCTATTTACTCAAAAGTCTTGGCACCACACTTTCTCTTGGCGCCAAGGTGTCCGAATACTTTTGAAATTCGTTAGTAGACTTCGGAGGCACGGCGATTACAAAAGCGGTCTTCCCGAATCCTGAAAATACTAATAGATTGTAATACAAATACCTAGGCGTCTGCGCTGTAGATCCCGTAACGAGAACGGATACGCGGCCTGATTGATCAAGAAGCTGGAAGAAATACCAAGCCAGCACCCGAGAATAGAACTAAGACTTGAAATACCCCCCTCCCCGCCTCCATTGTTCGCATTGGGGCATGGAGCGAATCACTGCTTCCCTCATAACAGTATCCTCATGGATGGCAACCGGACCCGTAGCTATGGCATTCCCGTCCTCCGCATCATTGTTCCTGCTGTTGAGGCCCTCGCGACGCAAAGCACCGCAATACTGGTACGATAACCTCCGGGCCTACCATTAACTAGCTCATTATACCCATGCCCGAAATACCGTAGGCACCACGACAGTGGACGAACCGCTAGGCGGAGGAGGAGCGACGCACAAACTGGGATAGAGTGAAGGGTTCAAGACTGATTGGCTTACCACCGCGAGCCATAGGTATCATAGGGGACTACTCCGGCATGGACTAGGAGTGAAAGGATGGTAAAGCGGTTGATCTACAAACTCTGCGCCCGAAGAAGAAGAAGGGACAAACGGGCAGGCAAGCCTGCGGGAGATAAACTGTCTGGGATATCTTTGCAGCGGGGTTGGTTCTGATTCGGGGGGCGTCTCGGGGGGCGTCTGGAAGATTGATTGCACGCATCGTAGTTCTCCGGTAGAGATGTTGGGCTAGGGAGGGGGAGGGATAGTCTACCGGTAAGTCAAATTTGTTTGGGGAAGACGTTGGAGCTAAGTTATGATATTTGGAAGAAATAAAGGGCTGTATCATAGGAAGAAAGGCAGAAGAGTGCTTTTTTCGTGCTTCCGGAGGAGTATGATATCATACGATGATATGTATGATATTGCCCCCCCCATCTCTCTCCCTTCAACCCTGGATGGATACGCTACGCAGGGCCTCATCGAGCCAAAAAAAAACAAAAAACCAGCCCCTTGGGCCTGCCGGTATGCCCTGCGTCTTCAATCTCACCCACCGCACCCTGAGACTAAAAGTAATCCTCAATGATACCGATAAGTTAGGGCACAACCCCCCCCCCGCCAAGCTTTTTTTTCTCTCTTCCAAAACACCATAAAAGGCCATCGTCCCTCGCGCTCCTCTTTCCCCCAACCATCATCAGTAGAGGTTATAATTGATTTTATTAACCTTAGGAGCTCCGCTACGGCGGCTTGCTGAGCGTTGTCTGTTCTTCTCCATGGGTTTCGTTCCGTTCCCGGCTCCTTTGATTGACTCTTCCACTCTCTCTTACCTGCTTCGATTTCCCTGGATTTATTTTTCTTCAGTTGGGGGAGTTGGTTGGTGGAGGGGTGGTACATTCTTTTTCCTTTTCCCTCCCTTGCTTATTTCTCTGCTTGTATGATAGATATCGTGGTTTTACTTTTAAGAAGTGTCTCAATGTGTTTGTGATGGTCTACCGTATTCGTGATTGCCGGCCTGGTTGTGTCGGATGGATGTTTTTTTCGTAGTGCGAGGTGCTGCCATGCTGGATTTGGATATTCGCATACGGTATGGTTTTGTTACGCGCTGCCTGAGGTATGATCACTGCAGTATTCACGAACAACGAAAAATCACTATCCAACCGCCCACCGTGCTGCTACCAACTCCCATACTGCACAATATTACTGCGGGAAAGGAAATTTTGATTTTAATTACAAAAGCCACAATATGCACTAATGAATTCACATGAAGATACAGAAGCATCCGGATCTATACTCGACTTCGCTTTATTCACGCCCCCTTCTTCGCCTCGACATATTCCTTCGCCCTCCTCGTAACAGTCTCAGTGCTCTTCTCGTCCCCTTTGCTTTTCTCAAACTCCAACCATTTCTTGAAGAGAGCCTTAGCCTGACGAGTCGAGGGCTTCTCGGCGAGAGCCCTCTTAAACAAAGCTCTGACGCCTTCCTTCCCGCCATCCTCTTCGCTTCCATACTTGATCTCCATATCTAGGAACATGTTATAGAGATCACTCTTCCTTTTGAAGGTGGCGAGTAAGTTCTCAAACAGAGTTCGTCCTCTCTCGGGATCGCCGCTGCGGAATTCTAGCTTGGCAAACTTGGAGATGAGGTCTTTGTGCTGGTCTTGCGAGAGTGCTTGCATCGCACGCTGAAGGAGCGCGCGGGCGGCGTCACGGTTTTGCTCGCTGCTGAGGAGAAAGTCGGCGTAGTTTACCCAGATTTTAGGATCTTGACTGAATTTTTTGATCATTACTTTAAAGAGGCCATCTGCTTTCTGGAATAATAGAGTTAGGTGTCTGCGACCGCGGCTTTGGATCAGGAAATACGATACCTCAGTCTTGCCGGTTTGAATATGGATACTGGCTAGCTTCTCATGGATTTCTTGCGCCTCGTTATACTGGCAAGCTTTTTTGAAGACTTCTTCGAGAGTCTCATCAGTGCCATACATGGACTCCATATTTAGCATAGCGATCCAGACGTTCTGTTTCTCCTTCTCCTCTCGAAGGGCGATAGTCTTGATCGCTCTCTCAGCGATTTCCCTAGATTTCGCGACTTCGCTGAGTTGTAGTTGGAATGACATGTACATGATCCACAATTTAGAATCGTTGGGGTCTCCAAGGAGAAGGCGTTCAAAGTCAGCGACGGATTGCGGTTCTCTTGTCGCCAGGTTTCCCGTCAAGTCTTCTTTGATTTGGGACTTCTTGCGCTTTTTCTTTTTGTGCTTTTCCTCTTCAGGGGAGTTGCTATCCCTGTCGGAGTCGGTTTCGGGGCCCCGTTTGTCGAGGATACTTGCGGACCAGTCGAATCCCCCAGTGCCGAGACCTTCGCCAGTAGGCGCATCAATCATTTCAACATCGGGTTCCTCTTCCTCGTCGGATTCTTCACTGGCATCACTCTCGAGGTCCTAAGGGGAGGGAGTCCGTTAGAGTAGTATTAACACATCCAAAATAACCTAAGGCATACCTTTACAGCGCTGAGGTCAACACCACCCTCCCCCTTACTATCGTCCTCGCTTTCATCCTCGCTACCCTCGTCCTTGAAGTAACTAGCCTTCAGCCCAAAAGAGATTCGTTTCTTTTCCTGATTAATACTTATGATCTTTGCCTTAACAGGATCCCCAATCGCATAGAGCTTGCTAACATCCTCAATGATGTTATCCGCGATTTGGCTCTTGTGACACAATCCACTGATATTTTGAGAACCATCCACGCGGATAAAAACACCATATTCCGCGACATTCGTCACCTTACCCCTGACAATTTGCCCTTCTTTTAATGAGGAGTAGTCTGCCGGCTTTGGTCTTTCCTTTCCGGATATGTCCGATTCTCTAAGACTCATCTGGATGTGACCCAAGGTTGGGTCAACAGCCATGATTTTCCCCTTGACGAGCTGATCCACTGTGAATAACCCCTCCCATTCCTTCAAGAACCTATCAGAGAGATCAGAAATCTTGGTCCAGGCTGTGATATTACCGCCCATAGCAACGAAGAGCCCTTTGGGAGAGACATGCTTGACAAAGCCGCGCCTGATGTCTCCTACTTTAACGTTCGCAATAGTTTGAATTTCAGGATCCTTGACTGGTAGATCTGAGCTCATCACGCGGGAAGGCCTGGTTGAAAGAATTACTCGCTTGTTGGGAGAATCAATATCTATGATGCAAACGCGAATTACCTCATTTTTGCTGAATTTGCTGGTCTTCGCTTGCGAGAAGTCGTCTTCAAGGTCGGTGAGGTTAACCGGCCCAGAAACCGATTCACTGATTTGAACCAGGACTTGCCGGTCAGTAACTTTAGTTACTCTCCCAGGAACAACCATTCCCTTGGCTAATTTGTCAAATATTAAAGCCGAGCCTGAGGCACTGCTGGCGGAAAGATCAAGTTTGTTGTGTTCCGAGTTGACTCGGAGAACCTGGCACTTGAGGGCGCAGCCAACAGGGAAGCTTTTTCGTAGTGCTTTTAGTTGAGTGACGTCTTCTGAGAGATCCAATATGCGAATTCTTCCCCTGATATCAGGCATAATATTGGCCCAGGCACAATCATCCGAGATGTTGTTCAAGAACGCTACCCATGTTGAATTTGGGGTAATGTCTTCCAGCTTTGTAATACATCCTTCAATACCCTCTTTCTTTACGTCGCTGGGCCTGGCTGAAAGTTCGAAGATAGGAGTCTTGGTGCTCGCTTTTCGATGGGTGATAGCAAGGAAGCGGTGGTTTCGCACATCATGGATTCCAATAACTTTGACATCCAAGACGTTCCCTTTCTTGAATGGTGCGAGGGGGAACTTCTTGTCCTTGATAGCGTCCCAAGTTTCAAACACCAATGATACGTCAATTCTGCCCTGCACGTTGTCGGCGAGCTTCACATTTAGCTGCGTCTCTTGGACCGAAATGACCTTCGCTTTAGTGAGCTTCCCGGGGGTGTAGTCGTCGATAAGTTTGAACCTCGCATCGATAGGGTTAATAGTGAGTCTCTCTGAGTTGCTGGCCACGCTAGCTACGGTCGAGACCTTCCCCTCCCCTGATTTTTCTGGATTTAGCGACAATCGGAATCGTCGTTCTGATGGATCTATATATACCACCCTGCCGGCGATGGACTGATTCTTGGCGTATCCAAAATTCGGGAGAGACTGGACTTCTGCTGGAAGGTCCCTTTTGTAAACTACTCCAACTATTCCACCGACAAACCCAACAAAGATGCTGTGCAGAGTAGTGCTCCTAACCCAGCCTTTCACTGTTTTTCCCTCACTCACATCCTCAAACTTGTTAATCATACTTCCGTCTTTTGCTGCATTGACAAGGCTTGGCTTCATGCTCAAGGTAATCGACCTTCTCTCCTCATGCTTCTCTAAAACTAAGAGGGTTTCAAGCCTTTGCCCAGCCCTGAGCTTCTTGAAAACACCTAAGTTCTTCTCACGGCTACCATCAGTCAGTTGCCCAATTCCTAGCACGCCTCTGATGCCTTCGGTCCCCAAGCCGCTTATCTCGATAATAAGATCTTCCGCCGACTTTTCGACCACGGTCCCAGAGACAACATCGCCAGCAGGTAGTTTAGCAAGAGCCACTTTGTGGGCTTCACCGAACAAGTTTGGATCTTTACAGGAAACCCGTAGCTTTTGGTTCGCGGGATCCACTGATAGTACATGGATATTCACAGATTGGCCAACCGTAAAGTGATCACGGGGGTCCTGGATATATGCTTCGCTCATCTCGGAAACAGGGAGGAAGCCGCAGACATCTGAAAAGAACTTGACTATGGCGCCGTTTGGTAGGATTTTAACCAAGGTGCCAACTGAGCGAGTGCCGGATTTTGTATCCTCGTAAGATGATATTATTGGGGTATCAGAGTTGACGATAGCCTTTTTTAAGGACAATCTTACTTTCCTCTTTGAAGGATCAATTAACAAAACCTATTAGTCAATTAGTATTGTTAGGAGTTGAGCCGAAATGGTCGAGAGAAATTACCCTCGCTTTTACTTCGACACCCTCCCTGAACCTCTTTTCAGGATGTTTGAGTTTGATATCGCTTAGATGAAGCTCGTCTACCATTCCTGTGATCCCTTCAGCTAAGTTTACGATAAGACGTCCACTATCTAGGACTCGATCAATGGTTCCCTTCACGACTTCGCCGATTTTGATGTCCTCCACCCTTAAAAATGGCTGATCGAGAACCTTCTGCTCCATGCTAACAATATAGAGGCCATCCATGGAGTTGTAGCCAATTATTCTAGCCTTATGGACTGAACCGGTCTGATATAGACCAAAATCTTTGGACAGAACTTCTATTTTGCTATCGCTTGTGACTCGGGATATATGGACGAAGCCAGGAACACCAGGAATACCGACATCAAGAAAAAGGCCGGTTTTAGGCTCGGTAAAAAGGACTTTCGCAGAGTTTAGAATGGTGGCTGTTGGGAGGATCATTGTAGGCTCATTCTCGGTTGGCTGAGTAAATGAAAGGACGTGGGGGAGGATTGAAAGAGCGAGTTTACGAGGTTCGGGATGGGTAGCAATGACACGCGCTTTGATCTAAAGAAGTTTAGATAGACTATATAGAGGGGAACGTGCTTCGAACTAACCTTTTCTCCAACCTTAAACTTGGATTCAATATCCTTTTCTCCCCAGCCAGAAGCATGAAAGAAGTCCATTGTAGCGTCTACAAGTCCCATAATCTTTCCTGCGATTCCAACAGCTTTGCCACCCTTTGCTATATCAGTGATGAGTACCTCTACGCCAGTTCCAGGTAGGAATGTGTTGACTGTAGGCGCAGAACTCAGCCACCAGGCTGCCTTTCCACCAGTATATTTGCCCTTCTTACTCGGTTTCTGTTCTAGATCCCCTGAGAGTTTGACGATTTTACCATTCGACGAGAGCCCTATGATTGTGCAAAGCAACACTTGCCCTTCCCTTGCATTCGTCGCAGAACGGCCCTTCCCGAGTTCCTTAGATGACAGAAATCCTTTGAGATCATTCCCGATACCCAAATTCATAACGAGACCGTGATCCTCCACACTTGTAATAGAGGCCTGAATAGTACATCCAACGACTAATTCAGTAGTTGTAAGGCCGTCGTTGGTCACAACTGGGTCCAAGGACAGCTCGATCCGCTTTTTGGTCTTTTTAGAGCCTAAAGGAGATTTCGAATTGGCAGGTTCTAGAGAAGATACAACGTACGCTCGGAGATACTGCCCAACTCGGAACATAGACCTGAGGTCAACATCATCCTCAGCAGATTCCGGTTTTGCTGTTTCGGTCTTTTCCTCCATATCCTCTTCCTCGTCATCATCGCTTTCCTGGATTAAAGCCTCAACCTTCTTGTTCAACGATTCCGAGATGGAGGTAAGAGGAACAAAGCCGGTCAAATTGTTCGGTAAGGAAAGGGCGAGGTCAGTTTGATTGACTTGAGAGATGCATCCAAGCACAAGTGTACCTGGTAGTAGTCTCTATGAATTGATTAACTTCTTGTGGTTTTCATTTTTTGATAAGAGAAGACCAACCTTATAGCTCAATCCTTCCGCCTTAATACCTTTCTGCTCACCTTTCTTGGGTTCGTCTTTTCCACTCTTTTTATCTTTCTTCAATTCTTCTCTCATCGGCTTCCTTGTCGATTTGGCCTTCGCATCTTCGGTTTCGAAAAGGGCATCTTTGGCAGCGTCATTGGATATTTGCTTGAACTCCAGCGGAGTAAGAATAGAGCCACCACCTCTTGGGAAAGACCTTTCTTCCTCCTTTGAGGCGCGGAGTGTTGATGGTTTTGCCGGCTCGGGTTTTGAAGCGGCTGCCGACGCCTCGGGCTTCAGTCTCTTATTTACGGTTATGGGGGGTTTCCTTGATCCGCTCTTTTTCGCTGGGCTTGGATCTGCGTCTTGAGGGCGTTTTCGTTTCCTGTCGAGACCCATTGTGTGGGTTGATGGCATGGTGGGTTTGTTCGGGGGTGCGAAGTGGTGGGGGGAAATCAAACGGTTTTCTCAAATTTTTTTCTTTGGCACTCACCCAAATTTCTTCTCTGGGTAAAAGGTCTTGGCGTGAAGTCTTGGCAAGATAACTGATGCGGAAGCTCTCCAGTGTCTCAACCCACCATTGTAACCCTTCTATCTTCCGACAAACCATTGCTATGCCACAACCCACTACCTGTACATTCCACTGAGGTACTCGGGCACGCCAATCAACTATGGCTAACTCTTCTTCGATCAATGTTCACCAGGTATGCTTGTTCTGCCCCAAAATTTTCATACCGACCGCGCTATTGTTTACCCCAAGCTACTGGGCGCTGCCATATTGGAATTGTGAAATGGAGCTCCCTTTGTTGAATGAATTTAGTATGATACTTACTACTTCAATACAGATTATGTTAGCTCCTTCTGATACAGAATATATAGACCAGCTAATCTCCACTATTGGAGATATTTGCATCTTAGGTCAAGAGGGGCAGCTTATGAACGATTTGGCTCGGTTCTCGGAAAAGCAGGAGGCCGAGATCGAACGACTGTGTAACAACAACCATCAGAACTTTGTTCAATCAGTCAACCACCTTCTCAGTGTACGGAAAGGCACAGTTGACTTGACTCAAGAAATTCTTAAACTAAATGAAGCGATCCAGAGCTCTACTGAGCGGTTGGTGAAAGAGAAAAAGGCGCTGGTCAACTCTCGAGAGATCCGAGAAAACATCGATGAAGCAACAAGGGCATTAAAGTCATGCTTAGAGGTCTTAGGGCTTGCAAATCGAGTCGGAGATCTTTTGAGAGAGAAGAAACGATATGCAGCTTTAAGAGCTTTAGAGGAGTTGCAAAACGTGCGCTTGAGGGAGGTTACGCAATTCGAGATTGCCGAAATAATTCAGAAATCTGTTCCGTCCATGAAAACGATGGTCAAAGAGGCCGTTATGACAGACTTAAATGCCTGGCTCTATAAGGTCCGAGAAAATTCAATGCTTCTAGGACAGGTAGCTTTCTATCACACCGACAAACGCCGGCACCGACAGGAAGAGAGGGTGCAGGGTATCTCCAATTTGCGATGGCTCAAGATTAACTCTGCGTTAGAACTTGCCCTGGATGAGCGGGAAGAGTTCGATATCCTTGACAACGAAGACATAACTGTTGACTTCACGCCCTTATTTGAATGCTTACATATGCATGAAGCGATGGGGGAGAGGGATGAGTTCCGAGTTACATACGCAAATGTTAGAAGACAGCAGAAGGATCTTCTGTTCTCCAACCCACATACCGTTGCGGATGAGAACGTAAGCTGTATAAGTCGTCTGCTAGAAGATATATGCGGCTTCGCGATAATTGAGAAATCTACACTTAAGAAAACTTCAGGTTTTCGTTCTCCTGTTGACGTAAGCTTCCCCATCTATTAGTCGCCCGATATAACCCGTCTGAGAGACATTCCCTGCGAAGCCCTTGCTAGAGCTCACGTTCCAAGCACGTTTACATCTCCGCTCTATTTAGGGATCTTCCGCCTTACGTTCGGTGGCTGATAGTGTCGTAGGTTGATGATTTATGGGATTCGATGTGTAAGAAAGCGATAATCATGATAACTCAACAGGTGGAAAATATTACCAAGGCAGAAACCTTATTGAAAATAAAAAATGTATTAGCCTTGTTTATACAGGCTATGGATGTTGGTGTACTTCTTTCTGTACTACTTCTATCTGCTAATTTACAACAGACCTGGGAATATTCCGTCAAGCCCCTTGACGAATTCCTTCTCGGTCTTTTCGACAAGTACTCGGAATGTTTGAAGAAGAACTTCATTGGCGAGTTCAAAAAGGTATAAGAGTTACAAAATAGCTCGCATACGCTTCTATCTCAGAATGTGAGACTAAAATAAGGTTGAATCATTTGGCTACAGGTTGCGATGAGCGACGACTACACACCTATGGCGGTTGAGAATCGACCAAAATATGACGATATTATGAAATCGGTCTGGTATAGTCCGGATAAGGATCCTGAAAGTATACAGTATGCGCTCTACACCGTCAAAACTTAATACCAAATGGCCGGCACTGAACGGGTTCTACTAGATTTCCGACAGTTATGCCTTTTTCGCGGATATATCCACTTTGTTGTCGCTTTATCCGCGATTTGCTCGAGAAATACTACTTTTACGCGGACGAGTATTTCCAAAATCAGGGCGCCATTGATCGGGAGCTACAGAAGGTTAGTTCTTTTTAGCGTGCGGACTTATACAGGTGCAAAACTGACTTATATGGTCCTTTAGTCCCTCGACGAACTACTGTGTGAACAGGTTTGTAGCACTTTGGAGGAGCACTTGGGCTCGCAATATCTTGGACAGATCGTCCAAATACTCATAAATCTTGAGCATTTTGAACATGCCTGCCGGGAACTTGAATATCTCCTTGCAGAATCTTGCTCTACAAGTGAGACAGGGGCCGTAACCCTCAAAGCAACAGAGCGATTCAGGTCCGGGAAGAAAACTGCAGGGGAGAGGATATTTGAGCTTGTGAACAGCAAGATAGATGATCTCATTGGGACTGCCGAGTACGACTGGATGGCTACTAAAGATCAGAACCAGCCTAGTGAATATCTACAGCAAACCACTCTTTTCTTAAGGAATAACATGAGCTCCACATTGTTAAATCTACCCAGAGAAATCCAGGGGTTCGTTTACTTTGGTGCCTTGGGCCATGTTGCATCGTCTATACTTGTAAGCCTCATCAGAGTGCTCAGTCTGATGATAAAAGTCAGAGGCCGCTAATCTTGTATCACCAGGGCTTGCCTCTCAGCGAAGACATAAGCCAGATTAACAAGATTTCCGTTCACAACTTGGATATGGACGTCAAATATCTTCAAGAGTTTGTGGACAGCCTCAATGAGCCAATGCTCCCTTCGGTCTTTGATGAGCTCAGGCAAACAATCGACCTCTTGAAATCCGACAACTCGGACGAATTCTATAACATTAGCACTAAGATGAAGAAATACGCGAATGTAGATCTGATTAATGGGGCGGTATTATTGGAAAAGTGCGCTCTCTTGTCACCCCCCCTCTTTATTGCTCTTTATCTGATACCGGCTGCTTGTTAACTCAGGTTGCTTGCCGGAGAAGCTGTATCCACCAAGAAAGGGTTCGCTGGGCGGTTTAGATCCTGAGGGTGCACGCTTCAAGATTTTTCCTTGCTATTGCCTCTCCTTACGTTGTAGATTTCCTACATAAAGTTTAACCCCGATTCCTCTTGTGATGGTGTTGACGGGCCTGGGTCCTGGGATTGAGGTGGCGGGCGTGAAAAATAATAATAAAAAGATCAGTCTTGTAAATTGAGTGGGGTAGTATGATAAGGGATAGCAGTATGGTACTAGCAGCCTTAACAAGATTAAGAGGCAATGGTAACATACATCTGTGAAGGAATCCATAAGTCGTGGAGCATTGAATGGTGAAGCGACGAGTGATAGCAAGCTATGGGAGTCCAGGAGCGGTGCTCTCATCATACGATATCATCTCGGTTTTTTGAGCCCTGTTTTGTGATGCTTTTGTGCAGATACTCGGGTATGGACATGGGTGACCGGACAGCTAGGGATTAGAGGTGTCAAAGCTTCTTGCTTGTTCGAGAAATTCTCATGCTGGACTCATTCTTTTATTTCCTACGGGGGCAGGAATGGTCAGGCCTCTAGAATCCCTGCTGTCCGGTCACCCACGTCCATACCTGAGTATTAGGGAGGGTCAAAGGAATGCCCTGCAAGGCGGGTCCCGGTGCCCGGACAGCCTTCCGCCGAGGAAACCCCCGAGAAAAATTGTCGTCTGGATTGCATCCCATCTTTGGGCCACTACCGGTATCATAGTATTCGGCATGCGGCTGAGAGCCGGCCTTCTGATACGAAGGATCTATATACCGGTAGCATACCGTACTCGTACTTACTACTGCAGGGGGATGCGGCTCCGCTGAGAAAAACCCTTGGCACAAGGATACAATTGAGAGGAAAAGAATAATTTTCATCTCAAAAACTCCCTGCCCCGCCATAACCACAAACCGCACCTCCGCCACTACATGAAAAAAAACTCAATTGCACAATAATGGCGCCTCCTTCTAACCGTCGAAAAATGCGCAAGAACCCTGGTGATCGGGCGCAAAACGCCTTCCCACCCACTTTCGCCGAGTTATCCGAGAAACCCTCCATTCCAACTCGCAGACTTGTCAATGGCGGCCCTTTGCGGTCTCGAAGAAATGGGGGTGACAAAAATCAGGGAGGTGGAGACGGTGGAAAGGACAGCATGGATGAGATGGACCGCGGCAGCGATTCTGAAGGGAACGAGTGGAAAATGGGACATGTTGACAGCGACGATGATAGCGATCTTGACAGTGATGAGGCAATGGGTGAGAGCGATGAGGAGAGGTTTGCCTGTTTTACGTTCCGGGGGAGTACCTCTACCGGGAAGATGAAAAAGAGCAAGCCCGGGCAAGGTTTAGAGGAGGAGAGTGAAGATGACGAGAGTAATGAAGATGGAGAAGGCTTTATTGACTTGTCGGAGATGCTGGATAGACCTGATTCTGGAGATGATGAGGAGGGAACTGTCAACGAAAAGGCGAGAGGGAAGTCTCGGCGGCCAGTCTCTGACGATGAAGAGGGAAAGGATGGTGAGATTAGTGATAGCTCTATGGGTGGTGAATCTGAATCTGGAGAGGAGGATGATGGCGAATCGGTGGCTAGTTTCTCTGAAGAAGAGGACGAAACACCAGAAGATCCCTCGAAACTCGCAAAGCTTCAGGAGATCATATCCTCGCTTCCTTCTACGATGAAACCGTCAAAGAGAGCTCGAGAGAATGATCCTAATGAAGGAAGGACGCCGGGTGAGTACAATTTAACTATACCTTCAACCTCTGATAAGCTTACCGTGGAGGACCTCACGCCCACCGTTACCGATCCCAAACTCAAGCAATCGCTCAAGCTCGTCGCTGGCAATGCACCGCCAAAACCCAGTAAGTCCGGAGTGCAGGGGAGGCTCTCGGTCCCATTGGCCAAGAGGCAGCAGGACAGGTTAGATCGAGCGGCTGCGTACGAGAGGTCAAAAGAGGCTCTCGGCCGCTGGACAGATACGGTCAAGCATAGCCGGCAGGCGGATCATCTTCATTTTCCGTTAGCTAATGCACCTAATGCACGCTTACCAGCACCAAGGAAAATCGCTGTGCTTTCGGCTTCTCAGTCTACCCCGTTAACCGAACTTGAAGCTACTGTCTCTGGAATTCTGAAAGAGTCGAACTTGGCTTCCGAAAAATCCATCAAGGAATTTGAAGAACTGAAAACGAACAAACTATCCGTGGAGGAAGTCCAGAAACGTACGGCCGCGCTTCGGCTTACGCGCGAACTGCTGTACCGGGAAGAGATCAAGGCGAAACGTATCAAGAAGATCAAGTCGAAATCCTACCACAGAATACTCAAAAAAGAGAGGGGAAAGCAACAAAACGCCATTGAGGAGGCTCTAGCTCTTGAGCGTGGCGGTGTGCCGAATGAGGAAGATATTATGGAGAGGGAGAGGAAAAGGGCGGAAGAACGAATGACGCTAAGGCATAAGCAGAGTAAGTGGTCTAAAGGAATGAAGGACTCGGGAAGGACTATGTGGGATGAGGAAGCACAGAATGGTGCGGTGGAGATGGCAAAGCGCTCAGAGGAGCTTCGAATGAGGATTTCTGGGAGGCCAATTCTTGGGGAGGACGAGGAGTTGGAGGGCAGCGATGATGAGGAGGATGACTTGTTTGACGAAAGTCAGCAACAAGCCAAGCAGAGGTTACTTGCAGAGCTAGAAAAGCTGGAGAATGGAGATGATTCTGCCAACAGTCAACACAGAAAGAGCAAGTTGATGGACCTCAAGTTCATGCAGGTTGCCGAAGCTGCCCGGAGGAAAGCGAACAAGGCCGAAATAGAGGATCTACGACAGGCTTTGGAAGATGATGGCAGGTCGAGTAAGAGTGATGAGAGCGAGGAAGAAGTTAATGATACCGGGAGGATGACCTTTAGGGCTGGAAGGAAGAAGAAGGAAGAAAGAGCCAAGAAGCCTAAGCCAAACGGGTCTGAGTTCGAGGAAGCTGAGCACTCGAGCGAAGATGAGGATGGCGCAGATAGTCCGGATGAGACCGAAGTTACGATCGTAAACAAGGCGTCTTCCAATATACCTAGGAACCCTTTCTCGCAGCCCGGAGTATCGCCACTACAGTTTCCTAACCAGAAAACAAAGGCTGGCACAAAGGGCAGCATTGCCTCCAGGCCTTTTCCCGAGGCAGGGGAGAAGGATGACCCAGAGCCAAACCCGTGGCTTGCTCAAGGCTCCACTTCCAGTCTCGTCAGACCCAAACCTCAGGCTTTGGTAACCGGAAGGCCAGAATCCAAGAATGCAAAGATAAATTCCAAGCTCTCCAAGGATCGAAAACAAGCGCTCAAGGGCCGTGATGGCCCCGAACCGGATATCGAGATTGATGTGAATGCCACACTTAAACTTGCTTCAAACAAGCGCAAAGCCGACAGCGATAGAGATAGCGGTAGCGAAGGAGGGGGTGAGGATGACGAAGGAGCCATAAATCTAGTGCCAGCCAAAGGAGTGAAGGGTGTAAATCTTGATCAACGAGAACTTGTGAAACGGGCTTTCGCAGGTGACAATGTTGTCGCAGAATTTAAGGCAGAGAAGAAGAGAAAGATCGACGAGGAGGGCGACCAAGCCATCGATACCAGGATTCCGGGGTGGGGTAGCTGGGCCGGAGCCGGTCTCACAGAACGAAAAGGAAAAAAGGACAGTAAGTTCCTCAAGACGATCAAGGGTGTCGATAAGAACAAGCGGAAGGACAAGAAGCTTGAGAAAGTTATTATCAATGAGAAGCATGTGAAAAAGGTATGAAACTATCAAATCGACATGTCACCAACAATGCTAAATCCTAACGCTCTCCCTCAGAACGTTAAATATCAAGCATCTGCGCTTCCTTTCCCCTTCGAATCTCGGCAGCAATACGAACGCAGTCTGCGTATTCCCATTGGGCCTGAGTGGGCTACGAAGAAGACGTTCCAGGATTCTACGATGCCGAGGGTTTTGGTCAAGCAGGGTACTGTTATCGAGCCTATATCTGCGCCGTTCAAATAATTGGGTTGTATCAGTTGATGGGTGGGCTTATGATGGTTATGGTGTTGGGCCGTAGATGGTCTAAATGTATTCGATTTCACGCCGGTATCTCGATCTATTTATGATATATCTAGATGATCGAGTGCGATGTAAAGTAATTTGCTCCCGGATATGAAATTCCGGGAAACCCACACTTCTAGAGGGTTAGGGGTAGTATTATAGATGAGAAGCTTAACTCAACCTCATGCCATCCCGAACATCCCCCCACCACGACTTCCCGCCCCATCAAACCAACAATGTCTTCAAAAGTACCTCCCCTTCTCCGAATACGGCCCTCACTAATGAGGCTTCCCGAGTTCCTCGGAATCAATTCCACAAGACCCCACTCAACTAGCTCCGTTGACCAAACTGAAATCTCACACTTCGCAAACCTAGCCTCAACTTGGTGGGACCCCCACGGCGCCTCCCGCCTCCTCCACCAAATGAACCCAATCCGACTATCCTTTATCCAACGTTGTCTTATCAAAGGCCCACCAATACCGGTCACCTCTCCTGCACGCACATCCCCGGAAAAACTCGACCCAGAAGCGGTAGTGCAGGACGCAGATAACCCACAGAAACTCCGTTTCCTAGACATAGGCTGCGGCGGCGGAATCCTCGCGGAGGCTCTTGCAAGACTACCGAGCACAGAGTCCGTAATTGCGATCGACCCGAGCAAGGAGGTTCTATCCGTTGCGCTCGAGCATGCGCGGCAAGACCCCATGCTCGCTGGGCCCAAGCTTCGCTACATTAATGCTGCAATCGAGCGACTCCCGAAGGAGCTTGAGGGCCAACGGAGTCAATTTGATGTCGTCACGCTAATGGAAGTCATAGAGCATGTTCCGCATCCGAGCTCGTTCCTGACCGCTGCCATGGAACATGTTGGGCCCGGGGGGTGGCTGGTGTTGTCCACGATCGCGAGAACCTGGACGAGCTTTTTGACGACAAAGTTGGTTGCTGAGGATATTCTGGGGATCGTGCCGAGGGGGACGCACGATTGGAATAAGTATATTAATCCGGATGAGCTGAGGGAGTTTTTTGAGGGGAAGGAGGGATGGAGGGATGTTCTTGTTATGGGTTGTGTTTATGTTCCTGGGTTTGGGTGGAGGGAGGTTAGGGGAGGGGAGAAGGTTGGGAATTATTTCTTTGGAGTAAGGAGGGGGCTGGGTGAGGAGGCGGGTGGGGAATGATGCTTTCCCTGCTCTCACCCAGACGGGTTCCCATAATGTAGTGTGTGAGTATGACCTTTATAGAGCCCTCAAAGGTTTCCTTTGCTAAGACTCCATTCTTTTTCCATTCTTTTTCTCTCCCTTTTTTTCAGCTAGACTTGAGGGAACACTGCTTCCAGTTATGCCATTCCGAAAGCTTGTAAAGTAAACGATATGTTACGGCCCTCCCTTTTTCGAGCCTCCTAGTGATGCACCGCACCCGGTCCTAGCCGATACAATTGCCGACCGAGTGATGTCTAGTGATACACTCTCCGGGTCCGAAATAAGCCGCCACGATAATTCCCCCTCACAGAGGAATGCGGAGGTGTTAATTGGTTCTCACAATCTGCCCTCCTCTATCAATAACTGAGCCAAGAGGAGTTGGTAGTCCGAATATTCGCTTCGGGGGTGGTGGTAGAAGTGGCGACCCGAAAGTATCGGAACAAAAAAAACGCTCAGCGAAAAGGGTACTATACTATACTCGGTACTATCACTATTAAGTGTGCGACCGCAATTATACCGCAAAAAGTTAATCACCGACAGATTCAAAGCTATCGCTAGGGTAGGTGTGTGTATGGTGGACTTTCAGCACCACGTATGATACTATAATATTACTTACTGTACGGTATCAGGAAAAGGAAGGTCGATATTTGTTCGAACTGGCGGGGAAATTGACGAAGGTCCCGGTGGAGCATTAAATATACGTACAGTACAGTACATCTACTCCGATAGCGGGGCTTGGCGCTTAATCAGATTTTATTCGGATACCCTTGAACCCGCCAACTAGACTAACCAATGAATTATATCCTATGATATGATACAACCCTCCGGAACGGATCGCAGGATTGGAGGTGCAGAGCATCGCATTGGGGTACTCTGTAAATGCCATTGAAGAAAAACTGAGAATTTCTGTTCACTAAGTTAGAAGGAAAGGGTAATCTGGGACGCGCACTTGGTAAGGGGTGGTGTCATATCCGTTGCATGGCAGGGCATTGGGAGGTGGGGTCGGAGGGGGTGGTTAGTTATATTGTATTATCGTACCGGTCTGAGCGCCTTTCGTATAGGGGTAGGGAAATAGGTATTAAATTCCATGTGCCAGATCCTCTGCGGCTTTGATCAACGCGGTAGTACTCTTTACTAGCGGGATGGGAGATAGTCCCCTATTGTCTATCGATAGGTTGTCGAAACGTCAGCATCACTGCTCTGGATATGAAAATGGAATAAAGTGGAAAGGAATGGAAAGGAAAAGAGAGTACGGGTATTGCGAGGAACTGATCCAAGTTAAGACACTTTAGACCCTCTTTTGGTTACTTATTGTTACTTGCCTATTCCCCTCTCCCCTCATCTCGGTGGTGGGAGGTGGTCCATCTACTCATTGATTCGTAAACTGAGAATATTAAACTATTGCTGATAGTCTTCAAAGGGAGATAGTACAACTACATTGGGCTGGGAATTTCGGTCCCGCTACCGGTCTCGTTCTGTATCCTCGTTCTGTATCCTCATCTTTGTCGACATGCCCAAATTTACTGTTATTGAATCGTGAGACCGGTAATTGCAGCCGGGATGTCAGTGGTAGGAAGAGATAGATTTGGCTGGGAGAGGGCTTGGGGGGCTATGGATTACAGATGGCTAGCTGAAGGCAGTCGGGCGCCGGCCGATTGATAAATGCACAATGGAAGAGGACAGCGATAACAAATTTATGACTTATTGTAGTCTCGCCCACGGGGCGAGGACAGTGATACCGATTTTAGTATGCTAATGGTAGTAGGGTGATAATTCAAGGTCCCTATTTGCACAGACGTAGCTTGGTATCACAAGATACCACAACCCGTAAAGTGCAGTGTGGAGTGCAATTGAACCATTGCACGCTTCCCTTCAGCTATACATTCTTAAACCGCGTACCGAAACCTCGGCCTACAATCAATTTTTGTTAGCAGCCACCTGCAAGCTATGAGGCGAGTGGAACCCACGATTCATCACCCAGCTCCGCGATATCCTCTTCGCCCAAGCCAACGATTTTTGCGTTTTCCTCGCCACGTTCTCGACTGGCGTTTAGTTTTGAGAACCAGTACTATGGGTGTTAATAGCTAGAAGCCAGAGGAGGTATGAAAGAGGAAACAAGGGATACTGACCCACAGGAAAGTGTAGGTGATAGCTGCAAAGCCTCCCATAGATAGGGATACTGCATAGCCTTTTATGTATCTATTTTTAACGCTTAGCGCATGGTTTTTATCAGGAGGGAGGCCAAAAAAACCTAGGAGAATCCTTAGAGGCATAAATCTGTTCACCACAAGTCAATCCCTCCTCCGATCCAACAATATTGCCACATAAACAGCGAAACTTACAAAAGGCACCAGGATACCACTCGCATTCCCTACCGCAATCTGAAGCCCCAATGCAGCGGTCCTTTTCCCGTACCTGGGGCAATTACTTGGCAGCCAAACTAGTGGTAGCCCCACAGACACGTACAACCCTATGGCAACGAGAAAACAGGCAAAGTAGTGCACACCTCTAGAAGCATCGAATAAGAGAATCCCATACCCGATGATGGAGATGCAGGCGAAGCTTATGGCGTACATACCTCGGCGCTGCTGCTTGTCGGAGATATGTGCGACGATCAAGTATGTGATCGCGCCGAGGGCGTAGCAGGGGATTGTGAGGGCCTGGACTTGTTCTACGGACCAGTGACCGAGTGATTTTATGATTGTGGGGAGGAAAGTGCTAAAGCCTGCGAGTATTGTTAGTGTACGAAGGCTAAAGGAGGAGCGGAGGCGGAGGCGGAGGCGGAGGAGAGACCGTAGAACATGATGCCCATTCCGAATTGCGCGAACGCACTACGATCATTAGCCGAACAGCCCTCCATGGCGGGCTCTCCCGGGAGGGGATGCATACAAAGCCCAACACGTCCAATCAGAAAAACACTTCCTCACATCCTCCCAGTGAAACTCCTGGGCGCTGGCTGTATGCGCTACTTCTCGCCTTCTCCTAGCAATCATGAACCTCTTCTCCTCCTCGGTCAAGTACCCCGCCTCCCTCGGGTTGTCTGCCAAAAAGAAATACGTCACCGACCCAAGCACAATCGCCGGTAATCCCTCAATTATGAGGATCCACCGCCATCCCTTCATTCCACTCCTCCCGTCTAGGAAGCCGATCCCGTAGGCCAAGAGGCCCCCGCTGGCACCGGCCAACGCAGCAGAGACAAACATGTAGCCCATGCGTAGGGCGAGTTCTTTGCGGGTGTAGAAGAATGTAAGGTAGACTACCAGCCCCGGGAACAAACCAGCTTCTGCGGCGCCGAGGAGGAGGCGGCAGGCGAGGAGGCTTTTGTAGGAGTTTACGAAACCAGTACAGGTTGCGATAATGCCCCAGATCATGGTTATCGCTGCGACTGAGATAAATTAGCTAGGCGCTAAATGACGAGTGACCGTGGGTGAGGTGGATTACGATATCGTCTAGGTGTGAACTTTTTTAGCACAAGGTTACTCGGGATTTCAAACCCCTTTGTATGCGACAGTTGTCAGTCCCCCAAATCGGCCTACTCTCGCTTCGAAAATCGGGGGGACAACAGACAAGATATGTCACGAACAAAATCGAAACCGAGGTCTGGAATTGATTCCCTTTAAGCCCCAAGTCCTCCTCCAATCCATACAATCTTGCATTACCAATGTTAACCCTGCCCGCCAGCACCGCCAGATAATCATTAGCCCAGTCCACCTCAAAAGCCGAGCAAAAAGAAAAGAGAAAAACCTGTCCATGAACGAAGCCATATATAAAGCCATGATCATAGGGATAATATGATTATCCAATTTTCGCACCAGTTTCTTTTCAAATTCATGGTCTACTCCGTCCTCGACTGAACCGGGTTGTCGCAGCTGCTCGCGGCCGAGGGAAGAGTCGGTTGATTCTTTCTCCATGGTTCGAGAGAGGTTTGGTTCGATGTGTCAATTCGCCCCCAGCCAGTGGAGACAAGGAGAATAGGGAACAAGAGAACTGAAGAGAGGAAAAGGGGGGGGGGGGGGGGAATAGAGGTGGAAGTGTGAAAAGAAGCATGACGAGTCCACGAGAGTAAATAAGTAGGCAATTCAAGCTCCGAGCAGGCCTCATTTGGCTATACTGTCCGACAGACTGACTGAAGAATAGTAGACCTCCTCCCCATCCCGCCAATGCCTCAAACTCGTTCTTCCCTGATTTTTCGATTTCCTCATGGCACGATATTGCGAGGCCAGCTCCATCGCCAAGCAGTCAATGATCAACGGTTCGCACTCAGCAAGCCATCGCTTGAGGAGCGGGTGCAGAGTTTTTTTGTATTCCGATAGCGGTAAGTTTGCCGTCCCTGCTCCCTGCGTAACTTCCGTGCAACTTAAGGTCAAGGGCCTGTTCGGCTACGACCATTCCGTTTCGTTTTGAAAATCTCAAATGGAACGGAGTGTTTGGCAACTAGGAACACAGTGCCCAAATTTTAGGTCATGTATATAGAGAAGATTGAAAGCAAATGGAATGAATTCCCTTGCAGCCTGAAACAATAACCTGACATCCCCAACCGATGCCATATCAACACGCTATACACACAGCAGACATCCTTTTCACATCCCATCCACAGCCCATAAATATCCTCATTGTTCAACTGTCTGATAGAAACAAACAGCAATGATAATGAAATCAGTAAAGCTATTCTTCAACAATGAATTCGGATGGCAATTTCCTCTGCAATACATCTTCATTTCTTTCAATACAATCAGTCCACTGGCACGCCTCTACTATTCATACAGGATCATAGTTTGAAGGTAGGTTGGAATGGTGTTTTTGGTATAGAGGAGACAGGTATTCTCAACAAATTAATGCTAGAACTTATTGCAAAAAAAAAACCATCATGTGGCATGAGGGTAAAATTTCAACATATATATTAATAACTACGATATGCCTATAGCGATGCTATAATAGTGAATGGCTTGATTACCAAGCCAAACAGGTTTCCCGTTGGCAAAAGGTGTAAAACGGAAGGCGACCGTTTCTACTCGTACATATCATATCATACAAAACAAATCATTAGGAAACGGACTAGTTCCTTACGGTTCCATTCCTACCGAACAGGCCCTAAGTTTGTTAGCAGGTGGTATTATACAGGTGGCTACCCTCACGTAATACTCGTATGATATCATACAAGTATAGGTGTTTAGGGCTTGGGTGATCCGGAAGCTGGAGAGAAGGCTCGGCAGTCATGTACATAACTTATTTCCCTTTTCTAGAGTACATACAGCCTTGGTCGTGATACAACCATCTCACCCCATCCGCCGCACACATCTAACAAGGTTAGTTAATATCATAAGTTCACAGTAGTAGAATACCGTAGTAAGATGTGATACAAATACAACCGATTTTTGCAACCATGTCGGAAAAGGGCTTGAAAATTCGCCGGTGCCGGCGTTAATCAGGGGTTAAGTTGGAAAGCGCGAGATATTCTCTTTCCCTGCATGGATTTGCATGGGATGAGCAAATTACTCGAGTACCTGCGATCCGATCGACGGTACTTGTACCCTAAGGAGGCGGGAGGATTGCCGGTACGGTGGAGGTACAGTAGCTTGTGCTTCGGATTAATGAGCGTGGTTAAGTTACCGGTATGATAGACCACCGGTGCGGTGTCACCTCTTCACACATTATTCACTCTCACACTATACCGGTGCATCCTACCAATCAGTGAATATCAGCCGTGTGTACAGTACAGTGCTGATTGCTCAAATATTATACCAAGCCACGGTAAAACTCCCCCTCGCCCCAACCACGCTATCAATTATACGGCAGAAAAGACATAGGAGAAGAAAGGCAGGCATACAAAGATCCCAGGTGCCATTACACAAAAGTACTCAAATCAAACAAGAAAACTCCAATCCCCCCCACCCAACCCCATTTTACAATACCACTCAAGCCAACAGTCCCCAACGCCTCAAGCAGGAAGATAATCCAAACCCTTAAGAGCCAGAAAATACCCTTCACGCACCCAATTCCCTGCATTAGCCCCCTCACCCCTGCGCTCTATGCATCCACGCTCAGCCAGCCACGCAAGGATATCATCGAGCTCGACCAGCGAGACACAGGGAAAGAGAACTTTAGATATCTCCCGATTCGGGATCCCGGGGCGGCTCGTGATGGTTGTGGCAACGGCTGTTAGCACCTTTAGCCACATTCCCGCAACGGCCGTTCCGTCGAGACTGATCCATAGGCGGATGGGCTCTCTACTCGCGGGATCCATGTTTCCCCGCGGGATTGGGGGGGCTGGGCTTGGGTTGGGCTTTCTGTGATAGTCGGGCCCGGGCCGGATATGTACTTTGAAGTCGACCTTTTTCTTGTCCATTGCGCGGGTCTTGTAGCCATCTATTAGGCCGAATTCGTCGACTACATAGCCACTCCGCCCCAATAGAAGCTATGGGGAAAATCAGTTACCGATATTCGAGGCGCAGTGGAGGAGCGGATCCATACCCTACGAGAAGCGACCATGGCAAAAATACACGCCATGGATCCATCATTGGTCAGAGGGGATACCTCAATTGCTTTATACTTAGCAAAGTTTTCCTCGAGATATCGTTCGTATGCAACGGCCTGGGCAAACAGATTTTCGTCCATAGGCGTTTTAAGTGCCATGTGGAATTTATCTGTAAACTCATAATTTGGCCCTGGTGTTGCTCTAAGACGGTCTCTCTTTTTATGCGAGATTGCTCTACTAATGGAGAGATTGTAGAACGCAGCGTCGACTACACGCTCGGGGCAGGAGTGTAATATTTCGAAAGCTCTCTTTGGATTATCGTCGGGGGAATCGGTGACGATATTGGCCTAAAATTGGGTCAGCCAAGGCACTAGATAACAAGGGATTGATCGAAAAAGCTACCTTTATCACAGACTTGATGTATTCTACTTCCCTGTCATCCTCATCTCTGCCCTTGCCCTTTCCATCGTCCAAGGGCAAGTCGTAGGAATGGCATATAAAATGATTAACCCTATGTCCCATAGTCATGAGAGGGTTATGATAGTCGTTTCTCCATGGTTTTGGTGGCTCCACCCGCAGGTCATACTGAGCGTCAAAGGCCTCACGGGTAGCAGGAAGTTGGGGAACGGCTTCAGCTCTGGATCCCAAGTAATCAGTAATCTTGCATCGGTAATCTAGACATATGATAAACTCACTCAGGTAACTCAAGATTCTCACGAAACCAGTTCACATGAAACAGCAGGTCGAAAGAGGAAGGATCGTCCAAGTCAAAGGGTGGTACTTCCCCGCTTTCATAAGCTTCAAGAAACATATCCTCAAATTCAGCCTGAAGCTTTTTCATATGCGCTTTGTGAGTGTCGCGGACGCGAGGCCAGCGCCGCTGTAAGGTGATCACGGGATGCTGAGGAAGGGCTTTCGTGAGAAGATCCCAATGGATCTTCCTATCCCAACCACCAAATATCGTTCTGACAATAATCACAGCGATCAGGAGGGTATCTTCATCTTCCTTGGGTATGATGTACTGGTTCCTGAACTGGAATCTTCTAGGGGGAACTGTGCAGCAAGAAGGTCAGCTACGCGAAGCAACTGGCTTTGATACTGATGCTTACGTTCTGTTAAAAGCTCCGCATCAGATGGCTTCAATTGGTTATCACGGATTGCCGCCATTGCTTTATCACGCCTGGTCAACGGTTTCTCGTACGTTCCCGGACGTCTGCGCTTCCTCTTCGCAGGCCGCTCTCCCATCAACACATCCACAGTACGTGCCTTAGCTGGGTCGTTTCGGACCTTCCTGGGCCTTGGTTTAGGACCACGCTTCTTTGGCCCAGCGGGTAACGGCGCGCTGAAATCCGGAGCTGCAATACGATTATCCATATTTGCCACCGGTGCCTGTACAAAATTATCGCCTTTCACAACAGGAGGCGCAAACAGATTAATCATAACCATGCCATCTGCTTTCTCAACCATCGTGCGGAGTCCCTCGGATCCGACTGCCTTTTCCCACCTCTCAATATGATATATCTGCTGCAAAAAGGGATCAGTGTCTCTCGGTTCGTTCAAATCTCTCTCAACAAATTCATTCCACCAAACCCTCCTCGGTAGACCATCGACTATTGGAGATGGATCACAAGGATCGATATTAGTGGCCTCAGTCCGATATTTGTGATTTAATTTCATCAGTTCTTTCTCAGCCTTGAGCTCTGCCCGGCGTCGATTCGCTGCCTCTTCCCTCTGCTCATCTGTAAACTTACCACCCGCCCGATGGTTAAACACTTCGTCCACAGGGTATGTGCGAGGGCGACCACGGGGTCGGGAAATAACGCTTAATTTTGCAGCCTTAGTCGCAGCACGTTCCATCGCCCGGGCCTCGCGTTTCTGCTTTAATTCCGAGACCGAGGTTGGGTAAACTCTGTCGAATTCCACTTCCTCGAATTTTCTAGGCTTTGACAACGACCAACTAGGAGGCTGCACGAATCGCTCTTGAATATCGTCATGTAATTCAGTGTTCGGAGGGAACCAAAGGTTGCCGTCTGCTGCTATCATCTCCCTCACCATGTCATCCACAAGGGGTGAATCTGGGGTCAAGCGAGATTCAACTAGCAACTTTTTGGTAATGAAGATACCCCGTGAACTGATGAAATCGAACGTGATCTGATATGCCATTTTTCTGCATTGGAGAGACTGAACGATACCACGAATCAATCGTCGATCGCAAACCCCTGCCTTAGGATTGCTCTTTTGGTATCGCTTGCTATACGCGTGGCGTAGTTCGTTTCCACTGGGAAATACTCCATTATTTTCCTTGAGAAGATCAAGGACAACCTGTTGACGAGATATGGCAAGCATCCCTCCAATCGAGCCATATGAATCATTACCTTCAACATCTAGATGTTCGATTTCCAGCTGTACGCCATCAACTACCCTAGCTGGCTCTTTTGAAGGTTGGTTAACAAGCTGGTCAATATTCCCTAGAGCTTTCCCTACGAGTACCGGCCCCGCACTGCCGATTATCCTGGCGTCCGATGAAATCTCAGTACTTGGTCTGACAACGATGGAATCGTAAATTATCCCTCCGTCGTCTCCTGGAAGACTTGCTTGACCGGTCTCTTTTCTACGCTTTGCCCGTCCCGTTTTTCCGCCCGCCGCCTGGGCCTTGCGTTTTCCCAGAGATCCGGGATTCTCCTGAAGACTCCGTCCTGGCTCGGCACCAGTGAGGTCAAGTTGGGGATCCTGTTCCTCGGGCTCCTGGGCTTCCCGCGTCACCCCCGATTTCTTCGTAGACTTCTTCGGTATTACTTTAGGCCTTTTCTCTCGCTTTTTAGCTGCCTGCCTCTTTTTGCCCTCGCCATTCTTAACCCCAGGTGGTCGTCCACGTCGTTTTGGAGGCGCCGGTGGCTCTAGGTCCTCCTGGTTCAAAAGCTCCTCGACCCTGGTTCTCTTTTGGGGAGGTTCCCTCGCTAAAGCATCGCCCTCAGTTTCATTTGAAGGGGACCTTGCTCGGTTCACCCCGTCTGGATCTGCATTATCTGGCTCAACTGAACCGGTGACCCTTTCGGCGATAATTCGCCTAGCCTCTGCGCGTCTCTTGGCGGCTAGGTATGGTTCTTTCCCTTTCTCATATTTCCGGGGTCTCCCACCGCGAGCTATCCAAATGTAAGCTTCTTGACCAACAATTCGGGTTATCGTTGGGTCTCTTACGCGAAGAATTCTTCCAATCCAATTGCTCTTCGCCTGCTTTGTTCCTGAGAACTCTAAACTGGGCTTTTAGGGAGTCAAGCCGCTCGCTCTTTTTCCCCTCCCATTGACTTTCAGCAAGGGTAGCAGAGCCATCGTTCTTCAAAAATCTGGAAGCATTAGGAACTGGAAATCCGTACTCGTCAAGGGATAGAGGTGTCTCCGTGACTTGGGTTATCGCCCCGTGCGAAACTTGCTTCGAACCCTTTTTCTTGATTGCAGGTCCCCATGGCTGCACTGCTACACCTTCGGCCACCAATTCTTGATGCCACCGGTAGCTAAAATACCTGTAATGAGTCTGGCGTCCGGAAATACCGGTTTCACGGATAATGGCAAGGTGCATATATTGTGGCGGCTGTGATTGCTGCGGGTAATCAGTTAATCGATGAAGAATTTGGTCCATTGGTCTGTAATAAAAACTTCCTATGGTATTGTACATCAAATCCTAAACTCCAGTTAGCAATCAATCAATAAAGCTGTTTTAGCGCGAGGCATCACCATGCTTGAGATGCCATCTTTCCCGCAAGAATCCACAATATCGAAAATTGTAGTCGTCAAAGGTTTATCCTTTCTCCACTGTGGTGGATCTCTAACAATTTCTTCTACCGCCTCGTCGACGTTGACCTGCCCTAATTGCTGCGCGACCACAGGGTCTTCATCCTCAATATTATTACTACCTTTAGCAGCTTCGTCTTCCGACCCTTCAGCTTCACCGTCATCCTCGTCTTCCATTATGAATTCTCGCTTAGAGAAGGTAGTAAGGACCTTGCGCCAATCGTCCCTCTCCATCTCTCGAATGAGCCGAACGCATCGCGCATGGCATTGCTCAGTTATAGCAATCTCAGCAGGGCCTTGTGTCTTCTTATACTTTCTCAAGATTTTGAGTGGAACTCTGATCCTTCTTATAACGCCCAAGGACTCCAATTTTCGTAGAATTCTAGAGAAGCATCGCCAGTGAAAGCGGGATTTGTCCATACCCTGAGTGTTCAAATTAGTAGATACTTCAAGAAACAATTATTCTTACGCACCAGCTTCCGTTTCAAATCACTGTGCATCAAAACCTGGTTTTTAGCCCCCTTGAGCTCTGAGAAGATTGCCTTGATCAGTTTCTCGGTATCTATGGTGGCCCCGGTCCAGGCGATATTGGCCGCATCGTTCTTGCTATCGAGAAATTTCTTCCCTCTCCTCTTAGCAACGACTTCTTTGGACTCTTGAGCAACTTGACGTTTGATATCCCGTTGTAGAGCATATTTCGTAAGGGTAAGTTTACTGGTGTTGAGACTTTTTGCTAATACGCTGACTTTCTCTATCAGGCCCAAATTCTTGAGAATAGTTGTACGCCCAGCAACAGATTTCTTATCCTGACCAGTAATCTTGGTCAATTCCGGTTGGATGAGGCCTTGTTCCCTATGTTTGGCGATTACTTCTAAACATTTGAAAACGGCGTTTGGAACCTTGGCGTGCATCTCAGTACAAGGCTCCTAGTACCCAGTAGAACCAAAAAAAGATATCTCACCCGCTTCAAATCCGGGCCATGTCCAGTAAGTGTCCTCCAATGTCTCCCTTCAGAAGTATAGACCCTCCATACTCTTTCTTCATCATCTGCTTCCTCCTTATTGCCTTCGGTTTGATTTCTCAAATCGGCGACAATCTCGTTCAATGATAGCTCGTTTCCCTCACCATTGATCCCAACCTTAAAATCATCCTGCTGCCGTAGGATATCCCAGACATAATCCTGGAACTCGTCCCTCATTTTCGGAACCCCCCAATAGACAGGCTGACTCTGTGATGTAGTGGAAGACCCACAATCTGCCTCTCCCCTCTCCCTTCCGTAAGCACTGGGACCCCAGGGATTTTGCGGTGGTCCACATAAAGAATTAATCTCGACTTTCGGTACAAGAGTTTTGGTATAGAATTCAGTCACATAGACGAAGAGTTGCTTTATGGTCGTGCCTGGTTGTTGAAATTCTAGTTAGCAATTTTCCAACAGCACACTCAGGAAAAAAATGCTCAGGATAGTAATGGCTGCGTGACTCGAACCAGCGCCGGCCCGAGTCAAAAAATTGGGAATTACCCAGCCCTAACGAAAAGGGTATTGAGGCTCAATTATTTGAACAGAATTCTCGTCCGAACTTTCCAACCCAATTAATAGAGATTTTATCCCTAGAAATACGATTTCTCGTAGCCGTAGCTGCCCCACCATCCAAGCACAAAAAGTGCCGCATGATAGTTATCTCAAAGAGGAGGTAAAGGAATTTTAAAATACCTTCAGAACCGTCGATAGATACCTCCTCGAGCACATGTTCGATGAGCTTTGTGACACTCATGGTTTTGGTGGAAAGGATAGCATTTGGATTTGCTTGATAAGAAGGGTGGGTTTATGAGTAAGGTTGGCTAGGCCAGAATTTAGTATTATGGATTGGCGGCCGGGTTACCCGGCATAAGGTATGATGCATAAGAGCCTCACTCTTATTTTTCCAGTCGACCGGAAACCTCTACTCGAGTAGTCGAAGATTAGATTAGATTGTCCAAGATCTTCCGACAACCCCATACCGGCAGGGCAGTTGATGCCCTCAGATGCCCCACCTGCCAAACACGGGTGATAAGTAAATTTAGTTACCCGGCCTAAACTTCCTCGAAACCAAAAGAAACTTCCTAGGAGCAAAATTAGAAGAAAATATTCCCCACCATTCAAACTAAACAAACAACTCATCCCTACCCCCAAGAGCCCTCACAATGGTCAAACCAAGTAAGTTTTTGGATATCCAAAGATACAAGCTATCGCCTAATAGTTTCCAGGAAAGAAGTCCAAGCGGGTTCCTGTTCGTCTCCGCCATAAAATCGAGAAGCGCTCTAACGAGAAGGCCCGCAAGGAACGGAAGGAAGCCAAAAAGCATCCGGAACTCCACCGAAAAAAGAAGAACGACAAACTCAATATTCCGAATAGTTTTCCGTATAAGGATCGCCTACTTTCCGAAATTGAAGAGGGGAGGCGGCTGAAAGAAGAGGAGCAATTGCGAAGAAGAGAACTGGCAAAGCAGAGGAAGGAGTTGGCGGATGGGGCGGAGAGCGGAGAGGATGCTATGCAGATTCTGGAAGACGGTGACGAAAGCCCGAGCGAGTCTTATAGTGATTCTATGGATGAAGATGATGTTGATGCTGGAGTATGTCCTACCATGTGTGACGAGTGCTCAAATCCCCCTTTGAACGGATTATTAAATAAGTATAGACCGGAGGTTCCGCAATGGCGGCCCTCCTGGCCTCAGCACGAGCGAGAGCCGCAGAATATGAAGCCGCACACGGTGGCCCCAGCAATAAATCTGATGACGACTCAGACTCAGAAATTGGCATTCCAGATCTCGAAGCCCGGAGCACTCGAAAAGATACCTCGCGGAAAGCCTTCGACAAGATGTTCAAGCAAGTGATCGATGCTGCTGACGTGGTTCTCTATGTCCTGGACGCCCGGGACCCCGAGGGCACCCGTTCTCGTGATGTGGAAAGGCAAATAACGGCGGCTGATGGCGGCGAGAAACGACTAATCCTTATCTTGAACAAGATCGATCTCGTGCCAGCAACCGTGTTGAAAGGGTGGTTGGATTATCTCTGTAGATACTTCCCGACGCTGCCGCTAAGGGCGAGTGGGTCTGCTCCGAATGCTCAGACGTTCGACCACAAATCCTTGACGGTACAGGGCACCTCGGATACTCTTCTGAAGGCTCTGAAATCATTTGCACATGCCAAACAGCTCAAGCGGTCAGTGTCAGTGGGTGTGATTGGATACCCCAATGTTGGAAAATCATCAGTTATCAACGCCCTTACCTGCCGTCTCGGTGGCTCACAAACCGCCTGTCCCATAGGTGCTGAAGCTGGCGTCACCACTAGCTTGCGAGAAGTCAAGTTAGACAAAAAGCTTAAGCTACTAGACTCTCCTGGTATCGTCTTTCCCGGTAGCAATAGTCAGGGCGGTTCAAAAGACGACCAGGCACGCCTCATCCTCCTAAATGCCGTTCCACCAAAGCAAATCCTCGACCCGGTACCCGCAGTTGCCCTTCTCATCCGTCGGCTATCCACATCCCAACCCCTCTTCAACAAACTCCTCGACCTTTACAACCTCCCTCCCCTTGTTGACACTACTGTCACGGATGTCACAACAGACTTCCTAGTCCAGGTTGCACGAAAGCGTGGACGGCTGGGTAAAGGGGGTGTCCCCAACATCGAAGCAGCAGCAAAGGCCGTTATAATGGATTGGAGGGATGGAAGAATTCAAGGCTGGGTTGACCCTCCGGCTGCGGTCCTCGGCGCCGCCAACCGAGGTGTTAAGTCGGCTACCGCTGCCATAACGACCGACGATCGGAAAGAGATCGTTAAAGAGTGGGCTGAGGAGTTTAAACTGGATGGGCTGTGGGGTGAGAATTGGAGTGAAGGAGGACAGGGCGAGGGGATGGAGATGCAGGATTGATCTTGTAGTGTCTTTCGCTTTTCTTTATACAAAAATCTATATAGTGCTCGCCCTGGTCCCCCTTTACAACCTAATTCCGGGCGCAGTGTCTTAGCTTGTCTATGGATACGGGCTATGGATGTACGTTAAATCTCAACCTGTGCACCCTTCTCTCCTCGCTCTCCGGATGTTTTTTTTCTCACAGCACGTAAGATGAAGGCCTTACTTCTTTAGAACATGACCTCTCTTTAAGGTTTTGAGTGTTTCAGGATTACAACTCGTCTTTCCACTCACCAATAGAGCAACCTACTAAATAAGCTTGGTATCTCACGGAACGCTAAATAAGTGATGATCCGTAATGCTCCCCCCAGAAACCCGTTCTTACCGCGCAGATGGCATTAACTTGGGCGAGTGTAACATGGAATCAGTACGATAAAAGGCCAGTCTGCACCGTCTTCCCGGGATAACCAGGGACAAGGGTAGCTGATGCAAATCCGCCATGGTAACGTTAGTGACATTAATTTTTTTTACATATGCACCGGGAGGCTCTATAGCTACTCGTACAGAGCACGGTTCATAAGACAAACAGGAAGCTCTCTGCTATAGTCATTTATTCTAGAGATTAGTCGGTAGTATATCAAACACAAGCCTAAAAATTTTTCGCCACCCGTATAAAAACACTACCCGGTTATGCCTACTCTGCAAGAAACCCCACGGCGACAAGATCAGATGCTTATAGTCTTGAAAACACTGGCCGAGGAGAGATAACCGATCAGCCAACGCACAATTGCGCCAAGTAAGGAAACGTATGGAAGGACAAAATACTTAAACCCCTCACCCCCAGTCCCAATAACCACCCCAGGCGCCTGCTTCTGCCAATGCACCTCCTTAACATCCTTGTGGTAATGGACAAACAACAACTGCGGTGGAATATCCTCCATGCCGCCAGTATCCTTGCTTTCCTCGTCGTCCAACTCAACACTCAAGTCCCACAGCGTAATCGTCGAGTCTGCAGACGCAACAGAAACAATGCTATCCTCAGTGGGATGAAACTCAACACTAGTGATTGGTTGCCGGTGGAAAGTAAAACTCGCGGTAGCAGATACCTGTTCACCCTTAAGTGCATTGGGAAAATTTCTAAGATCCCAGATGCCCCAGACTCCGTCGTCGGCGCCGGTAGCAAGGAGATGGGGTACTGCCCGACACCAGGATGCGACGTTTACATCCGAAGATGAGACGTCGACCGACAATTGGTGCTTTTTGGTCTGTGCGCGGGCGTCGTAGATCTTGACTGTTCCGTCTGAAGATGCGGAAGCAAACACGTGGCGTTCATTGGGAGACCACTGAAGTTCTTCGATACTGCCTGTATGCCCCTTCAGTGGGCTACTATCCGTAGCCCAGGTACCGCCCTCTTTTCGCGACGAGATAAATATCTTGCCAGAGTTATCCCCAGTAGCTATCCGACCCATGACATCTCGGGGATTGGAAGACCAATCAATCGCGTAGCCCTCCACATGCCTGTGCATCTTGAGCGTTGCCGTGGGTTTGTTTGCGCTCGCGGGGATGGCGGTTCCCGGACTCTCAAGAGAATTGTAGTGCGGCGATAGATCCCAGATGTACACATCGCCAGTTTCGGCCATTGAGGCGGCATGGTGGGCATGCGGCGAGGCACGGATACGGTTTGTCGTAGTGGGGCATTGGAGGGAGCGAGATTCGAGGATCGGGTCGTCCTCTGTGTCGGAGGCGTCGTCGTCTTCTTCGTCTTCTTCCTTTGCTACTTCAATTCTTAGCTAAAGATCGAAGAGGCGAGTGGGGGGGGAACAAACATTGCTGCATCCTCTGCAGCCCGCTCAATTTCATCACTGTAACTTCATTATCTTTCGCTCTGGCAGCCTGCGTCCCGGCAACCAAGTAGACCATATGTGGGTATCCCCGTCGCTCATCTCCCAGTCCATCCTGGAGCACATCAAAGCTCAGGCATGGCCAATTGACATTCATGCTATGTAGCATATGATACGCCGTCGGGTCGGGCTCCAGTATTTCATCTTTACCTAGAACCCTCCGCGAGGGTATGTACACCTGTTGGTCCATATCCATGCTATCCCCTCCTCCACTCTCTCCGCCAATTTGTGCACCACCCTCTTCGTCGTCTTCATCGCCCGCCTCAAGAAATTCCTCGTCCTCTTCGTATTCATCCTCGTAATTGTCTTCGAATTCGCCCATCTCCGGTGGGTATTTGGTGTGATCGGCGCCTCCATCCGCAGTTTCGCGGGAGCGGTTTTTGAGGCCGCCGCTCAGCGAGCCCAGGGGACCAGCGGTGCGTTTTGGCATTCTTAGCTACCAAAGGAAGGTAAAAAAATTTCCTGTTGATCGATCGGTAAAGCGGGAGATCCGGAACGATGGTAGGAGCTCGGGGGAGGGTTGGTGTTCGTGACGGTGGTGCCCGTAAATTGACCGTCTTAGTTGTAGTGGGGTGAGGCTCGGGTATTTCTTTTCAAGAGAAAGGCTTCCGTGAAGGACGAACCCCACTCGTTATCTTATCATATCAAATCTGTATCACGAGTGATCGCTGGTGAGTAGCCTGCTCATTTTGCCATTGCTACCAGAGATAACCACGATCAACCCCCCCAGGTGCCTAAGGGGAAGGGAATCCCGGGCAGTGCTCGAGTGGAGAGGAGTCAGTCCGCGAGCACTGCGGTATGCAAACTACCATGATTGCTCTTCCGGCGAATAAAAATTCACATAGCGTTTGCCGAATTGGCTCCATAATTTTTTTTTTACACAATTTTGCGTAGCTACAAGTCAGGAGCGGCTGTAAAGAGGTGATCCCCTGGAATAAGCAAGGCGAGGCGGAAACGGCAAAAACGAAGGATTGAAAGAAAGGAAGGGGGACTCGGATCGGGATAGGAGGGGATATCATTTGTTCCAAGATCAGCCTGAGCGCTGTACTGCAGAATACTTATACTTCTATTCAAGCACGAACGGTGCTTCACTAAGAGATCTTGGGCCATTGTCTTGGATTACCTCGTTCTGATCCATCGAACAGAGCCTAGTACTATACACGGCGGACCAGCGACCATGGGATAAATGTCCCTACATCACGATCCCCTAGAGAGGAAGAGAAGTACCAACTTTCAATTCGTCTTTGGTCAGCTTCCCCGGGGATCAGGTTTACACAATACCACAGAGTAGACCTCGTTTACGGGTTTTTCCATTCCCCCCCTCTTAGCTACCACCAGGTTGAGTCCTTTCATTTCTTTCCCCACGTTTTTTGAGTTGTCATGGATGATTTTGCCTCCCATGCACTCGATTGTTTCCCAACCATACTCGTGGTTGTTGCGATGTCCATGGCTGAAAAACAAAAACCGATGATCCAGGGAAATCTTGATTCCCCGTTTTTCAAGCCTTTGTCTGAGGCCTCTGCGCCTTGTGGCGGCTTTTCTCATCATATCCTCCTGTAACTATTTCACCCCAACGCCAGGGCAGACTACCAAGCTCTCTGGACCGAACTGGACGGGATGGTAGAACCTAACGAGTACCCGTCACGAACACGGAAGTCCTGGGGGAAGGCAGGCCCCAAGATGGGAGGCAATGATGTGCGGCGGGCCTAGGGTGATAGTGGAAGGAGGGGAGCTGCAGGAACGGCAGGGGCTGGTTCCGCCCTGCATTCACCAACCATTTTAGATATACTAGAGAATGTATTTGCGCCACCCTTTCACGATAAAGCTAGTTGGGTGCGTCCATGCAGTACGTCATTCATCGAACTCGACCCGTTCTGACCCAATATTATTGTTCCACTGGAATGTCATGTTTCGTTCAGCCCACTACATGCCCCATTCGTAAAATTCTGTTGGAGAGAAGGGGTGGGTGTAGGGGGGCGCAAATCAGCACAGCTGGCACTCATGTGTAGTCACTCGTTTAGGTATATCACAGCTATAATAATGTGTTGGGTGACAGAATTTCCCTAGTTTCCGAAACTTTCTACCATGTTGAGAAAATGCAAGCCCCAGAACCACGAGATATAATTCAAGCTCACGGATTTCAGATACCATACCCCTAAAGACTGCTGCAGTGGCCGGCCGGGCCTCCTAGCGGTTCAGTGAAAAGCATTTGTCCCTCCCTGAACACTAGCCCTTCTGTCCTCGTGCTAGAGAATTTCACGCCACCTTGGGGCGGATACCCCAGGATAGAGAAGATTATCTTATCGGTTATCGAGGAGCGATAGTCTACCAAACCCTATCTATCAGACCACGGCTGGGGGAGCATGATCTGGGGACCCGCGAGTTTTGATAATGTTAAGGGCCTGTTTGGATGAGATGGTTCCGTTCCGTTGGCCCATACAAATGACCATTTCCTTCCTTTTCAAAAAGGTTGTTGCTAAAAGGCCGTTTGGCACACCCGCTACCAACCCTTCTGTTTTAGTAGTTGACCGTTAGCAACGACCTTTTCCACCAGTCAAACCATTTCGCAACGGAATGGTTGCCACTTCTTCCTTTTTTACCAAACAGGCTCTAAAAGGTATGATATGATGTTTAGACCACTCTCCCTCACACTCCACACCCCCACCTCTCTATCCCCGAAAGTTTTTGGTATCATACTCGTAGGGTGCCGGCACTCCACCAACTTGGGTCTAAGCGATCAAAAAGGTGGTCAATCGGGTATTTTATTGCCCAACTATGATACCAGCGGTAATCTACCTTAATGGAGGATTGAACCCGTATGATGGCATATGATACTTTGCTTCACATAAGCGCTCACCAGTTCCTTTGCTGTGGATGTTTGAAGGCTGGTGTCTCGAACGTCAGGAAATTCAGCCGGCGCTTGCACCTATCCCCTGATAACTGCCGACGCGGGATGATACTCGATCATATCCCCAGCTCAGGCTGTTCCATGTGTATATATTAGCAGCACCCCAGGCATGTTTGATGAAGTTCAACCCACAATAGAACTTGGGATAGAAAAATAGCAGATGATGTTGGTTTTTAACCTTATCTTAACGATATTTTTGGTTGTAGAAATTTTACTCGGGTAACATAGCCAAAGAGTATCTGTGACTCTATCTACCAAAACCTACTATGTAAGATATGATACCAAGGATCTAACCGCTCTGACTAAGCCAAATATTGCCCTAACTTTATAATCAATTCTGGCTGTATCATACAATACCGTATCATACTTGTACTCGTACATAACACATTTTTCCTTTTCTCACCAAAAGTTGATGATTTCAAATGATTATATCATGTTTTCTAGCTTCTGGATTATGATGAAAAAGCTACTAGGTTGGTCTCCTTAAGCAGCTCTTTCATATGATGGCTTTTTCAAGTACCTACCTGCAGTTGGCACTGACAAATAATCATTTAAAAAGTCATAAAAATCTGGTATACTTTTTGGCATGCACAGCACACACCATACGGCTGAAGTGAATGTATCATAACGGCAACCTTGTCAGATGCGTCACAGGCGAAACAACAACAGCTTGGCAAGTCAACCAAATCTACCGGTATGATACAAGTGTGATACCGACACGGACTAGGTTATTCTCAACTACGATATAACTACAAGTACAACAACAAACATCTCCCTCTCTGACCCCACTACGCCCCTATACCAACAAAACGGAAGGAAGGCACCAAAATGTCAGAGCTCCTCAGCTTTATCCTCGCCCACGAGCAATTTCGGAGGTATTCCCCACCCACCCGACTGCCACCACGAAGGCTAGCCGGAACCAGACCAACTAACCATTGATAGAGCCCGCCTACCATCCCTATACTCCGACTTCCGCCCCCTCCGAGCAAACAACCCCTCCGGCTTTCTCGCGAACGTCACAGCATGGAAGTCCGCGCTCGGCCAGGCCGCTGCGAACGGGGTCCTCGGCCGTGACACGTTGGTTCTCGAGGTCGGAGAGGAGCTGGTTAGTTCCCTGGCGACGAGGGAATGGGGGAGGCCGTTGGCGTTGGGGACTGTTGTTGTACGTTTTTTACCCGACCCACGGAGTAGCGTGATGGGCTAACTAGAGTTTAGAATGAAACGGTGGCTACGAGGGAGTTTATCTCGCTGGAAGTGTTCTTGAGTATGCGAGAGAGTGTGTATTACCGTCCTTGGGTGGATCCTTGGAAGATACTTGGGTGGGGGCTAGAGATTGCGGGACTGAAGAGCCGGGCGGTGGAGGATGGGAAGATCCGGGAGGGGAAGGTGGTGGTGCTTAGGAATATTGAGGTATTGACTTCCCCCTTCTACTAACCGGCAGTGAGGTCACGATTCTAATACTGGCCTCGCGCAGGAGACGGCGAAAACAATCCTCAATGAAATCTCCAAGAAACCGAGCATTGTCGACCGGATATTCTCCACGGAGATGTTCTTGCAAGAGTTCCCCATTCACGGGAAACGGCTCTCGGAGACGGACCTCAAAGTGCTACTAGTCTTCCTATCCCGTGACCTCCGGGAAGCCTCCCTCGCCAACAACGTAGCCCCCACTTTTCACCTCCCCTCTAAAAAACCAAAGCTAACTACCCCAGACAATAAAATTCAAACCTCCCACGGGAGAACTGACCCCAGTGTCCTCGCACGACACCACAATCGCCAACCTAAAAACGCTAATCACCTCCCTGCACACGACCATCGCAACCCTTTCCACCAAGATTTCAGCCTCCGACGCCAAAGCCCGCACAGCCATACAATCCTCCAACAAACACGCCGCCCTTTCTGCCCTCAAATCCAAAAAAATGGCCGAAACCTCGCTCGAATCGCGCGCGAAATCACTCACACAGCTGGAGGAAGTCCTCGTGAGGATTGAGCAGGCGGCGGATAATGTTGAGCTTGTGCGCATGCTGGAAGACAGCAGTAAGGTTCTTGCGGGACTCAATAAGCGAGTCGGAGGTGTTGAGCGTGTGGATACGGTTGTTGATGAGCTTCGGGAGCAGATGGACGAGACCGATGAGGTTACCAAGATCTTGGGCGAGGAGACAGGTGCCGCGGCCCAAGTTGACGACGGAGAGGTGGAGGGGGAGTTTGAAGCTTTGTTACGGGAGGAGGAGAGGAGGACTAGGATGAAGGAGGATGAAAAAGTGCTGGAGGGGAATAAGGGCGGGGAAGGAGAGGCTAACGGTGGGCTAAGTATGGTTACTAGGTCTATGGAGGAGTTGAAGTTAAAGGGGGGTATTCCCGTGCCTGCACCCATACCCACCCCGGCGCCCGTGCAGAAAGAGCGAAGCCCGGAGCGAGTCCCGGCTTCGTAGTTTTAACTCCTGGCAGATTAGAATTTCGACACGAGGAGGAGAAAGGTAGATAGATAGCACCTCGCAACTTGATGTACACAGTACTGTATTAGCTCACACGTTCTATTTCCGAATTGCAATCATTGTAATCTATGGTATATCCCCCAATATCCCCCTACTTAGCCCCACAATCCCGTAGGTAGACAAAGCTCCAACAAAGCAAACATACAGATAAAGTAAGCAAACACCGAAAACTCCAGTTCCCTAGATGTAATATGCATGCTACCCATCTAGCAGGCACTAAAGCAAACCAAAGCACGTTCCCCTTTCCTCAAAAAAGGCAAAGGCACAAAGAAAAGAACAAGATATGAATCCTTTATAGCCCACCACTGGTACTCCCTCCCCCCTTTTTACACCCGATTTCCATTTCCTCGTACTTTCGTTTACCATATAGACCTATCAGTGATGAATCCTCTTCCACTATAGCTAGTCTATCCGTATCGCTCTCCGCGCCCGCCAGCACCGTGGTTGGTGGCAGGGGGTTCGCGACGAACATCTCACTCACGTTTACGTGCGAGTAGGGGAGGTACGTGGGGGGTGCTTGGAATGGGGGTGGTGGTGATGGGGTGGAGTGTAACGCAGTGGTGAAAGCTTGATCAAGGTACGGTTGGTGAAAGTCGGGCTGAAAGGATTGTGTGACGTTATTTAGTGGAACTTTGTCGTTGAGGACGGTAGTCTGGATGATGTTACTATTTGGCAAAGTAGTTGGCGCAGCACAAGCACCGTCCATCTGTGCGCTTGATATTGAAGTAATATCGTCTGTTTCTTCCGCCTCCGCCTCCTCCTCCTCCTCCCCCCCTTCCTTCACGGGCTCGGGCTTCACTCTAGGCGTTCTCGCCTTTGCAATCAACTCGTCATAGTGCGATTTGTTAGACTCCGACCATCCCTGATCCGTCCACCCCGCAACCTTCGTCTTCTCCACGACCGGAACCCGATTGATAGCGTCCCACGATGACAACTGCTTCAACAACTCCTTCTTGCTCTTCGGCGTCACGGAGTCCACATTCGCATTCCAGAGCGTGAGCCACTCATTGTAGCGATCTTGAAGGGTCCTCTTGCTCCCGTAGGACGGGATACCGAGTTCCTGGAGCTTGCTGCGGAGGGCAGACTCTTTCATCATGTTGAAGGCTATCTTTGGCAGTGGGTGGAGGTCCAGAGGGTTGGCGGGGTTTGGGTATGGGGCGCCGGGCTTTGTGTCAACTCTTTTGGAGGCCGGAGGGAAGGCTGGAGTGTACCCTGATTGAGACTTCGAGGAGCCGAAAAATGAGCTTTCGCCGCCGCGGAGGCGCTTGCGTGGTGATGCTGGGGATTCCTTTGGACAGCCGCTCTCGATGTGAGAGTCGACCCTTTTCTCCTTCATGTACTGACTGCAGATAGGGCATGCAACCATTCCGGATGCTGTGAGTAAGCGAATGGTCAGTCCTGCGATTATCCGAGAATTTGGGAGAGGGGGTGGGGGAGTAAATCTGACATGGCGGTGGTTTATAATCTTCATCACCATCATCATCATCAAGACATATAACCTGATTTTGTGACGAGGGTTGAGAGGAAGGCTGGGATCCAACTCTACCACTAGAACCCCTAGTAATCCTCCCGCCGCCGGCACTCTCCATAGGCCCATCCGGAGCACCCCCACCTTCAATCCTCCTCCTCCCTCTCCTCCTCTTGCGCCCTCCTTCCTCCCTGAAGCCCGGATAACCATCATCCTCACCCCCATCCTCGGTACCACCCTCCTCTCCACGAGTAGAAAACCTCCTCTCCTCAACACTCTCTTTCGCCACCTCCATCAATAGCGGCCTCGCCGCCACGAAAGCAGCGACCAATTCCTGCGCGGCTCCATTCTTCCTAAGCTGATTCTCCTGAGCGGTAGCCCTGCACACAGGACACTTTTGCTCCCGCACCAACGACCGTCGGATGCACTCGGAGCAAAACGTGTGGCAGCAGCCCGTCATGACGGGGGTGTGGTAGTAGTCTTTGCAGATCTGGCATCGCAACGCCGAGTCCACGGAACCGAGAAGCGGGAGTCTAGTGGTGTTCCAATCGCTCGGGTCGGTTACATCGATTATCCTTTGACTGTGTGCGGAGAGGTAGGGTTGGCTCATGTTTGCTACTTTGCTGCTATCGCCAATTTTTGAGGAGGAAGGGAAATGGTGGTTGTGGTTGTGGTATGATAAGAGTTGGTTGTTAGGCGGAGAGGGGGGGGGGAAACCAATTTAGCGAGTGCAAGTCGGTTTGACGCGACTTTTGGGGGTTGGACGGGGTTAAACGCGTCGGTCAGAGTGGTGAATCCTCTAGCCTACCGTACCCCTGTGGAAAGCAAGTTGCACAAAAAACAAGCCTATGCACAGTACCGTCTGCCGTAGCAGTAGACTCCCCCACCCCCGTTATCACAGTATCATACCCAAACTGCCCGTCCTCTTCATCCTCTTCATCCTTATCTTCCACCTCATGGATGCTCGCATCCTTTGTCTAGCCGGTATTCCAAATTTCGAACACTAGATCCCCCAGGTTTTTTAGTGAGTGAATTATCGTTGGCCTCGCCAATTTCTCGGATGAAATCGCTTGTACCGATATTATTGTAACGGTTATTGTGAGGATGCTGCGATCCAGGAGCCTGTTTCTTGACTACAGTAGTTAGTTATATGCACGGAGTGCTGGTGTCGTCGTATGCAATGGCTGACTGTGGGAAAAAGACTTTCCTGATGGAATGTTCTAGTGCACGAGAGGTGGTCAGGAAATCAAGGAGACGGAGCTCTAATTAGATGCTTGCTTACTCTCAGGGTCTACCATACTTCTCCTCTGTGTTTGACGTTCATACTTTGTTCAATCGAAATAAATTGATTTCATTCTAAACTAATCACAACGTTGATAAAATACTTGTACCACCCTCACTACTAAACCAATCCCGTGTATGAATCCATCAACCCCGTTATTCTCCCTGCCATCAGCTGCCCTTCAAGTCACTGCAGTATAAATAATCGGAACAGATATGAACCAATCGATCTTCTTTCTTACCCTAAGCACAATCCTCACCCTCAGCCGTCTGTTTGTATCCTCTTTTATCCTCGATCGTTGCAAGAATGGCATTCGCAGTGATAAGCTGGGTCTGTTCGATCCTTTTTCCAAGTTTGTCCGACCCTGACTTCGGTTTGGTCAGTTTTTTTCCTATAATAAGGACCCGTTTAGCTAACCGCCGTCCGCGTCCAAAATTTATATAGTGAAAGTAGACGGTCATGTCATAGTGAGAATTGTGTTACAAGCGCCATACAACACACAGACGGCTGAAAAGTGTTTGCCTGATTTTCAACCATCTCAAATTCTTAATTCTAGGCAGTGAGAATGAGACGTTGCTTCAGAGGTGCCGTTGTGACTGTCAGCAAGCACTCTACACAGTACTCAGGGTAAACACCTTCTGATGCTCTGGCTGTCAAGCCCTCCTTGATAGCCAGTGCTGTCTCCATACACTAGACAGCTGTCTGTAGGTAAATGGATCCTAGCTCTTTGTTAGTTTGCTTTTTGATCCCTTCCCGGGGTTGACTGTGTCAGACGTGACTATGATATCCATCATAAAAAGTATGATAGTGCACCACCAAAAACAGCTGCTTCCAGTCGAAAAGAGTCACGGGCCTATTCTTAGAAAAGAAAATAATTTTATTAGTTATCATAAAATAGTAAGCAAATAAAAGGATATCCCTACTGTACCAAGATATCATTCGTATTGGTCGATGTTGTCCCGGTCTAGTATGATAGTCTAATGTGAAATTGAAGGAAGAGAACTCGGGGTCGTGGAAGTTAGAAGCGTTGGGAGGACTTCCCCGAGAGTCGAAGTCAACCTCATTAGATACATAGAGGTTAGTAACACATGTCGGATAGTACGCGGCCAGGGACAGGAACTACTGGTAGTCTTCCCGGGCCTCAAACCGGTCTAATATGTGTGATACTACCAGGTATAACCGCATTCCTTTACGTTTCAGCCATTCTTTCCTCTTTGCTCTGTTTTCCCTTTTCAACTGGCATCCCCAATGACGCGAGAATTGCGCTTATAGCTATTTCCCACAAATCAAATATCCCGGGAAAACAGGGTCGCTGGTGGTGTTGAGAGGTTATGAGAGGTGAGCCTCAATTTCCTACAAGCAAGGTGTGATTCGGGTGATGTTTGCGCCTAACAAGGAATATTGTCGTGAGGTCGACTAATGTCAATCGTGTGTTCGACGCTTGTAACTGTGGTACCGCAATGTATAGTACTCCTCTTCAAATGGGAACGGGTAGTCAGGAAGGACATTGTATGGCCGTAAAACTTCGATTCGTCTCTCTCGCAATCCTGTCTGGCCAATTCGAATACCGGTACCTGCGAAATGGTATTGGGCAACGGCATTTCGTAGCCGTTGAGTTGAATTCAATAGTTATCCGTCAGTAAATGGCGCTTTATTCGGGTAATAACAAAACTCACCGTGGATGTCAATGGAGCTTTGTCGTCCTGCCCGATGACGCATCGTAGTGGATCAAGTTCCGGCGTGGGCACATTTATACGCCACGCACCGCCGTGTTTTTTTTTTTTCCGCCCCCCCACTACGAGTATGATATCATGCTTGGGGTGGGAATTCGATTATGTGTTGTACGCCTATCAAAAAGCACAATCTGGCCATCCGATAACAGATCTAATCCAATGACTTATTCACATCCTATCACTCGCCTCCTAGAAAGAGAGAGGGGTCTTAGCCAACTAGGGAGAAGGGATGGAGTGGGAAAGAGGAAAAAAAGAATCAGCAAGTATCAGTGACTTGGTTAGTACCGTAATAATGAAGAATACTTTCCGCAAGATGGTAACCCGTGCGCTCAGAGTAGGGATAAAAGTCTCAGACCAAAAGGACAGAGAATTTGCCAACTTTCTCGAGGTCTCGGAGGGCCCACACTACTGGTACGCTAGTGCCACACTCGAGTACCGTACAGCACACTTTCCAATCACGGTTGCTTCGCAAGTAGTTCCTGAAGGTGTTGGAGTGTGTAAAGTAGCGCCCCCGAGGTGGTATGCCGGATTGGCGTTGCTTTCCTTTTCCAAGTATAATAAGGCCTATTGAACCCATACCCAAGGGCTCCAATCTTCTTCTAGGATCCCGCATTGCGTACCTGAGTGCCTACTCATTGAAACCTGGAATGCCGTTGGAGAACAGAACCCAATGTCAATGACGCTGTAAACCCGGAAGAGGATCTGATAACATACCCTAAGAGCCCCACATCTATGCACCTTGCCGGTATCTATAACAGTGATTGATATACTATCACCGGCAGCGATGTCCGCAATTACCGTCCCTCTAGGGACCCTATAATGGGCATTGGTGTGCTCTCCAATGGATTCAATGGCTCGTCACAGTTGCCGTCGCTATCATCACCGGAACCGACATCTCTCGTTGGAAGCGATTAATTTGTTCCCTCCCAAGCGCGCACTGATCATTGACACCCCATGACTGGACCCCCCCCCTCATGCGACAACGTCAAACCGTGCATACCGCGAATCCCAAAAGCAACTATTCCAACCTTTTTAGGAAGAAGATGAGCATTTAACCCGTTGTGATGGTTGGTCAGAGTGAGGATGTGGACTTTGGAGTGGAGGACTTAGATTGGAGACCTTGGAGTGTGGACATTGCCATCGAGATTCTACTCGTAGAGTCTAAAAGCGGTGGACGAAACCACATGATAGCAAGAAAGAGATCGGCGGGTGGCTTCCTCCGAGGGATCGGCCGATTAGCATCTCGGAGTGGGGGGTTGTCCTAGTGTTTGGGCTGGACAGCATCGGCCCAACCCGTTCCTGCGTTTCTGCTTTCCACGTGACTCGAGGGGCAGGAAAGGCGCGTGAGTGTACATAATATTATGATACCCGCCCCGGGTAGGAGGGGGTAAACCTTTTGGATACCATGCTCTTGGCAGAAAAACCTTTCGGATACCATCGACCGGGAAACATACCATCGAAAAAGTGAACCCTTTGTACTCATACACAATTATCTTCCTTTGCCAAGAACTCTAAGAAGATTGCTAAACACCTTCAGTATTACCTAGTTCATCTTAAAAAGTTGGGGAGAAAATTTTTTAAAATACTAGCAGAGTGTGAGTATTTCATTACCATTTCCTAGGACTTTTTTTTAATTTATTTGCATTTTTGAACAATAAAAAGATGGGTGAAGATGTGTAAATATTTTGTTGTTCGTTGCAAAGGTTTCACTTTTTCGATGGTATATTTCCCGGGGGATGGTATCCGAAAGGGTTTACCGCCAAGCGCATGGTATCCAAAAGGGTTTTTCGGTAGGAGGTGCAGTACGGGTAAAACCTTTTACCGTAGATACTGTATCATACCATCCGCTTGGCGGTATCATAAAACCTTTCGGATATCATACCATCCCCCGGGAAATATACCATCGAAAAAGTGAAATCTTTGCAAAATAATATCCAGGTTGCAACGAAAAAAAAGGAAACATTGACACTCTTTTGCTCGCTTTTCCATCCCTCAAACAATGCAAAAAAAATTATGGAAAAAAGAGGTATCGTGAATTTAGTTTAGAAAATTTCCCGGAATTCTTGGCACAGCAAATCACCCAAAACATACCACTTTTGAGCAGCAGCATATCAATGCCCTGAAAGGCCTTCTGATGGTAATAAATTCTAAAATGTAAAAACCAGCTGTATTTATTTTTTAGTATTTTTAATTTATTTTTTGAATCCTTCCTCACAGTTTTATGATTGGTCAAGGGTAAGGTAACCTTTCACAAAGGGTTTCACTTTTTCGATGGTATATCTCGCGGGGGATGTTATCCGAAAGGTTTTACCGCCAAGCGCATGGTGTCTAAAATGTTTTTTCATATCTACCCTAATGGCCGGGAGCGAATGCCACTACTTGTACGAGTACAGTACAGTGCTTGAGTATGGGGTACTCGAGTACCTGCATTGGCGGTCGTTAAATACTTGTACCCTGCCACGGACCGCAAACAAGGATCGCCCCCAACGTTGCATCTGGTCAAAAGGGCGTCCAGGGATGGCGGGTGTGGGGGGAGGGGTGACAGCATACTGTACACCAGGAATATCATATGAGGAATGTTAGATGGTTGTCTGGGGGTGTTCCGACTGTGCAGGTGGCAATTGAGGATGCCCTCCAGCCACCGACTTTGTACTCGTACCGGAGTTATTATCCTCTGCTCTCACCACTTCTCTTTATTCTCGATATGCACAGGAACTTGCTACTCAGCGCCAGAATTTGCCATGGCTATGGCTTGGCGTTTATATGCGATTCCGCGGAGGGGTGAGGTCGGCCAGGTGTTGTGCAGTAGTGAGCCTCTATTTCTGCTACAGATAGGATTGAGCACCGGTGGGTCGGGCTGAGGTCTGAAAGGAGGATGGGATTTAAGCTTGGACTAGCATCGTAGACTTGGAAGCAGCCTGGGTTTTATTATTGTGGGGGCGCGGGAGGAGTCGAGCGAGACGGGATGCCTTACACAAGATGGTGGTGATACGGTATTGGTGGCACTTGGTGGTGGTTAATTATTGGCAACACTCGCTATCTGCTTTGGCTTGATGTTGCAGTAGCACGCTTGACGATGGCCCGAACGAGGAAAGTGCGCCTTGTCTGATGGATGAGGCATACCGGCACAGTAGGGTGCTCGGGTACTTTTCATTTGCTGATAGAAGCTGTGCCTGTGCTGGCTTGGCCAATACGAGCGCGGTACAACTGCCTTCACGGGTTACTCGAGTACAGTATCCCTTCAACCCCACCCAAATGGAGGAAGCATAGTAAAAATATCTCGTCTTCGGTAAGCAGTGATATCGCCTTTTCAACTTTTAATACCACTAGTAAGTGCGCGGAGAAGCTCCCAAATACGCAATCACCTACTTTCTGTCTTGACGTCATAGAGTACAGGGACCTTGGTTTCCTTAGAGCACTCACTATGATGGACATCAGGGGCCGTACTGTATGTCTACGCTTACCAACCCTGGTCGTCACTTCGGGGGTGGGCGGGGAGGAGGTTATCAGTTTGGTGCACCAGAAACCAGTTTAATTTATAAGAGCTACCCAGATAGACGACGGGGAAACAAAAAAAAAGATAAAACAGAGAAGGTCCACACGAAGAGCATAAATTCGAGAATGAAATAAGGGGATTCTGGCTAAGCTGTTTATTGTAGAAAGGGAAATTTCATCGGGCCCGTGCTCTTCTTAAAAAGAAGGTGCTTGGTAGTATCGGGATATGAAAACTCCCCGTGGTTAAGGTTTCGAGGGCGAGACTGACCCTCGGGGTACTTGAAATCGTACCGAAAGAGGAGGAAAACGAGGATAATCTTCATCTCCTCGGCGGCAAAGAAGCGACCGGGGCATGCGTGTTTCCCGTGACCAAAGGTGAGGTCGTTCGGGGAGGTTGTGGTGAAGTTGTTGCTATGAAGCACACCGCCCTCAGCTTCAAGAGACTTTTTGTACCAACGGAACCCATCGAATTTCTCAGGATCCTCAACGAAATCTGGATCGGTAGAAAACATTGAGGTAGGGGCAGCAATCACAACACCCTTCGGTAGGTAGGTGCCATCGGAAAGTGTCAAACTTTTCATAACCATACGATTGAAGCTAACTTTACAATGAATTAGCGGCGTGACTTCGGGGAAGGGATAGCGTTGTGATTACAGAGGCCAATCCTCGCTCTCAATGCTTCCTTCAAAAAACTATCAGTCTTTTTCATCTTGCGCAGAGCAGCGCTGTCCAACACTCCGTTATTCGCGGAAAGTACGGCTTCGATCTCCTCACGAATTTGTTGAACGCACTCCTGATGCTCAGCGAGGTCGAAAATTGTATTGAGAAGTGCAAGAGACATGGTATGAATCGATGATAGGATAATAAGAAGCTGTAGTTCGGACAAGGATTCGACGCTCTTGTAAGGTGGATCAACTCGATCCGTGAGCCATTGAAGCATGTCGTTGGGCTTCTGATAAACTGTTCCATTCTTTTCTGCGAGTCTCTCCTCCTCAAGACGGCTTTGAAAAATCGGATCCAGGAGGGCCTGCGCCTTTTCCTTATGCGACCTAATCTCTCCGATTGAATTGAATATATAGGCAAAGAGTGGGCGTATCGGTTTTGGCACGTGGGTGAGTTTTCCGAGAGTCATGAAAACATCCCGGGTGAACATGATTGAGACAGTCAACCAGTCCTCATTCCGGCACAAAGGAAGGCCAACGAAGGCCCTGCTACTCGTACGAGCGACCACCCTTAGGATTGTAGTGAAGATTTCCACCGATCTCCATTCTATTGTAGCACACTCAGCCTCTACCATGGGAAGATCGAAATAGGTTCAACGGAAACACTCACCATCAGTGCTGCATCCTGGTAGCTCGGTATCTAGAGCGAACCGTGTCTCCTCTAGTATCCCCGCTTTTAAATTCGCTGTTGATTGAAATTTTCATTAGTATCTCTGAATTTAAATACTGACAGAGCTGGGGGTAGTTTTTTCTTCTTCCTGATGGACCCAGCTTCAATAACTGATAGCAAAAGGGCAAACGTTTTGGTGTTTTTGCATAACTGACTGAATACTTTTCCTCGCAGCAAACGTATTTCTTCAAAGAGTCGATTACGTACCTAGATTTTGAGTAAGTTTGACTCTCACCACCTCTTCAGCATATCCGGTACCCAAAAATCGCCCCAAGCCAGTACACTCTATCATCATGGTCTTCATCCATGCGCATGATCAGTACCAGCGAACTCAAGGGCAATATTCAGAGTAATGGGGTGTCTACTTCGGCGGAAGCATGTTGAATGCTAACTACATCTTCCGGCGCGCTTGCGAGCTCTTTAACTTGAGCATGTGTAAGAATAATCTTGTCGCAGCCGTAGGTTGTGACGACAAAGTTTCTTCCTGGGTACTGGTAAGATCGTATATGGTTAACGCCTTGGTTCGTAATACTGGTTGGCTCGTTTTAAGATAGATGATGGCTAGTAATAGAGCGGGCGGTATATGGACTAACCTTGTGATAAGCATCCCTCACGATATTGAAGCCATTGGAGACAAATTTGAATCTTGCTTTGAGTATGCCAAGGTAGCCTGGGGATTCGATGCCAGCGATTGGGAGCTTTGTAGGGGAATGAATTGAGAATTCCTTCTTCAAGAGAAGGAAAAGCCCAAAAGAAAGCAGCGCAAGAGTGGCATAGAAAAGAATGTGGGCATGAAGCTTCCCGTCCCCAGCGTAATCACGGAGCTCGATAAGGATACCCATGATTTCAGATGTGAGGCGTTTGATACCTGGGAAATAAGAGCAGGTGGAAGGCTTTATATTGGGGAAGAAGGGTCAGAAAAGTGCTTTCTTTTGAAGGCAGAGCTTTGGATAGTATGTAATAGGGGGTAGAATGAGTGGCTCTGGAGGATGTAGTGCTTGCAACGGCCCTGCGCTCTGGGGAGGCAGTGGGGGAGATTGCCAGGCAGACCGGGCAGGACAGGGCGACGGTTTCATCGGTCTGGTCCAGCGAGTGCGGCGAGCGGCAGGTTTCGGCCGAGACTGCGGCCCGACAGAGTGGGGTGACACTTTGGCATCCTTGCGTCTTTAGTGTAGGAGCTAGTAGCTGGTGACGCATGTGTGGAAGAAGATGGTGGGCTTGGAGTTTTCCGTGATACCAGTCCCTTCGGATCAGGCTTTCTACCGGATGTAGGCCTATCGTACTCGAGTATGTTAAATGGAGAATGGTGCTATGTGGGCTGTTGCGTGGCCACCTCCGGATAGACATCTCTTTACTATGGTCAACATCATGAGAAATCAATTGCTGGTGAATATTCATTCTCACACCTGGCAACGCACAACATGAGTGGCGAACTGGAGTCATAAGCCCTACCTGTTAGCCATACGCCCCACATGCTGCCCCTACCTTCCATGGGATTAAATGAACCCATGGTGGGTGCCCGTCGTCTTCCCCGATCCTTCCGCCAAACACGGGGTGAAATTCTGGCCAGGCCTAGATGGAGTGCGATTCCTGCAGTGTGATATGATACCCCTCCCCGGCCCACCCCTAAGGATGGGCCGACTTCCCCATTGCGAATGCTGAAGCCCCTGATCCCCAGCTTAAGACAGAAATATGATGGACTATGCTGTGAAGGCAGGTCTAACGTCCTAGAGCGAGTGCCAATTATTCGAGTTTTCGCACTATGAGGATATGTAACCCACTCTATTCGGCCTTTTCCTTGACTCCTTTTCTGCTTCTGCATAAAACTCTCTGATGTTTTCCCCCAATTTTCCGACCAACTTATTCAAGGTTTCTAGACCGTCAACGACCTTAGGTACCCTCGTGTTTAACATCTTACCAATCTCTCTAGCGATTAAGGCTTTACCCGTACCAGGAGGTCCGAGGAGTAGAAAACTTGACACGTTTGATTCCAAGTTTTTCCACGGGCCCGGCCGGGGGGTACGGAATATCGGCGGGGACTCTTTGCCAAGTCCTCCAGCATTCATCCCTTTGGGTTTACAGTTTGGCCGTATGATGGCATTCGCTACTGGTCGCTTATTAGGGCCTTTGGTCTTGATTGGTGATTTCACAGCCTTGCAAAATGTGATGTAGATGTCAGGAGTAAGGATGCCGGGATCTAATGGATCAGTAGTGGTTGGTGCACCAGGAGTTGAAGCAGACTCTTTGTCAGAAAGCTTGGCCATCTGCACAGTTTTGACCAGAATCAGAACTCTCATATTCCGGATATCCATTATCGCTCACTGCTCCGGGGTAGGGATATGATTCTGAAAATTCTAGTGGAAATAGGCAAGCTTCGGGGGCTCATCTAGCCGGCCCGGCCGGACCGCAGATTGTTGAAACAGGAACTGTTTGTTGTGCAGCGGAAGATCGTTGATTAAGTTCTATCGCTAGCTAAAGGGAACAGAAACGGTATATTTATACACTATGGTGGTGACGCAAGCCATGATGTGGATCACCCACCTCCACGCACATTTCCATATACGCAATAGTGAGTAGGAAGCAACAAGACAATCTCTTGTACCTTACTCAGAGGACCATTTCTCAACACAGATATCTGCAGGCTTTCGAGTGATCGAAGATGATTGCCCTATTCCGGTAGGTTTTAGGATTCCAATAATATGGATCAACGGAACTAGTGTATACGTCAACGGTTTCTGCACGTACATTACGATACTAGAATTGGTACGTTATGACATCTCAACAATAATTTCTGATAGGTTTGAATTATATATTATTTTCTGGAGTTGGGGTTTTCACCAACATACTATCCCAGTCTATACTGAACAGATTTCAAAAGCTAGTGGGTTTCCAAGGACTCTGGGGGGCAAATATGAGTGCATAACCGGAGTCTAAGCTTATATTCTCGCTTAAATAGTTGTATTCAACCGGATAATGAGAAAGGAAATAATTCCGGTCGCAAAATGGTTAGGATGAAGGTTTCTGGGAGAATTCGAGCTTTATGATGATGACGAAGTGGTAGAAGAAACAACTCGGTAATCAAATGATTGCAAACAGGCAAGCGATTTATCTACCGTACAATTTAGGAATATACCGAGTGATATGAAACTACCTCCAATGCGTTCCTAGGCCTAGTCTAGCCGGAGGCCATTTCAGATATTGTATGGTAATAGAGGACACCGGCTAATATCTCTAGAAGTCTGTGGGTATCATCAGATATCTGCGGGTATCTTCAGACATTTGTGGGTATTTTCAGGCATATGCGGGCATCTGCGGGCATCTTCAGGTATCTGCTACGCATTGACAAAATAGTTACTAACTGCACGGCACGTACCCAAAGCCTGCCGGCACCGCCAGACACCCACAATTCCTGCAGGCTTTGCGAAAGCCCGGCCTACGAAGCCCAGGTCGGTTTCACATTGACCTGGCCTGGCCGGAGTGTTTATCTATAGGCTATCTGCAGGCCGGCCGGGCCGCTTGCGAACACTGAACTCGGCCATGAGATCTAGAAGCAGGGGTGGAAGGTAGGATGAGGCGCGTGTCAGAAGAGGAGAGTTCGTAAGATACTGCACGTTCACAAAAATAACCAAACATGGCAACAGGAAGTTGACGGTTGCTATATTTGGTTATATTTGTTGATAATAAGAGCTTTGTGAGGTCGTCCTAATCCCCACCACTTATTTTCCCAGACGCGAGCCCAATATCAAAATCCAGAATCCCTAAAGTTAAGCAAGGAGCTCTGCCGTGCACGAAAGGATCGAAGGGCACAATGGTGGTTCTCTCACACCAACCCCACTGGGCCCAATCCCTATGAGTAGAAGAAAATCCGGCGTGTCCAGAGTCTACTGCGTCGGTGGGGCGAGTGGTGAGGATTTATCGGCCATCACAGATGACATATTGCTCGACTGGAGAATCGTCCCGCACTGCGCCATGGCCAAAGTGGGACAGAACAAATGAGCCGGCACGCGCAATTTTACCTCAGAGATACCAGATTTCGCACCAAAATATTTCGCAGGGGAAAATTCTCAAAAATGGAAAACCCATAGAACCACTGAAAACAGTAACGGCATCAATCTCTACATAGAAATGTCCACCTAATCCCTAACTCCACAAGAGCGTCATAGTATGCAGTTAAAATCGTAAATGGCATCAAGACACTGTTCCCATCAAAAATAATGGTCTCAGCATAATTTTAAGGAAAGTCCTGTTGCCTATTGCTACTACTCTTCCGAGAATTGAAATTGATCGGGGGTTACAGTTGAAGTTGAACTCAGGTAGTCTACATGTTTTCTGGGGAATTTATGATATAAAGTTATCATATCCTATTTCGACCCGAGTATTTGTGCTGGACTACGCACGCGGAGTTGGCCATTTCCTAGTGCAGGTACGGTGCCTGGGCAAAAATCTTGGTGATCCGGCATATTTACACCAAAATTGGTCATTTTGAAGCATTTACAACTAAGCTGCTGCGCTGAATACGAGCAGAAAGCCTTGCAAAGACCATCCGACTTGTTCTATATGCATGCGAAGATTATCTTCCAACTGTTTTACAAAGTGGTTAGATGCTTGGTGTCCAAGTTAGAGCTCCTCAATGATTGCGGCATTGTTGTGGGATGTTGCTGGGACAACTATCATAGAAAAGTGCTGACAATAATGCCTTTTAAGTGATGGTAGAACTTTACAAGCTTGTAGAACCTTTAATCAGTGATGGGGAGGCTTCGAATTAATTATGAGACATGATACTGATAGCCTAACTTTAGATCTGCAATTTGGGAAAATAGAGACCCAGTTTCAGGTGAGCTATAGAACTATTCAAAAGCGGGTTTTTGCCCATTTTTAGTGTGAAGTGGCCCAATCACCAAGACTTTTGCCCATGCACTGTAGGTGCAGACGCTGTGGGCGCATGCGCGAGTTCTCGATTCACTCCATCATGAACGGTCACTCGAGTGCCACTGACCCGGAGCTGAAAAGATTAAAACCCACAACACGACATATATTGACTAGTATGCGGCAAGCCTACAACTATATATATGATCTGAGACAGTAGACAGGATAAGAAATAATAAGCCTTGTTAACAGTAGACAAAGGGAAGTATAGTTCAACAAAGAATCATATACAAATAATAGAACCAGGTACAAAGGATTACAAGAAGATATTTCAACACCTCCCCTCTTCTGGTATCCTTCTTGCATTACGGTACAGTACAGCATCCTCATTAAAAACCTTTCTTGTAAAACCTCATTTGGAGTTGAGGGAAAAACCAAGATACGGAAAAGAGTAATACTGGGCTTTTCAGCAGCCAACTTTAGAAGCCAAACAAAGGAAACCCATAAGTCACATCTCTGACTTTCGCAATCCCAATTCCTTCATATGATGCCAATGAGATGTCACGGCCACCCGGCTATGGAGACGGAATATGCATGGGTTTGTTGTTGCATATATTGGTTGTGGTTTTCTTGGTTGTATGGTTGGATTTCCTTTGTATGAACGATTATGATGTATTGCCGCGCAACGGAAGATAGCGGAACCAGATGGAGGAATCGTGGCTGCACACAACGCCAAGGATTTTCTTTTGTATTAGTGATCATGGAGGATTTTCTTAGTATATAAAGGGGTGTGCCCCTTTATATTTTACTTTCTTTACGCAATCTGGTAATCTCCTTCGGACACCCTTACCTTCGTTCCCTTGGGTGACGATGAAGCCTTTCTTCTGATACTTGTGGGGGAGTCATCTGGGTTCGCCTAGTAGTCCTGCTGGTTGAAGTTGATGTTGGTGGAGTTGTTGTTTGGTGTTCGTTTGTTTGTGGTACCTGTCTCGCCTTCTCTTTGCTCATCTCTATCGTGAGGCTGTATGGGCTTGGGAACCTTCTTTTCTGCTTGACGGGTCTTCCCTTCGGTAAAATGTTTCGGCTTTCCTGTACTCGTTACCCCGCAGGATTTCGCGTTCGTTGGGTTGGTTGGGAGTGGTTGTTGTGGGGGGATCACCCTGCTGCTGAGAGGATCGGGCGCCTCCATTCTTCGTGTTGGAGTTCTAAGGCCTACCCTTTGGTTGTTTCACGCGTTGTTTCCAGTGGCACTAACGCCTACAGAGTCGATTGATGACCGCTCTGTATTTAACTTGTCGTACCGATCGCATCACACTTTTACGGTCGGGTCCCCTGATGGGAATACCTGGCTGTCGGCTACATTCTTCGTTCGGAATCCTACGATGTTGTTTCCTCCCGTTCCCACGATGTTTTCCGTTCGTGTGGCTGCTACGGGTGGTTGTGGGGTCTACTTCCTTGCCCGACCTGGGTGGGGATGCCTTTGACCCTGGTGGTTACGCCCCCTCTCTTGACTTGTACGGTTGGGATTGTGGTGGTGGTGGGCGATTGGCTGCTGGGCTCCCGTGCGTGGGGGCTTGGCACTAGCCATGTTGGGTGTTGGGGGGCCTTGGCGATCACACCCATTGCAAGTGTGGTATTCCTCGGCTCGCTTAGCCTGACTGGTGCTTACTCTCTACGGTCGCAACTGTTCTGAGGCTGGTCGTCATGACGATGCTGTTCTGGGCCTGTTTCCCTTGGCCTGGATATTCTATGCCTGCCTTCCTGGGTTTACGCTGCCTGGGTGGGTGGATGGTGGGCTGTTGGCTGCTGTGTATGAGTGGCCTCGGTCTTTGAAGTGGCCCTTCCTTGGCCTTCGGGCGGCTTGGTTCGGGTCCCCCCTGGTGATACTCTGCCGGGTGTCCGTGGGGCTGTCCTCCCGATTTGGGAGCTTGACGCCCATCTACAATCCTGCACCCCATGTTTCCTCGGTAATGTGGCCGGTTGTTATGGCCTTCGCTAGTTGTTCGGGCGGTGGGCTCTGTGGGGCCGTGGCTTATATGTGTAGCTGCGGTTGGGCTGTGGCGGTGCTGGCAGACAATGGCCGGCCGTCATGGCATCGGATATATATAGTCGCCGGGAAGTCTGGGTTGAGCTTCGGCTTGATGCGACTCGGTGGCTGGATCGATGTTGCGGTGCGGCGCCTGGGAGAGCCTGGTCTGGCGGACCTGATCTGCACCTGATGCATTAGATGACCTGAAGGCGTGCCTGAGGCATTGCGCTCGGAGCCATGTTGGGCTAGGCGGGAGAAATAATACTGGGAGCCGGCCCTCGACTGTCTGTCAGTGTGAGGTACACCGTAACCCCCCAGAGCCTGGATGGTGGTTGGATGGTTGTCAGTTGTGTTAGGGGGTGGTGAGGGCTTTGCTCTCATTAACTGAGTCCGGGTCCTTGACGGTAGGAAAGAGTG